TATTTTTCATTTTTCTTTTTTTTTTCAAATAACTTTGTGTACAATACTAAACTTTTTTTTTCCTTTTTAATTTTTGTAACTTATTTTTTTTTAAATAAAATAAAATAAAAAAAAAAAAAAAAAAAAAAAAAAAGAAAACTGATGATAATGATGCTGTTAGAGTAGTTACTACTTACTTTCAATATCTTCGTTGTTGAAGTTTTTATTTTTTTTTTCTTTTTTTTTGATTTTTTTGGTTTTTATATGGATATGGTGATACTTAAATACTATGACTGGATTAAGTTCCTTTTTGTTACTATTTAAATGTTTGACTTTGGCAGTGCCGAGAAAAGCTCACTATTTCCTTCTTACTATGTGTTATTATTGTTAAATATATGATTACTGAAAATCGATTGGTGCCTCACTGTGTAAGATTTTAGGTTTATGGATAAACATCATACTCTCCATTTTTTTTGCTCTAACGTACGCTAAAGGAAATTAGAACCCCGATCTTTCTTTAGAGTGTACTCTATATGCACGTCATATTTGTATTACGCAATTGACTCCCGTCGATCCCACTACACTTGCTTCACTATATCCCTCTTTTTCATTCCAACCTTTTTTTTTCTTTTAGCCAATTGGGAACACTTAGCATTATGTCACTCCCTACCGTTTACTATAACGACGATCCAAAGTCTTTCGCGCACCCAACTTGCCATAAGAGATGGCCAATTATTCTTAAGGACAGTATTAGAGATGTCAAGAAACAGATAGTACCCTCCAATGCGGAAGCCGGGGACGAAATTGTGCTGAAGTTGAGCAACCTACTTGAAGCTTTAGAATCCGATGCCAAAGTTCTTCCATTCACAGAGGAAGAGATTGCCCTCAATGCCGATTTATCCCACTACAATGTGACCCTTGCCGAGTTCAACTCCAAGAAGGAAGTCACTTGGCTCACTGGACCCTGGTTATTCTTAGAGTGCTACATTTACCAACTCATTAACTTGTACATTCTCCAAACCAAGAATGAATTCTGGATCAAAAAATTCGATTTTTTCGAAGACTTGAAGAACCAGACTTTCAAGCAATCTGAGTTTGGGGTGCTCGAATTATGTAAACGTTATGAGTTACTTAGCGAGCAGATCAAGGGCGAAAACATTGACTTGGAAACATTGAAATTATTGTTTAACGAGTTTATCGACGTTTCCTTGTGGGGTAATGCCACTGATTTGTCATTACTCGCTGGTAATGTCACCCTTGAAGATATCAAGTCAGTGCAAGGAGCTGAAGTCCGTAAGAAGAATGAAGAAAAGATCTTAATCAATGATCTTGAGGATGCTTGGAAAAAGATAGCAGCAAGCGAAAATACCAATAAGAGGATAGATATTGTCTTAGATAACTCTGGATTTGAACTTTTCACTGATCTTGTCTTGGGACTTTTCTTATTGGATACGAAGCTTATTAGTGAACTCCACCTTCACGTGAAGAGTATCCCATGGTTTGTAAGTGATACAATGACTAAAGATTTCCATAATCTCTTGGATCAATTGGTAGACCCAAAATTCTTTGAAGAAACTATCCATAAAGATCAAGATAACGAAAAGGCTATCAAGTACTTACATTCGAAGTTGGTAGGTTACTTTGAAAATGGCAATATTAAAATAGATGAACATAAGTTCTGGACTTTGGATTACAACTACTGGCAAATTCCCAAGGAAACTGATTTATACAACTCCTTGTTGAAATCGGATTTGATTATCTTTAAAGGTGACTTAAATTATAGAAAGCTTACCGGGGATTTGATGTGGGACAAGACTACCCCGTTCAAAACCGCAATTCAGGATTTAGCAACTTCAAAGTTACCAATTTTGAGCTTAAGGACCTGTAAGGCAGACGTTGTCGTAGGATTGCCGGAGGGGGTCAATGAGAAGTTGATTAAGACATACAAAGAAATGGGCAATGATATTGGAGAATTCTGGACCTCTTCTGGAAAATGGGCTGTAATCAGTTTCAATAACTAGTGTGGCTATTTTTATAGACATTATATATTCTTCATAGGTCCACACTGAAGAGAAGCTACATTATATCTTTACTGGCTCTGCTTGACATTTCTGTAGTATTTTCGTATATAATGTACATAATCGAATCTCATCTATTCATTTTCATTTTCATTAAGAAATTTCTTACTTTTCTTTATTCTCTTGACTTACTTTTACAAATCACCAGCCTTCCTTGAATTACATGCAACAATCTTGAACTTATCTACATTAATCTCGTTATCATTACTATCATTAGTAGACACATCTGTCAACTTTATCAACACGTTCTTAATGATGAATGTCCAGACATCATCACAGAATCTATATGTGTGTAAGTCTCCTTTAAAGGTTAATTTGGATTTGGCAATACCGGCCTCAGACTTCAACAACTCTGAGACAATTCTATCAAAATTATGAAGAATTCTCATTGCGAGCTGAGGTTGTATCTTTTCATCTGAAATCAAAGTGTCAAGTGCATCGGCAAGCGTCGTTCCAATAGTAGATCTTCTATAGAGCTCGTAATAGGCAGGGGCACTCATATTAGATATTATAAAAGATAAAGAACTACAATTACTAATTCGTTGCCTTCATGTCCTTGAAAAAAATTCAAACACTCACTTCATCAGGATAAATTTCCCCAGTAGTACTGTATATAATCCCGATATGGAAAGTGTTCATCAGTAACGGTGGGTGCTTTATAGTACATATCACTGTAGTCTTTCCTTATTGCACTTCAGTTTAGAATTGTCCAGAATGTCGCTTACTCTGAGATTTAGATCATTTGTTGGCGAAGTTAGCGATTTACAGAATGCTGGAGGTAGAAAAGATTCTGTTGTGTTTCAAGCTAAAGTATCGACATTGTTAAAAGAGTTGAATCATTTGGAAAATTTTATTAACCAGTTGCACCTCTTTAGTGATAACGAAACTTTAGAGGAGATAAACCCGGTATATATTCAGTATCTAAACGTCAATTATTTCTTTGCTCGATTATATAACTTGTACTTACTTAACCCAAAGTCAAACAGCATACCATCACAGAGCTCTTTGGGGAAACTGGCTGCGAATGTGGATCCAGTTGCATTTAAATCATTAAACTTGGAACTATGTAAGACCCGATTAATTAACTTTTTGCTTGCCTTACAGAGCTTTAAAGCACTTTCTGAGGGACAGTCTAAGAGGTTGAATTCATTTAAAGAAATACTTAATCCAACTTATGACGAATTGGTTACTTCTTCTGGAACCAACCCAGCTACTAAGAGAGCAGAAAAGATTGAAAATTATAAGCTAGAGAAGGAATTGACTAATAAGTTGCAGCTTTTGGATGACTACTATAAGAGTAAACCTGTCGCGGTAAAAAACAAAAATGACAATGAGGAGGATGATGATGATGATGATGACTTTGATCTTGAGGAGGATGATGACGATATATTTACTAAGTTTGATGAAGAAACTTTGAGAGCAATTTATCAGGACCAGTTGAAATTGAACGCTTTAAGTTCCTTCAATATGCTTGAACTGACAGTTATGGAATTAGAAGTATTATCTAAAAGACCTCCTCCATCAGAATTAGCTTTAAATGACCAAAGAAAGAGTTCGTTTGCAAAAGGCCAGTTCGGACCCGAAAACGACTATGGTTACACGACTAAGCTTGAGAATGTATATAATCCCAATGCCAAAGGCAATGAAAAAGCTTCTCAATTGGTTTCAAAGCAAGGTAAAATCTTACAACCTTTCACTATTACCTCAAATAGGCAAGATTTGAACAAAAAGGTACGTGGAACTGGACAAGTATTGCCTTCCATGTCAGTGGAGGAATACTTGGATTATGAACTCGCCAATGGAAAGATGGTGAAAGAAGAAGCTAAGGATGTACAAAAGGATGAAGATGAATCTGATAATAGTGATGAAGAGCTTGAAAAGAGAAACTGGGACGACTGGAAAGACGACAATCCGAAGGGACTGGGCAACACTGGTGGAAACATTGGTTAACAAGAATACAGCATACATATAGCATTCTGTAACCACGAAATGAATACACATTCTTTATTTATTTTTTATCTTAATCATTAGTAGAATGAATACAGTTTCTCTATGCATCTAGGAAATATCTATTACTTTTATATTTTATACTTACTATATAATTTATACTAAAGACTTTGATTCCTTATGAACTCCATTCTCTCATATCATTTTGTAATTCCATTATCCATTGCTCATACTCCTTATTTATTTCCTCTAAAGTGGTAATACCCAAAGTTTCTGTTTCAATATCAGATGATTTAATTATCCATTGGTCTTCTTTCTTATCAAAACTTTTCAAGCAATTAAGAATAATCATGTAAAGTTCCAAGATCTTTAATTTGTATTGTTTGATATCCTCTTCAACTTCTATTACTTTGTTGTTGTCTCCATCATTTTCTAAAAGATTTTGCTGCTCGTGACGGAATCTGGTAATAAAGATGTACAATGCTTGAATGGCACCCCTTTTGTCTCCTAGGTTCTTTGAAGAAAGCTCCAGCGAAAATCTACCTCCAAACAACCTCCAAGAATAGAGGTATTCGTAATACTTTAAGGAATTGGCCAATGCTAATTCATTATTTGCCAAGCTTAGTAAGATGGAATCAATGAGTAAATAATTGTTACTGAAAATCAATTGTTGACTAGGATTGCTGGTTGAAAAAAGTATGTGTACACTTCTATTCAAGATTAAGTTATTGATAAGTTTAGTGAATACTTCTGTTAAATTAACACTTTGATCATTATTGTGAGCGTCAAGGAATTCTAAGGTCTTGTAAACAATTGAGTATTCATTTAAGATTAGCGCCATTTCAAAAATATTGATATTATATTCAAGTAATTTTTGTTGAGTAGAGGTATTCTCTGTAGCATCAATAGATTCAAGTGCTTCGACAGCTTGTAATTCAAATTTCAAGGCGGTATTTAAAAAAGAGTTAGTCAACTTAGTTTCTGGTTCTGAAAGAGAATATTCTGATGTAGATGCTAAGAAAGTGCTGACAATTGGGGAAATAAATGTAGCATGGTTGTGATTTGTCTTGCTTTGTGTAATTGCTAAAATTGACAATGAATGGTAGTAATTGGCCCTTTCCAATTTAACATCTTCTATCAGCAGATTAAAAATTGAATCTAGGAACGCTTTAATATTCTCATTCATAGTTAAATTCTGAAATATAATTTCCTTCAATTCCAGCTTCACCTTTTGATCTTTAAAGTCAAATACTTCTTGCTCAAAAACTTTGTAGAATTCAGCACTATTGTTGCTGATTAAATAAACAAATCCAATTAAAAATTTATCAATTACCTTTTTGGAATTGAGGTTCTTTATAAAAATTTCCTTTATAAGGTCTCCTTCGTCATGGTTTATAAGTTCGATTATAATACTTGTTATAAAATTTTCATAGTCATTGGAAACTATAGAGTACAACTCATCGTAGGAAGCATTAAACTCACCTTTATTGATCAATCTCCCAAGTTTTGGATGATTTGATACCACTCCATTCCAAAACAATGAATTCTCTAAATTGCTTAGCTGGTTACGTTCGACTTTTCCAGAAAAACTACTTCCAGCACTGCCATTTGAAGTACTATATGAAGTATCAAACACAGTAGATAAGAGTTTGTATGTGGAAAGTTTCGAACTAACCTTATTCATCAATTCCAATATTGGTCCGTTAATTTCCATAAGAAGGAGCAATACAAGCAAGCCAAGTAATATTGATTCATGGCTCCTCTGGATGTCTTTGAACGATATAATAGAAGACAATTTTCTTAAGGATCCGGTTAATGAGTTACGGTTGTCCAAAGCAAAATCAGTAGTGGTCGATTTAGGATCGATTAATTCGTTAAATTCTTGTATAACATTTGGAACCAGACTCAACCTTTCAATAAGACTGTCCCTGTCTTCATCAGAAATTTTACCTGCAAGGTATTTTAGGTAAATCTCTCCTGCAATTTCACCAGTGAAGTAAGGTGTTTGAACCACTTGATCATAAACTTTGATGTAAGTCTTGGTTGAAAGAATGATAGATAGATCATTTAATATTGGGGAAAGATGACTTTTGAAAGTCTCATATGCATGGGCTGGTCTGACTACGCCAACACTATTAGAATTCAATATCAACACCTTACTATCGATATCGTTCACCCATAATGACAAGCATTCTTCACTCAACTTCTTATATTCTTCACATAACGAGTCAACTTTGTACCAATTTAACTTATTATCACCACCTTCATTCAAAGTCTCTAATATGGATTGACGTAATGATAAATGTGTAATGTTGAGGTCGTGGTCCTTGAAGCCGATGTGGTCTCTGAATATGTCTAAGGATGTCTTCACAATTAATTCATTATAATATCCAGAGTTTAATATCTTATCACTGTAGTAACTTGAGTCAAAGTATGGTGAAAATGTAGATAATACAGATTTTTGAGATGCCTTAGAGGACCATTCTATCGACTCTACATGTCCATCAGTCTCACTTATGGTACTAATTGAAACGATAGAGGAAGTGTTAGTTTTCCAAAGAATCCAATACAGGATGCTACCGTTGTCTTGAATCCGTGCAAAAAAGTCTTGAATAAACCAAATGTTCTCATTCTTTCTATTTTTGTCGTTAGTTCTCTTACTCACACTCTGGGGCAATTCTGGCTTGAATTTCAAATCCTTCCTTTCTCTCAAATCAATCTGGGAAGGATCAGTCGAGGAAAGTTCCCAAATCTTGAATACAGAGTTGCTTTGTAAATTATCTCCAGTGTATGCTGCTTTTGTCATAAAATGGCATGTCAAATACTTGTTATCGATGACTTGCAAATATTTTACGGTGGAGCTTGCTGTTAACCAGAATGAGGTGTCCTTGTGATTTTCCTTCAAGTCGATAGAAGGGTAGCAGTGTCTATGCGTGGTCAAATCCCAAATTTTCAATACTTTATTTATCGACAATGTTATGAAAATAGTTGGAGTTAAGAGAGCGATGTCAACCATTGAGTTAAGTGATATGCCCCCGAGAGATTCGATTTCATTCGATGCACCTTTCAAAGAATCTTCTTTCTGCTTACCCCATAATCCTCCTATGAAGTTGAATGGTAATATACTGGTTGGTTCATTAAAATTGTGAACTTCATAATCACTTAATGGGCTCGATCTCTTGAAATGGAGCAATCCACCGTCCTTCAAAGACACAATGAGAGAATTAGTAGACAATGATTTGATGTAAAATGGAGGTGAGCGTAATTCAAACGAATATGGAACAGAAATGTTCCCCCATTGGTTGAACTTGTCCAATTGGAAAGGTTTCCCTAAGTTGGCGTTAACGACGAAATCGTTCAACTGTATCTTGATCGAGGTGAAAAGGTAGTTTTCATCTATTATATCGACAAGAATGAACGCAGAGTCAGCATCTCCGTAATCTGGTGAGCTCTCCAAGTATACTGATAGACATGAAGCAGATGGTAGCCTGTGCGGTAACAAAATTTCAATCTGTTGGAACTTGAGTTCAAGGCTATTGACTTGGGTGGTTAGCGGGGTGAATCGAATAGTTTTCAAATCATTGAGCAAAACAAACGAAACTGCGTCGATAAAGTTACCCTCTATGTCGTTTAAAGATATAATGGAACCTCTGTTGGCAAGTTTCAGATGGAAATTGTCATTATTGGAGGTCAACCTCGTTGAAGTACCATTGGAATTCGATGATGATGAGGATGTTGATTGTGAGATGTATTTGAGGGGTAATTTGGCCTGGATTGTGGGAAAATTGTCAATATAGCCGGTCACCACTGAATCTGAGAACTTCATACCGACTCTCTTGAGTGTTTTATTCCTCTTTGATGACAGATATGGAGCGAAGTTTACACAACAAACGTCTCTGATTTCTCTGGCGTAAATTTTCGTTTTTTGTTTTGATGCGGCAAGTGGAAAGATTATATGCAGGACGTTCATTCTTGAACATGAAAAGTTCAAAGAAGAGGGCCAGAGAAAACGGTGGAGGTTCCTTTTGAAGGCGAACTCTAACAAGTACCCCGTCACTTTAGTAGTATACAATTCTAAATGTCATCTACCATTTTTTACAAGTTTCTACACCAGAAGGTTCAGTCGACGATACATTTCGATGGTACCGGTATATCGGTGTTCGACTTGAAGTTTGAAATCATCCAGCAGAACCATTTAGGTGATGGGTCAGACTTCAACTTATTGTTATATCATCTGGATCAACCTGATGTTGAATACGACAATGATCAGGATGTCATACCGAGGTCTTCCTTTGTGTTGGCTCGTAGATCACCCAGCTTGCTGAAGCATGGGAAGTTCAACAATGCATCACGTTACGTGAGTGGTAAGCCAAGGATCCAGAGGAAGCAGCTTCAAATGCAACTGCAAAATGGTCTGCAACAGACTGGACAGCAATCAGACAAACCAGTAGATGAAAATGTCTCTGAAGAAGACAGAATCAAGCAAATGTTCGAGAATCAGACCAATGCGTGGGCTCAAACCCAAGATGAGCTCTCGACTCACAAAGTGGTGTACAACAAGCCGACGACAACTACACAAGCTGGTGGCACTGTAGCGCCTGAAGATATGCCACCTCCTGGTTACATGTGCTACAGATGTGGTGGTAAGGATCATTGGATTAGGAACTGTCCAACGAACACAGACCCCAACTACGAAGGGAAGAAGATCAAGAGAACAACGGGTATTCCTAGGTCACATTTGAAGACCATTTCAAAAGAGGCGGCAGAGAATAGCTCACTGAATCCTGATAGTAAGATAACCACCAATGAGAATGGAGACTTGGTGGATGCTCAGGGTAATATTTATATGATAACTGACAGTGGGGAATATGTTATTGCTGTGGCAGATAGCAAGACATGGATGAACTATCAGCAAAAGCAGACTAATGCTGTGAACCATGCCAAGCACGAATACGAATTGAAATTGTTGGAGTGTGTAGAAAAAGATGGGAAGTCTGAATTTTTGGATCCACTCTCGTCAACGAAGAAGTTGTTAAGGGCACCAGTAGTGATGACACCATGCTGCCAAACAAAGGAAAGCTTGAAGAAGATGAGTAATTTCAGTTATAATCAGCAAGATTTGGAGCAATTGCTTATAGACAATGACTTCCGCTGTCCAAACTGTGACAAAGACGAGGTGTATTTGGATACATTGATAAAGAATGAAGAATTGATGAAGGAAATGGAGGAGTACATGAAAGAAAAGGAAAAGGAATTGGGAATTGAAAACCCAGAAACTGCCAGTGGTGAGAAGCGTGGATTAGAAGGTGCTGAGGGAGGAGATGCAAAGAGACAGAACACTGCGTTACCATTGAGACCTGATGGAATGCCACATACATTACCGAATGGAATGCCTATGCCACCATTCATACCAGGAATGCCCCCCATGCCTATGTTTATGCCTCCGATCCCACCACCTTTCATGCCACCAAATAAGTAAACACTAACTAATGAATAAATAAGCTAGAGAAAATGAACAGATAGAGTCAAGAGATTTACTTTGGAACCCCACTTTTCTGCAGCGTCTCTCTATCTGCAATGTAGACTGAACCAACCTCTCAGATGCTTTGGTGCAATAAAAATTAGTAAAACGCACAGAAAACGAATGGTGAATTTGCCGTCAACAAACTTAATACGGCATGGAAAAACCTCTAGGCATTTCGTCGCATTTCGACTATTTACGTCCTCTGGATCCATATGAAGCTTCATCACTTCGAACTCACTAAGTGTTGCAGGACTAACCTAGTAAATTCAGTGTCCTGTATATAACCGTTTACCCGGATTTAGGCTATTGAAAATTTTTGTCTTAAATGAAAAAAAATTTGGGCAGCAGAATGGTCGAAAAGTTTTCTCTTTCTCTTCTCTTCAGAAGATACACTAAGGTTCTCGAGCGACTGGGCTAGGGAGACATGGATAGTTCTAAGAATATCCTTACTAATGGTACTCCAATCAAAGGGGATTCTTAGGGCTATTACTTGCCTTCTGTGGCTTCGTTATTTTTTTAGTTTATTTTCTAAAGCGTATGTGCACTAGTGAAGTTTGAAAAATTAACATGGGCTTTGTTCATCAACAACATTCTTGTGATGATCCAAATAATCAAAATCAAACTAGAGTTTGTGACTATTAAGAATGATCAGAACGTTATTACTTCCTGATTGGAATGTTGTTGCAATCAATGATATAAGGATAAACATGTTTTTTTTCTCTGTATTAATGATATCTAATTGGTATACTAACAGTAGTAGGAAGATGTTTATATATATATTTCTTAGTGGATTTTGATATTTTGTGAATATGTATGTGTTTTGATTTTTTTTTTTTTTTTGAGATGCCTTTCGATGATGACTTTAACAAAAACAAAGCTGGAATTACTGGCTGAAACTCTATGATTGATAAGTTTTTGCACCTTGACTGAGCCATTGGCATCTTACTAAAATTGTACATATTAGAAAACTGGTTTACTAACAAATTTAGGTAAGTGATGACTTTGAAACTAAGAAACCAAAATTGGATATTTTGAGTTTTTCATTTTTAATGAGGAATTATTGCACTGGGCACTGAATATATTATGAGTGACAACGCATTATTGGTAGGCCTCAGAAACCTACTGGAACTGAACTTTTATGATTTTTATGATTTTTGACTTCTATTTTAGGATCTGTTTACTAACTTTGAATAGATGTTGTGTCTTCCGTCTTGGAAAAGAATGAATGAGTATGTATATTATCTTCTCTGACTTGATGTTTTTTTTTTTCACTTCTTTTTATGATGAGCTCTATAGATGACGAGTCAGATTTCGGGATTCCCGCTGATGACAAACCTTTTTTTATAACCATTCATGCCTTTCTGATAATATGGTGAAGAAAATAAAAATATGAATGATCTTCAAGTGATGTGAAAATCAATTACTAACAATATTAGTTTGTTTAATTCCAAATATCATTAGGAACGTCGTCTTAGGCTGCTTGTCTGATTGTGCGGTGATACACGATGAGTTTGAAAAAAAAAAGACAAGCATATGTCTAAATCTTTAATGCAGATAAACTTTTTCATGTCTGATATTGCCGTTACAAAACCATTCTAGTTAGTTCTAAAGGACATTACATTCAGGAGATTTTCTGTTTTTTAAAACTGGTATAGAGCAGTATTAACTTTTTTTAAGCTTATCAATGCTTTTGGTTGCGAATAGTAAAGTAAATGATGATTTCACCACATTCACGACGGTCTACTGTGTATTGGGACATGTTAATCCCTTTACCATGATGATAATTTTGGCCTTGACCGGCCGTGGTTCCTGACTACTTTACTTAGCTGTGACTAAGACGATTGATAAGGACATGAAGCGTTTTCTTTTTTGGATTTTTCTTTTTTTGGATTTTTTTTTTTTTTATTATTTGAATTTATAAACGTATGTATAAGAAACTTTTCCCCTTGGTGATGATTTTTTACGATTTGAGTTTATTCAATGATACTTCAAACAAAAATTCGATTTGCATGTCAGTCTGAAAGGTTTATTTTTAACTTTTTTTGATGATGATCACTAACAAATTTAGTTGCATATCACTAGTATATAAAATTAATATAAATATGTAATGATGCGGAATTGGAACTACTGTAGACACATTCTAGCGATCCATGTTGAAGGGAGTGAGGCGTCGAAGGAAGTAAGAGAAGAGCGGCGCTTTATCAAAAAAATAAAAAATTAGTGCACGGCTTTTTATCCTGGTGGATTTTTATTAGTTCGAAGGCTTTAGCTTGAGATCTCGAAATATAGCTCTTCTTTCATATCCGAGATTTCAATTTTGATACCTTCAGCTTATCTAATCGTTATCGACCTCTAACAATGCGTCTTGGAAGACAAGGATCCAGCTCGAATAATGGATCTAGCTCGAACACTAGATCCAGCTCGAATACGAGATCCAGCTCAAAGACTAGATCTCCTCCAAACACCAGATCACCTTCGGTCGATCCACCTTCTTACGATTTTTCTATGGCTACTTCGTCCTCAATGGGCTATTCCAATTCCGAAACTTCCAAGAATGATCAGAACGCATTTGGACCACCTCCACCCATTATCAGAAGGAGCAGCAGTAATATCTTGCGTAATACCACCTCATCACCTCCCCTTCTACCACTACAAGCTCTGAACCAGCTTCCATCCCCACCTAAAGTAAGCCACACTCCATATAGGCCATCAGCAGAACAACAAAGCCATATAGATTCCTTATCTTCAATCGCTCCACTCAGCCTGGTAACCTCCAACACTCATACTGAATACTTTGATATGTTACCCTCATTCCAGATGTTTCAATCAATTCTTAAGAGAGATAACGATCAATTCAATGAGAATATGACAGGGGAGCCTCCTGTCTACGGAGATGTATCCAACTCTTCTCCAACTCCACCTGGTTTGAGTCCTGTTTCCAGCTCCAACAATCTCAGCGCTATTAGTAGTAGTAGATCGGACTATTTCTTCCAGCAGCAAAGAGACAATAACATTGATGCGATGGTTGGCGCTGATGACTCAGTAGAAAGTCTTCTGGAAAGACTTCAAAATAACCATCTTCGCTTAGACGATGACCATGAATACAACAATCCTGCGGCTACCAATGCCGAAGGACAAGACGGAGGCTTGCACCATCCTTCAAATATTGCTCAGTCCCATGAAAACTATGGGCACACTGTACTTGATAATATAGATAAGCTTCCCAAACTTTATGACTCTCCTTTGGATATCCAAATATATGTGACGAAGAGGGTTCCACAACCTGATGTTGCCAATGAATTGGAAACTAGGTTGAAAGAGTATTCAATAGGTGATGTGGTTAATGGGTACATTACAATTGAAAACACGTCGGACAAGCCAGTTGATTTCGGATTATTTATTGTAACTTTGGAAGGTACTGTTAAAGCAACTGAGAGAGTTAATTCACAATCCATTAATGCAGGTAAGATCAAAAGAATCTTGTTGAAAAAGTTCTTGAAAATGTTTGATTTCAATGCATCTTATGGGTACGGTTATATCCCCAGTAGTTCCGGAATTGAATACACTCCATTATCGGTAGATCTTCATGATGGATGTATCTTTGGTATACCTGATGAAAGGGTATTGCAGCCACATGCCAAGTACAAGAAATTCTTTACCTTCAAGTTTCCAGAAAAGCTATTAGACAACTCATGTTTAAATTCGGTATTACCTCATGTTTTACCTCCTCCTTCATTGGGAATTGATAAGACCAGTTTCTATGGCAGATCTGCTGGAATAGTTTTAAATAAGGCCTTGGGATATGGGTTCTTGAATAATAGGGGGACACCCTTGTTGACAAAAGATTATTGTTATGAAGATGTCAGTATTTCATATAGCATTGAGGCCAAATTTATTGATAAATTGAATGCTAAAGATCAAAAGAAGGCAATTTCTCACGCAGATATCAATGATCCTGATGCTGATGTGAATAAATATGTTGTTCTGAAGTCGGCACAATATTTCTTGAGGTTTATTCCGGATGTTAAGAGGCAATTGGATTATATGGATTTAGATTTCCAATACGGAGGTGAAACGTATGCTTCTGCAGGTGTTGATGGAAAGTTATTTGAAAACTATTTAAATATGGTGACATGGAGGATTATTAATGACTTGAATTTCCAAATAGAAAGGGACATTGATGTGAAATTGAGTCATGATGAGATGAGTGATGCTGATATTAAACATAAAAACTTGATCTTACAGAATTCTCAAAAGACAACTAATAATTTACACAATTTCAATGTTAAGGACCAAATTATTAGCCAGTTGGCTAACTCTCATCAGGCTGACTTGGAAATAGATGACAATTTGTATTACCATGATGAAAGAATGATTGGGAGCGCAAAAGCTATGGATATATATGGAAAGAAGAAAAAGAAAATCTTGTCTTCCTTGATTAAGATTGGAACTGGTAAATTATTTGTTCGAATTCCAAATAAGCCATTTCCGTACGTTGCACCAAAATTGCTCATGAAGTACAATTCTGGAAGTGCGGGAGCTAGTGGTAGTGTGACTCCTGGAGGAGGTTTGTCGCCTATGTCTTCCAATGATCATAACAGCTTTTTCATGCCTAAACAGTCAAGATCTATTGACACCAGCTTAGCATTGTCACCTGTGACTTCTGGCGCACTGATGACCTCCAATGGAAGCGGAAGCAATAGCCATATGATGGATTTATATCACAGAGAATTTCATGAGATGCCAGAGTACGTTGATATTAGAATTGTTTTCAACCCTACGGAGAATTCGACACAACCTCCGAAAATCGACTTTATCGAAGCAAATATCGTATCATGGACTTACAACACGGATTATCCCTTACCATTTAAGGTTGGATACGACTTCTTTTACTGTAATCCTAAGGACGAGTCGCTACATACTCAAGACTTGGATGATGCGGAAAAGACCAGAGAAAACTTACAGCATTTAAAAGATTTGGCATTCAATTACCTTCAGTTCGTAAAAGTTAATGACGCTATTATACCAAGAGAGTCATTTTTATACCTTAAGTCATTGAAGTCCCTTACCTTTAAGAAAGATGTACTTAAGGAGTTTTTTCAAAAAGCAACCCATGCAAGTCATCCAGAGCTATTAAACAGCGAAAGTGGTTGGAAGGCTAAGCAATCCGGTAAGAACAAAATGTTGTGGTATAAGGATATCAAATTGCCATTAAATTTGGTCAACAAATCAAATGTTAATTTAATCCCATCTTTCCAACAATGTTTGATTGGTAGAGCTTACTGTTTACAAGTTGTCGTTAAATTCAAAGGAAGCGGATCTGATCAGAAGGAATTTGCTGAAAATATACTTAGAATGGACGTTCCAATATTTGTTGGCTAGGCACATTGCAAGTATCTAGATTTGGAAACTATGCAACATATGTACTGTATTAGAGAACATCTTATTTAACCAGTTACTTATATAGAATTAATAGAAGTTAGAATCATAAGAACCTTCCTAAGTAGGGACAAATAAAGGGTCACACATATTAGAGTGAAAGAAAAAAATAAAGCCATAGATTAAACTTTCCATAATGCCAAATCATCCCCACAGAAAGTTAAGCTTAATAGTGAAAAAAAAAAAAAAAAAAAAAAAAGAAGACAGAAGGAATTTATTGAGTGCAAGCAATCCCACACCATTATTTGACAAAACCTATCCGTACTTCTGCTGTTGCTAATGCTTCGCCAACTAGTGTCCCAGAGGTAGCTATCAAGCCCGGCTACGCTAAATGTCAGTACACAATGGATCACAATGTACCTGATGTACTATAGTTAACGTCACCTTCAGTTGTCCTGTGTGGTTGCAACAGATGTCACGTGTCTGTGACTCACGGCCTAATTAGGTAACTCGTGTTAAGGCGAAAAAAATTAGCCGCGATTCGCTATCAGCAAAGCTGGGACATCTGAAAATTTTCATTCTCCTAAGTATAATACCATAAAATTTTCCTTCTTTCTTTAAGTTGTAATTTAAGAGGAATTTTTTTGTTATAATATCCTTCTTTTGTATTAAAAGTCTTTATTGGTAAATAAAAAAATATGTTAAGAAGATTTCAACGTACTCTTGCTACCGCTGGTGGATTTGTCAACAAGACATCTCAACTTGACAGAGCCACACTTACCATCAAGGGAGGACCAGTTTTCAGCGGGTACTCATTTGGTGCAGACAAAAATGTCAGTGGTGAAGCAGTTTTCACCACTTCGTTGGTAGGATACCCAGAATCGATGTCTGATCCTTCATACAAGGGACAAATTTTATGTTTCACCCAACCTCTTATTGGAAACTATGGTGTTCCATCTTCTTCCAAGAAGGATATCTTCAACTTGTTGAAGCATATGGAATCACCACAAATCCAATGTATTGGTATCGTTGTTGCTGATGTTGCTTTAGAGTACTCTCATTGGACTGCCGTCGAATCTCTTCAACAATGGTGTCAAAGATCAGGCGTTGCTGCTATCTCTGGTGTTGATACTAGACAGTTGGTGTCATACTTGAGAGAGCAAGGTTCTTCGTTAGCCAAAATTACCGTCGGTGAATCTTACGATGCCGATGAAGATGCTGCCTTTGAAGATCCAGGTTCTGTCAATTTAGTGCACAAGGTCACCACCAAGGCTCCGTTCCACATTGCTTGTCCAAAGGAATTCTCCAAGGGCTATCACGTTGCTGTTTTGGACTGTGGTGCTAAGGAAAACATCTTGAGATGTCTCGTTGAAAGAGGTGCTTCAATTACTGTTTTCCCATACAACTACCCAATTGACAAGATTGCCAACAAGTTTGATGGTGTTTTCATTTCCAACGGTCCAGGTGATCCAACCCATTGTTCCGCCACTGTGGAACTGTTGAAAAGAACCATTGCAAAGTACGAAGAATTACCAATCTTCGGTATTTGTATGGGACATCAATTGTTGGCCCTTGCTGGTGGTGCAAAGACCATTAAATTGAAATACGGTAACAGAGCCCATAACATTCCAACCTTAGATTTGACTACTGGGCAATGTCACATTACATCTCAGAATCACGGGTATGCCGTTGATGCAGCCACATTAAACGGTGATTGGGAACCATACTTCCAAAACTTAAATGATTTGTCAAATGAAGGTTTGAAGCATAAGACCAGGCCTATATTCTCCGCCCAATTCCACCCTGAAGCCAAGGGTGGTCCATTGGATACTGCTTTCCTTTTCGACAAGTTTTACGAAAACATTGAAACATACAGAAAGAACAACGGATTGGTTTCTTCAACTGTTGACAACAGTTTGTTAGTTGACATTTTACCAACTGGTAGAGTTCAATAAACGGTGAAATTAGGTAATGAGAGATTTAAATTTTGAAAAAAGAAAACTAAACAGCTACAAAAATATACGGAAACACTTAGAATTATTCGAAAGAATTAAATAAAAGAAAAAAAAAATAAAAAGTACTGAACAGTTGGTTGTTGTAGCGATCGACTAGTAATTAAAGGAATAAATAATTTATGAGAATAAAGCTGAGTGCATGTAACCGTACCAAACGATATTGAGTTGGTCCTTTGTAGAATAGGCTGCTAACGAGTGTGAACCACTGTGGACCAGTGTGAACTAAGCTGGATCCAGATGAAATTGAAGTGTTTAAGTCAACCGTTTGCCAGTAGCCGTAGTACAGTATACTTCTTTATGAGAAATGGAACCTCTGCACTGAATATGTGAGGACTATTCTGCGTGAGCCGCACGTTCCAGCAAAAATACATATATTGTTTGAAAACTGTCACTGGAGTGAAAAATAGAAGGAAGGAAAAGAAACGAAGCTAGAACACGATTTATACGACTTGCCACATCTAGCTCTAGCACCTAGCTCCCCTGTTTCATTACTAATCTGCTCTGTGTCGTATAACACATGTGGCCCACTCACATGCTCTTGTCTAGTTCCTCCTATAAGATGCCAGTCGTATAACTGCGGGATGCATACTGGGAGATAGCCAAAGCATAATTTCTATTTTCGTTTACATTTTATTATTCTGCAATTGGTGCCTACTCTCATTCCGACACAAAGGTAGATCCGGCCATGAAACCTTTGTATCTGTCAACATTAAGCTTTCCACCCTTCGTACAGCTCGTTTAACCACCTCGTATACCGCCTATCACTCTCTTTTATTTTATATGTTCCATAGAAAAATGGTGCAGGACATCACACCACATACATGTGCGTGCTTAATATGGCTGCGAAAAATCAGACCAGCGACAAGCGAGCCATCACATAAGAATTATAGGCAACTAAAAATATATTGTATATATAACACAAGGAAGAATCCATGCTATGCCATAAGTATAGGAAAACAGATAGTTTATACTTCGCATTCTTTTTTTTACTTTAGCAGAATTCCGAAGTCCAATAGTATGGAATTCTTCAACACTACTTCTTCGCTTTCTCATTTGTTGCCTCAACAGCAACACCCAAGCTCGTACTTCGATGTGCTTAGACAGCTTGGCGAATCTCCGGACCTGCAAATAGCAAACTTGTCCTTAATAGAAAGGCTATGGGCATCTTGGTATATTTTCATGAATAATGATATCCTTGCCACTGGGTTGTTATTTTTCATTACTCATGAAGTTGTATATTTCGGTAGATGTATCCCGTGGATGATCATTGACCAAATGCCATTCTTCAACAGATGGAAGATCCAGGCAAGCAAAATCCCTTCCAACAAGGAACAGTGGGAATGCATGAAAGAGGTTTTGAAATCCCATTTATTGGTTGAAGCTTTGCCAATTTGGTTGTTTCACCCCATCTGTGCTAATTTAAACATATCGGTTGAAGTGCCATTTCCCTCATATTCGACCATGGCATTTCAAATAGCAATTTTCTTTGTATTGGAAGATTTCTGGCATTACTCGTTCCACAGGCTATTCCATGTTGGTTGGTTCTACAGGAATATTCATAAGCAACACCATAAGTATGCAGCACCATTTGGGTTGACTGCTGAATATGCACATCCAGTTGAAGTTATGGCCCTTGGAACGGGGACAGTTGGATTCCCCATTCTTTATGCATATTTATCCAAGACCCAACCATATGGCTTGAACATACCAGAATTACACTTGTATACTCTTACATTTTGGATTACGTTGAGATTATTTCAGGCAGTTGATTCCCACTCTGGCTATGATTTCCCATGGTCGTTGAACAAATTTATACCATTCTGGGCAGGTGCAGCACACCACGACGACCACCATCATTTTTTCATTGGGAACTATGCAAGTTCATTTACATGGTTTGACTTCTTCATGAGCACAGAGAGTGGACAGATTGCAAAAGCAAAGAGAGAGAAGAAGATGAGAGAACACGCAGAGAAAGTTCTCTAGGAAACACAAATAGTATAATAAATGAAATAAATGATATAAATGGAATAAGTGCAATATATGTAACGCAATTTGTGCAATGAACGGAATGGAACATCACGCAGTACAATGTACTAATATGGCCGGAAAGTATTTCAAAAGCACCATAGTGTATGGAATTGAATGCCATAATTTATAGCAGCACCAGGGCGGAACATATCCAAAAAAAAACTGTAGAAGTGGTAGAACTAAATATTTAACTGTCATATTCGCCTAGGTTGCACGCTCGTTGCACGCTAGCTGCGTGAAATGTGCGAGGCATAAAGTGCAACCTCAGCCAATCCCCAGGCGACAGTAGAGACGAACACACTTCATCTAACTCCAATGCAAAAGACGCCAAAAGTCAGGTCAATCGCCACAATACCATTTGCTCTTTCCCCATTATCTCCCTTCAAGTAAGCTCTTCCCCAAGTCCTCTCTCACCGTCTTATACCTCAACCCCATTCCCACTCAGGCTACATAACCATGAAATGCAACCATTTCCTCTCCTCTCAATACACCGCACTAGGGCTGTAAACCTAAAGCCAACTCACTCACGTGCCATTTAGGCGATCTAATTTTTCACTTTCTAACTTTTTTCTCAGTGACTGCGCTTGTGAGAATTTTCTTTGTGTAACAAACCTCAACCTCATTTCCAGTTTCCTAGTCTCTCGCCAGCTGGAGGAGATGCTAGTAGTAAAAAAAAACCCAAACTGAAAAAGGTGTTTCCTAGAAATAACCCATATACTTGGAATATCAACAGCAAAGTAAGTGACTCGATATAGTATGAGACGTGTGAATATATATGTATATGTGTATCTAAAGAAGAAGAGGTAAATTAGCAAAGTGGAAAGATGGAAGACCGTACCGTTGTATTTCTGACTACTCAACTGTAGTTCAATGAAAAAAGGTGAAAAAATATGTGAATATTTGCAGAACGACATCTATGCATGTTGGATGGTCGTTTATGATGTCTACAGTAAGCACATTCATTATGTAAAACACGATAATTCAGAGAAAGCAGACAAGGTGAAAGAGCATTGTTCTAAGAGTGTTAGAGAATTTGACCGATGAGTTTTTTTTTTTTTCAACCTCCAAAATTTTTCACCACACCATCAAGGCTAAGGACGAACGATTGGGGGGAATAAGTCAGCACATAAGGGAGAGGTTTCAGGTACAAAAGCAGTACGGCGTAACACCAATCATTACCACCTATACACTATACATATATTCCAGGAGTCTTGATACCAAAAGAATTTTTTCTTTTAATTTTTGAATTTTTTTTTCTTCCATTTTCATAAGTACTAACAAATTCTTCAGTATGTCTAGATTAAACGAATATCAAGTTATCGGTCGTCGTCTTCCAACTGATTCTGTTCCAGAACCAAAGTTGTACAGAATGAGAATCTTCGCTCCAAACACCGTTGTTGCTAAGTCTCGTTACTGGTACTTCTTACAAAAATTACACAAGGTTAAGAAGGCCTCTGGTGAAGTTGTTTCAGTTAACATCATTTCTGAAGCTCACCCAACCAAGGTTAAGACCTTCGGTATCTGGATCAGATACGATTCCAGATCTGGTATCCACAACATGTACAAGGAATACAGAGATGTTACCAGAGTTGGTGCCGTTGAAACCATGTACCAAGATTTAGCTGCTAGACACAGAGCTAGATTTAGATCAATCCACATTTTAAAGGTTGTTGAATTAGAAAAGACTGATGACGTCAAGAGACAATACGTTAAGCAATACTTAACCAAGGACTTAAAGTTCCCATTACCACACAGAATCCAAAAGTCCAAGAAGTTATTTGCCTCCCACGCCCCATCTACCTTCTATTAAACGATTTAATTTTATGTTTTGCTGGTTTTGAGTGTATATTTTGGTAAAAGAAAAAGAAATAGATTAGAACTAGTTGAATGTATGTGATAAGTTAAGTAATTAAATGTTAAGAAGGATGTAGTGTGTAAAGATGAGGTTTTGTAGCCAAAAAGAAAAAAAAAACAAAAAAGACACCGGAGCTGGCACATTCCTGCTGAAAAGTTGTATTTAAAAACGTATATATACTTAAATACCTACGCTACATACAACACCCTCGTCATAGTCTAATTAAATAAGAATGAAACTCACTAACTAATTGGTCCAATTCGCGACACCAACAATTCCGCACGGGATGCGAACTCCCCTAAGTGAATTAGAAAAGCTTATCATCTCAGGTTGTATTTAAATTGGACTGGATATTGCGATATTACTTTTATACACCAGTTATTCTTTCTCCATATTTGCTGGAGACTTCCTTCTTTAGTTCAAGTCTTATAATCATGTCCTACGGTCCAAAAGCTGCTGAGAGGTTGGCTAATAAAATTATTCTCATCACTGGTGCATCAGCAGGAATCGGTGAGGCCACTGCGAAAGAATTCGCTGCTGCAGCTGATGGGAACGTCAAGCTAATCTTAACTGCTAGAAGAGAAGACAAACTTGATGAATTATCGCAAGAATTGAAGAAGACGTATCCAAACATCCAGATTTACACTGTAGGATTAGACGTTTCCAAGACTGAAACTATTGCACCTTTCCTTGACTCGCTTCCCGAGGATTTCGCGGACATTGATGTCCTTATCAACAATGCTGGTAAGGCAATGGGCCTCGACAAGGTTGGAGAAATCTTGGACGAAGACATCAACGCAATGTTCCAAACAAATGTTTTAGGGTTAATCGCAATGACTCAACATGTGTTGAAGATATTTAAAAAGAAAAACTCGGGGGATATTGTTAATTTGGGTTCTATCGCTGGAAGAGATCCTTACCCTGGTGGAAGTATTTATTGTGCAACCAAATCCGCAGTTAAATTCTTCTCCCATTCATTAAGGAAAGAGTTAATTGACACCAAGATTAGGGTGTTTGAAGTTGATCCAGGTAACGTGGAGACTGAATTCTCCAATGTCAGATTTAAGGGTGACTTAGAGAGGGCCAAGAAGGTATACGAAGGTACTGAACCGTTATATGCCCCAGATATCGCGGAAATCATCGTTTTTGGCTGTTCCAGAAAGCAGAACACCGTTATTGCTGAAACCTTAGTATTTTCTACAAACCAGGCCGGACCATTCCATATCCACAGAAATACATAGAGAAATAGAATCAATGTTCATGTATGTGATTTCAGAAATATATTGCATCCTACAATAACTTTAGTAGCGGTATGTACTTCTCTCTCTATCTCTTTCACTCTCTTCTTATTTCGATCTTGGTGAAAAATTCGGCCTAATTGGGACAACTGCGATCAAATGGCGTCATAGGGCTAGCACTACGATAGATACCAATTTCTTTGACATACTTGTTGCAAATCTCTTAGTTTAGCAGCTCGTCGCCTCCTCAACTATCATAGAGTATACAGGAAGCTCGCCTCCTCTGAAGACTCAAACTTAACAGCGTTTCACTGATTCTTGTTCTTAAGGCTGCACTGTAAAAGTGGCTCCTCAGTAACTTCCGAGCTCCGTTCCTACATACAGAGCAATGCTAATCTCCCTTATCCATGCTGGATGAGTGTCGGGTTTGGACCGACGGATTACTCATCCCCAGGTGTGTACAACGTATTCCTAAATAATACTTAAATAGTACTTATAATCTGGACTTCCACACATTCGGTTAACCTTTGATTTCATTTCTACTAAAAACCAACCAATTGCTAACAATGTCCTACGGAAGGAAAGCTGCTGAGAGATTAGCTAACAAGATTGTTCTTGTCACCGGTGCGTCCTCCGGTATTGGAGAAGCCACTGCAAAGGAATTTGCCGCTGCTGCTAATGGCCAATTGAGACTTATTCTCACTGCTAGAAGACAGGATCGTTTAGAGGAGCTTTCCAAGCAATTGAGTAAGACCTATCCAGGTATCAAAGTCCACACTGCAGGCTTAGATGTGTCCAAGATCGAAACTATCAAGCCATTCATCAGTGGATTGCCAACAGATTTTGCCGATGTTGATATTCTTATCAACAACGCTGGTAAAGCACTTGGTAGAGCAAACGTGGGTGAAATCGAGGAGACGGATATCCAAGATATGTTCCAGACCAATGTACTCGGTTTAATTACCATCACTCAAGCAATTTTACCGTTAATGAAGAAGAAAAATTCAGGTACCATTGTTAATTTGGGTTCTATCGCTGGAAGAGATCCTTACCCAGGTGGAAGCATTTACTGTGCAACGAAATCCGCTGTGAAGTTTTTCTCCCATTCATTGAGAAAGGAGTTAATCAATACCAAAATCAGAGTCCTTGAAGTCGATCCAGGTGCAGTGGAAACTGAGTTCTCAGTTGTTAGATACGGGGGAGACGAGAAATTGGCTGCTGCAACTTATGCTGGTATGGAACCTATGGTTGCTCTGGATATTGCTGAAGTTATCGTCTTTGGTGCCACCAGAAGGGAAAACACGGTCATTGCGGAAACCTTGGTTTTCCCTACAGCGCAGGCAAGTGTCTCCCACGTCTACAAGGGTTAGGGTAGGGAATACTTTAGTAGTACTGTGCTAGAGAAATAAACATTATGCAGCCTCTCTTAGGTATCTCTTCTGCTTGTATTTGTCTTGTATGTATCTATGTAATCATTACACTTCCATCAGAAGCTGAGCTGCTCTAACGTCTTGGTAAGTTTCGCAGCTCCATCCACAGAGGTGTTGCCGTCAATGGTAACCTTGGCCCTGTTCATCTCTAGCCCTGCCAACAACATACATGCCTTGCATATCTTATTGGAGGAGAGGTATCCACACTTTTCACACCTGTTTCCATCTTTAAACTCTATCTTTTTCTCCCTTCCAAGAGACACCGAGCCATCTGGGTTTATTTCTTGTTCCTGGTTCTCTAGCACCTTCTTGCTCTTGTTCTTGTATTGTTGGTTATGCTTCTTGGGCTTCTTTGGGGCAAGCGCTAAATGTTCTCCGCTGTATATTATATCCATGATACATGAAGGACGCACAGCCTCTAATGCCTTTAATAGCTCACGTGTAGTCCCTCTAAATGCCTCAGGAGCATAGGTACATTCTGTGGAGAAGTAGTCTAACTTCTTGTAGTGAGCATACAACACTATTTCCTTTTGATATGTGTACTTGAAGGGCTTGGACCTCTTGATAGGGGAGCCGGACGATTGCGTCAAAATGGTGGTAGACTTCTCCAACCTACCAGTATCTCCTCTCAACAAGTTCATCAATACGGTCTCTGCCATGTCATCGGCGTTGTGGCCCGTGACCACATGGTTAATGTTCAATTTGGCTGCTCCTCTATCCAACGCCTGTCTTCTTAAGACTCCACAATACGTGCAACTAGACCTTATTCCAGCACAGGAAACGATCTCGTCCATAGACCAGTTATATAAGTCCTTATAGGAAACAATTTCCAACTCCATTTCATACTGCTTCTGGTTTCTCTTGACTGTGGCCAATGAGTCATCTCTGTACCCTTTGATACCTTCATCGATGGATAAGAGCACCAACTCCAAGCCATAATTATACCTTTCGTTTAACGTTTTCAATACTGATGCTAGCACAGTGGAATCTTTACCACCTGAAGCCCCTATGGCTACTCTGTCTCCCGGTTGGAAGAGTTTAGCATCCGTTATAGTATTATGTATCTCTGTCTCGAAGACCACATAGAAGCATTCTTTGCAAAGCTTCTGGAGATTCTTTGGCCTTTTCATTACCGCCTTGCGACCGTGACATAATTCACATAAGGAGCTTACCTTTATCTTTTTAGGCGTCTCTGCGGTCATTTTACTAACAATATATGATATTTCCCTTGCAACTACTCCACCTTCTGTTGCCTTCAACGCTGAGATGAGCTGCTTTCATATCGCACCAGTTTGGATCAAACAAAAAAAAAAAAAAAAAAAAAAAAAAAAAAAAAAAGAAGTGAAAAATTATTGCGACAGACCAACTAATCTGTCTAAATGGTCATGGTGTTCCTCTCCCATTCTTTAGTCGAGTTCGTTCATTCGTTCATTTAGAGTCTACAGTATTGTACCTGCTCCTACACGCTCTCTTCATTTTTACTAATGTTGTATATTTTGTCACTGATCTATCTATACAGTGAGCAATTGGCAAAAAACAAGCTTGCCCCAAACTTGGGAGCGATGCAAAAAAAGATTATATAAACTTGAAATTCACCAAGCCAAGTCGTCTTCTTTTTTGTTCATATAAATATAGATATATATATGTGTACCCCTTGATCATCATTTCTTCTCTATTGAAACTCATCATTATTAGTATTGACACTTGCGTATCTGAACCTACTGTTTTCTTCTTGTTCCTTCTGCTCTCTTTGTTCCTTCTGCTGTTGGACTTGTTGCTGCAGCTTTCTACCATGACCATTAGCAGCGGTCTTTTCATTCTTTTCCGTCACAAGACCAACCTTTTCGTTCATCACAATTGCTAATTCTTGCAATCTAGTTCTTTGGTGTTCCTTAGAGATGAAGACAAGGAAATTTGGAATTTCAGCTGGCACTTCGTTATCGTCAAATTCATCCTTAGCCTCAGAAACTTGTTCTTCCTGTTGTTCGCCTTCTTGTTCTTCATCTTCTTCTTCTTCTTGGTTACCTTCCTTTTCTTCTTGTTCTTGTTCTTGTTCTTCTTGTTGTTCTTGTACTACTTCTCCTAAGCTGGCTCTAATTTCTCCACCACGAATCATCTTTCTAACAATCTTATAAACTTCAACAGTATCTAAACCAAAAATAGTACTCAATTTGGAAATAGATAACTTAGAGTAAATAGATTGATAGGTGAAGATGTATGTTCTTAAACCTTCAACTTGTAATTGATTCTTCATCATAGCCAATAATGATTCATTATCTGGGAACAATTTCCAAATCTTGATGGACAGTAATAACTCATAACTCTTAGACCAATCACCCTTTTGCAAAGCCTTGGCAGCGTGAACAACATGATCTTTAATACTTTCAGGTGGGCCAGTGAAATATTGCTTGTCATAGAATTCCAATTTACTCTTGAATGATTTTATAGAAGTCTTACGTCTGTTGTCCTTGTTGGAACTATCGTAAGAAGCAGCGATAGCTGGAATTTCCAATAAAAAGGTACCAGTCATGTAAACACATTCAAATAATTCCAAGTTTATATGCATATGGAATGGCAATAACTTTTGCTTTTCGGCTGTGGTGGCTTGATTTGGATATTTGGTACTGAAACCTTGTCCCAATAATTCCTTTAATCTTTGGGTGTTTGCAATTTCAGTTAATGTTAGATGGGATTCTTCAATAAATCCAGATCTGAATGCACTTAATCCTAATTGAACTAATGCCCTGTTATACATAACTTGAATGGTAGAATCAGTCTTGTGGATTTGTGAATAAAGTTGTGGGTCCAAGAATAGCGCCTTAGCTTCTTGATATTTGTTATTGACAGCATAGTAGTAGACTGTGCAAAGTACGGATTTCTTCTTGTAGACGGAGTGAGATTGCTTGGAAAGGAATTGCGATAAACTATCAATCAACTCGGAAGGTGATGCATTTTTAGAAACAATTTGTGAATCAGCACTTTCAGGGATATTGCTCCAAACTTGTTGTTCAATGGCAGTGATCAATTGATCAGGCTTATAGTAGATGTGTTCTAATCTTCTGCTGGTAATTCTAGCCAAAGACTCACCTTGCTCGGTTGCTCTGACTTCCACTGGGGTGGTTAACTCCAAGTACAATTGTCCTCTAACAATCAATTGATAGATCTTGTTCTCGTCCTTTAATCTTTCGATGTAATCCAATGAGTGAGGATCAGAGTTTTGTAATGATCTGGTGAATTCATCATCTAATCTTTCAATTAAAGAAGTAATAGATCCGGATATAACTTTAACACCTTGGTTGTTGGCTACTGGTTCAATATCCAAATCATCAGTTATGGAACCTAATTCAGAAACTTGGTAAGTGCTGGAAACATCGTTTAACAAGTCTAACAATGAGTTGACTTCAAGTTCACTCTTAGTCCATTGGTCAGTTGGCATGAACAAGAAGTTGGAAGATGCATCGAATCTAATGGATAACAACATAAGATAAGATGAGATTAATTCAAAAGTCTTGGTGGAAGCTGGAGAAGATTCATTTATCTTTACAATCAAATCTTCCAAAGCTTGAATTTGTTCAAATCTGTCCACGTTCTTCTTACCACGGCTTTCAGAAATAACTCTTAAAGTAGTGAAAGTTGGAGATAAGATTCTTTGGGAGTCAATCTCTGGGGTCAGTGTTTGGTTATTAGTTTCATCACCTTCGAGTGGCTTCAAGTAGTCATCGAGTGGTTGTTCCTTATCGAATAAGTCAGGTTGTTCTCTAAACAATTCAATTTCTTGTTGGTATTCCTTCAATTGCTTCTTGACTCTTTGCTTAACAGTGTTGAAGGCCTTAGCTAAGGCAGCGTTCATCTTCTTCTTACTTTCCTTTTCATTGGCAGCAGTCTCGGTAATATAATCGTCTGTTTCGGCCAATGATTTAATGTAGAAGTTTGGAATAGTAATGTTTTGTTGAGTGGCTCTGATTAATTGACGGTTTAATCTATCGAATTCGGTCAAAACAGTGGACCAGTCACCTGAACGACGAGCAGTGGCAATTGCGTCAACGAAGGATCTCATTTCATCTAATAATTTTTCTTTAGAGGACTTCACAACTCTCTTGCCTTCATCTTCACTGTCTGAGTCGGAATCTCCGCCTGCACCCTTAAGGAACGATTTCTTTAAGAAATAGGCTGGTCCTGTGGGTCTTTCACCATCAGAATCGTCGGAATCTGAGTTATTATCTTCATCGGAATCATCATCGGAATCATTGGCAAATTCGGAATCGGTTGACAATTCTTCAGAGGAAGATAAAAGTTCTTCTTCGGAAGAAGAAACCAAATCTTCTTCAGAACTTGAATCTGAGCTATAACCAGAGGCAAAGAAACGAGACATATTGCAATGTTTTTCTTTGGTTTGGTGATGTTACTTGCTTAAACTCTTTACTAACTAGCTTTTTTTTCTTTGTCTTTTTGAAATCATTGAAATTTTCGTTGAAAAAAAAAAATTTCACATTCCACAAATTACGCGAAGATCCGCGTTGGGCGTAATATTGGGACTCACTGGGTCGTTTGAGTGGTGTGCCAGGGCAGGTACGGGGTATGGACAAGACCGTTGGTGGCAAAATACTGAAGCTTGGAGAAGTTTGTGCAGTTATGGGATCATCATAGACCCTCATTGACGCGTAGCACAGTATGTCTGGCGTTTTATGTGGTGTTATGTTGCTACTCTGTCTCCTCTGCTACAGGTGGGACCTGGAAAATGCAACATGTTATATGCAGTATTTGGCACACTGTGTAAATCCCCTACTATGATCTACACAAGCTCTACACTTTAGGTGACAATTAATGGCAAATTGGTTACATGTTCGATATCTTTATATGTATGTATATGTATGTATGTGTGTGCATGTGTGTGCATGTGTGTGCATGTGTGTGTATGTCTGTATTTATGCTACATTCAGGATTCAGGTATTCCCTTCAGGATTCCCTTTCCTACTCTATATTGCTGCTCTGACAATTTCATCATGGTATCTTCTAACCTTCAGAAACAAAAACGGTCTCTCATTCTTCAACGTGAATTCGCTGATTTCCCTTTCTCCTGTAGCTTCGTCGATCTCCTTCTTAAGCGCGAAATACTTTATCCAGGCGAGTTTATTATGTCTGAAAATAGGTCCCAGAGACTTCAATTTGAAGAAGTAATGGAAATCGTACGTTGGTACTGAGCCCTCAGTAATGGTGACATGTAGCTCTTCATCGGAAGTAATATTCCACTTACCCTTAAATATTTGGTGTGTCAGAGACTTAGCGTGGCTCTGGGCCGCTTGAGCCTGCGATTGGTTCAGTTGAGCGTGTGGTGCTTGGAGAGTCTGCTGTTGCTGCTGCTGTTGCTGCTCAGAGTGCACCGGGATCAAAAACCTGTTTCTTCTCAGCAATGATGGGATCACAGAACTAGGATCCAAATGCGTTAGCACCTTTATACAGCTACCATCTGGATAGAATCTGAGATATCTATAATATGTAATCAGTCGAGCAGGATTGGTCCAGCTATTGGAAAACTCTGCTCTACCACCTTCACTGTAATAATTCACAACACTTATGTAGCACCCCAGAAATTTGATAAATGGCCTTTCGTTAAGCATTTTCTTCCACGAATGGCTATACTGAGGCACAATTAGTTCCTGCAGCTTGGGGATTGGTAAATCGTCATCCTCTATGTCATTCAAACTACCTTCTGTGAATAGCTGGTTTTCTTCGTAAATTTGCTGTGGAAACACTAAGTTGCATAGTTTCATCCACAATATCGAAGACCTGAAGCCAAGGAAGGCATTTTTTTTACACGTTATGGAATAATTGAACCAAGATTCCGGATGACTAATCAACAAGATTTCAAGGATAGATATCCAAATATCGTTCGGAAGATTAAGCAATGGGCTTGCCTCATTAGCTTCTCCGTTTTCGTCTTCCTTTTCATATGCGATGTCTAATTGTTCGAAACTGTCCAATAATTCATTAACATTGATTTGCTTAACGATCTCTTCATCCACCTTCACAGCGGAGTTCTTCCCACCAGTCAGCTGCAATTTCTTCACAGTATGCGGGACCTTGTGAGATCTGTAAAGCAAGTCCACCTGGTCGTTCAATTTAAACGCCTTCCTATAGAGTTCTACAGCCTCAGACATTAATCCATGGGATTCCTTCTCTATGGCCTGCTCAAAGAGTTTAATGGCTTCATTGGAAGAGCCAGAGCTAGATCCACTCACATTGGTATCAAATGTCTCTTTTGACTCTAGTATCGAAGTACTCCCACTCATATATACAACTATACAACTTCACGGGTACAAATATATAACTATAAATATATATTTTGTATGTATATCGACAACCAGTAGAAAGTAAAATCACCAATCTAGTCGAATGTATACAAAATGCAATTCCGCACCCACCCAGTGGGCCACAGCTTCTTTTTCTTAATTGGGGTGATTCTTTTTTTGACAGTTTAGCGTGGGGAGAGCGAGAAAAGGAAATGGCCTACATATGCAAGCAGCCCCATCAAATAGTTGGCTCATCCGAGTAGATCATCTAAAAAGTCCTCATCTGTAGGAGGCGGTAGGTTTCTTGGTCTGGAGGACGAGCTGGACGGGGTTTGACGATAATCTCTGGCACTTGTAGGGTCTGAAGTGACGTACGATTCGTGCGTATCCAAGTCTTCCAAGAATGAATCAATATCGTTATTACTTTTTCGCAGCCAATGTTGCAATGGGGTATGAGCTGAGGAAGATGATGGAGGAGAACTGATAGGACTCTTAACCGATAATTCGCCTAGGAGCTCATCCAAATCAAGATCCTCGTCGTTCCCGTGTACTTTAGTATTACTTTTCATTAATTTTTTCTCTAGGCTCTCGATTTGTCGTTTATCGCTGGAATTGATGTTGTTGATCTCAATCACTTTCGATGATTTATTGAGCGAGGTGCCAGCATCAGCAGCAAACTTCTCTTTGATGGACCTTAAAAATGCCGCCTGCTTTGCCTTTGCTTCGATCTGCTGGTACTGCGCCCTATCTTCCTCATTTAGCACTTTCATCTGTCCTCTTTCTTCATCTTGCTTCTTCTGTCCCAATTTGTCCTGACCAATCCTGAAGTTGATCAACTCCTCGGTCAGGATCTTGGATAATGGCCTGCTTTGCTGCTTAGAGTTGTACATATCGTTATAGTCGTCCTTCTGCCTGACGGTATCACTGTACGAATCTATGCCGTACTCCTCTAGCAAGTTCTCGTTCAACTTGTGCCTTGGGAGCCTGCGGGTTGCTGCTCTCGATTTATGGAAAATATCTTTAGCTACAAACTGTCCAAGAGTAATTGGAACTTCCTCTGGCTCTTCGTCCAGTTCCCCTTTCCCTTCACCACCTTCCTCTACACCCTCTACATCTCCCGATCCAGTCTCGTCTACAGCGTTCGGGTTTCGGCCCAAATATATCCCATCGTTATACTTTTCCGCTTCATGCACTTTCTGCGCTTCAGCCTCTCGCTCTCTTTCCGCTAATAGGTCAAGCAAGATCTGGTGCTTGACCTTCTCTCTCTGCTCCTTGGTCAATTCTGTGCTCCCAAGCTGTGGAAACATTTCATTCAACAATTCCTCATCTGCCTCGTCTGACCATCCATCGTCCGAATCTGAGTGAATTTCTTGATTCAGTTCTGTACTCTTCTTCCCAGTCCATTTCGCCTTGGGTGTAGACGACGAAGTATCAGCATTACCTCTAGGTTTCAATAGCCCATGTTTCTTAAGATACTTGTGCTTGGCTTGTTTGTCCCACTTGGAGTTTTTGAGCACCATTTTTCCCTGCCTTACTCGTGCTATATACTACAATCCTTAAAACTACTACTATACACTTAATCAACCCCAAGCTGTCCTGTATGTTGGTGTACACTGTTTGGTTTTTACCTTCCACAATTTTTTTTGCTGGCAAGAAAAAAAAAATCTCGAAAATCTCAAAAAGTCCGACTGGAGAAATTTGAAGCTTAAATGTTGAGCGACACAGGAGGGCTTTTTAGAACGATAGGTTGCATATCTCTAAGTAACGATGTCAGATAAGGTTCCACCAGGGGATTCGAGCAGCGGCTCCTCCAATAAGGAGGTCGCATCGTCATCGATTCCGAAATCAATTGAAGAACTTCTTAAACTACTCTCCACTGGTGAAGAATTGACCGAATCTCAAAAGAAAGAAATGAAAGACTACAAATTTTGGAAAACACAACCGGTGCCCAAGTTGAACGAAAAGATTTTAAAAGAGGGACCCATTGAAACCAAGAAACCTGAAGATATACCCGATACTCCATTCCCATTGTTGAAGGACTTTGAATGGACAACTGTAGATATTGACGAAAAAGACCAATTGCAGGAGGTGTATGAGTTACTCTATGAGAACTACGTGGAAGACCAAGACGCAACCTTCAGGTTTAACTATTCTCCTGAATTCTTTAACTGGTCTTTGAAGTGTCCTGGTTGGAAGAAAGAGTGGCACGCCGGTGTAAGAGTTAAGCTGACTGGTAAGTTGTGTGCCTTCATTGCTGCCACTCCAATTACGTTAAAGTTGACCAAATCTCAAACTATCATCCCATCTGTGGAAATCAACTTCTTGTGTATTCACAAAAAGTTGAGACTGAAGAGATTGGCACCTGTGTTGATTAAGGAAATAACCAGGAGAGTCAACAAGTGTGACATTTGGCAAGCCTTATACACCGCTGGGGTCGTGTTGCCCTCGCCGGTGTCGACATGCCGTTACACCCATCGTCCATTGAACTGGTCCAAATTAAATGACGTAGAGTTTTCCCACTTGCCAAGCGATCAGACCAAATCTAGCATGGTTGCAAAGTACGCTCTTCCTAATACGACCAACACGAAGGGGCTCAGGCCTATGGAATGGGAAGATGTCGACCAAGTCTACGATTTGTTGGTCAAATTTGAGGAGAGGTTTGAATTAATTCAATCTTTTGATAAGGAAGAGGTTGCTCATTGGTTTTTGGGCAGAACAACTAAAGAAGGCGAAAGTAGTACTGTCATCAAGACATATGTCGTTGAAAATGACGAAGGTAAAATTACAGATTTCTTTTCTTACTATCTTTTACCATTCACAGTTTTAAACAACCCAAAACATAGTGAGTTGGGCATTGCCTATCTCTACTACTATGCTTCTGAGTCTGCCTTTGTAGAAGGTGGTGAACTGAAGTATAAGGCAAGATTGGTTTCCTTGATGAATGACGCACTCATAACGTCCAAGAAGTTTGGTGTTGATGTATTCAACTGTTTATCTGCTCAAGACAATTCATTTTTCATTGAAAAATGTAAGTTTGGTAGCGGAGACGGGTTCTTGAACTACTACTTGTTTAACTATAAGACATGGCCCATCTACGGGGGAATTGATCCTATAACTAAAGAAGTGACTTCGGATAAGGGCAGTGGAATTGGGGTTGTGATGAAATAGATATATAATTACAAATGCTATATAATGAAGAATGATGTTAGTAATGGGTGCATGTAAGTTCGTAATGGGTGCAAATGCGTCTGGGCATGAGAGTCTAAAAACTGAGAGGACTCTGAATTTCCCACCAAGAAAATAATTGAATAGGGGGAAAAATCCATTAACCCGTTCACCACTCCACTATCAGCCAGCTACCATGCCAATGATATCCTTTCTCAATCAACCGGCTACCTTCAACAGGGACTGATCTGTACTGGAACCACCCAGCTCAACCATGTTCTTCAGTCTGTTCCTGTATATAACATCTCATCGTCTTGGTTCAATTTTTTTTTTTTTTTCATGCCTCTTGATTTTTTTCAGTTCAGCTCATCTCATAGAAGTCGATTGGTACTAGCTCTACTACAACAGTACTTCATAGACCTTATAAGATGATCTCGTCAACTTGTTGGGTTCCAAGAGGATACGCTTCCGAATTCCCAGAGAAGTATGAATTGGATGATGCTGAAATGGAAAGAATCAATGCCATGGCCAATCTCCAATTGAATGAGAGAGCGGATGAAGATCTCGATGAAGACGAAGAGGTAGATGAAGACGAAGAAGAAACCAAATCAAACAAACTTACTGACCAAATTGACCAGGATGACGATTTAAAGGAATACGATTTGGAAAATTACGATAATGACACTAACTCTGACCAAGTTGGCCAGCAAGTAACCATCTTCCCTGGGTTATCCACTTCAGATGCTGCCATCTATGGTGAAGAAGGGGAAGACCAATACTTAAGCTTACCTACCGAAGAAGATGACAAGGAAGAAAAATTGGAATCTCAAATCTACCCTACTGATAATTTGGTTCTTGCTACTAGAACCGAAGATGATATCTCCTACTTGGATGTCTATGTGTACGACGACGGTGCTGGAGCTCCAGAAGGTGCTGATGAAGAAGAGGAAGACAAATTCGATGCTGATGTCGCCAAGGGACTTGTCAGAGAATCTAACTTGTACGTCCATCATGACATCATGTTACCATCATTCCCCTTATGTGTAGAATGGATAAATTACAAGCCTGGTAACTCAGAAGGAGCCGCTTCTGGTGAAGATGATAAGATCGGTAACTTTGCTGCTATTGGTACTTTCGACCCTCAAATTGAAATCTGGAACTTGGATTGTATGGACAAGGCATTCCCAGACATAATTTTGGGAGAAGCACCAGATCAAAGTTCAGTGGCTGGATTGAAGAAGAAGAATAAGAAGGGTAAGAAGAAGAAGTCAGCTGCCCATGTCACCACACACCATACCGACGCTGTTTTATCTTTAGCTCACAATAGAGTTCATAGATCCGTCCTTGCATCCACATCTGCTGATAATACTGTGAAGTTGTGGGACTTGAACAATGGAACTGCAGTTAGATCACTCAACACCATCCATAATAACAAGAAGGTGTCATCTTCTCAATGGCACTCACAGGAAGCATCTATATTGTTAACTGGTGGGTACGACGGTTCATGTGGAGTCTCTGATGTTAGAATTTCAGAGGTTTCTTCCATGACCAAAAACTATCAAGTTTCTCCAGGTGAAGAAATTGAAAGTGTAAGGTGGGGCCACTCATCGCAACCTGAGCTTTTCTATGCTGGTACTGATAACGGTAATGTATACTGTTTTGATGTTAGAGTTGTTGACAAGCCAGTTTGGACCCTTCACGCACATGACGTTGGTATTTCATCCTTGGACGTGAACAACTACTTGCCAGGTATGATTACCACTGCTGCCATGGGCGAAAAGACTGTTAAGTTATGGAAGTGCCCAACCGCCGAAAACAAAAAGGGCCCATCAATGGTCTTGTCCAGAGATTTTGGTGTTGGTAACGTTTTAGCTTCATCATTTGCCAACGACATAGAAGTTGCTGGAAATATGGTCATTGGAGGTGTGAGTGGAGCTTTGAAGATGTGGGATGCATTCTCGAACAGATCTGTTCGTTCTTCTTTCCGTGATGAATTGAGAGATTTACAAAAGAAGGCAAGATACGATGCCAGGGAGGCCGGTAGAGCTTCTAGAATCGCAAGAAAGTATAACAAGGAGAATTCCGGCGAAACTGTGATGACCGTAGAGGCTGGTGGTTTGGATGATGAAAGTGACTCTGATTCTGGTGAATTGGAGGGAATGGAAGATGATGAAGAAGAAGATTAGTCATGCATTGTACATTAATAGAGAGGCAAGTATATATTACATAAAACATAATAATAAATACTAAAAGACAGAGAACAGGAATAAAACAACCATTGTAGGAGAGCCCTGTTGGCCAAATACAAGCTTAAGTGCTTCTCCATTGCTTCTAAACCTCTTCCTTTCCCCTTCACTAAAGCGCCATACTAGACTGCCAGGTGGCACTTTTTGAAATTTTTCACTTTGAAGTTCGCCTTCATGGCCAAGTTGGTAAGGCACCTCACTAGTAATGAGGAGATCGTCAGTTCGAATCTGGCTGAAGGCATTTTTTTTTTTTCTTTTGATATTACACTCGCATTTTCCAGCCAATTTCACCTGCCTTAACAATGTTCACGGTTGTTCAGTTGTTCTTCTCCAGATCTAGTGAAATTGCCTGGTTTATCCGAAAACATGAGTAAGGAAGATGACGAATTGAAGGAAATATGGTCGCTTTTCAGCTCCGAGGACTCTAGTGTGAATGAAAAGAGAAAGCAGATCCATTCCCAGTACCAAAATCAAACTTTGAGTTCATTTCCAGACCATCTCTCCATCACAACGGCCTTTGACGAAGTCCTTCAATGTTTTTCACTTGGAGGTCAAGTAAAGCACTACTATAGATACGGTTCATACTCATTATGCCAATCTCAGAGAGAAAAGTTCTGGTTTTCGGTTACAAACGGAACCTTTAGCCAAGACAAGAAGGCACCTGACTTCACTCAAGCAGACATGGAGAGAAGACAAAAAATCCAAGAGTACTACAAGAAAAAATTGCTCGAGCAAAAGGCTGCTGGGAGTTCTGAAGACGTTTGGGATGCTAGAACTGAATTGTTGGATAGACCGTTTGAAGAAAATAGGGGATAAGAAGAATGTTAGTCTGATACACTGTACATAGAATAAATGAATAGCATGGGCTCTAGGTGAAAAGTCAAAGACATGAGAGATGTAGAAATAGTAATAGGGACGAAGTGAGCCAGGACCCTGAAATATATGAAAAGCTCTACACTTTCTCGTATTCTTAGTATTATCATCAGTATTATGCCTTATTAAATAACGACAGTCAGATCGCAACTTCCATCTATACTGTAATTCCGTATTTAAACAATTTGCCTAAATTTTTGTCAACTGTTCTGTACTGCACTGTTTTGCCTTGTTCTGTTCTGTTCTGTTCTGTTCTTTTCATTTTTCTTATCATTTTTCTTATCTTTCCTCTTTTCTGGTCGAGGACCTGCAACTTTCTATTTCATTTCAGTCTTACTGTTACATAATTACACATCCCTTCTTTTCTGGTTCGTTATCATTTGCACCCATTGGCTTTGCGTTAAGTGCACATCTTGCTGCTTCAGAGAAAGCTTCGTTGACACCTCTATTCTTCTTTGCCGAACATTCCAAGTATCTTAAGGCACCAACCTTTTTGGCAACTGCTAAGCCTTCATCGTAGCTAATCAATCTTTTTGATGATGAGTTGTTGTATGGGTTTTGTCCACCACCTCCGTATGGGTTGTAGGACTCTTCGTCGTGGCCTGGGGTAGTGGTGTTGTCTTCAGCATCTTCGTTACTACGCAAATCACATTTAAGGGCGACTAGCACCAACTTGACACCATCACAGTGGTCTGCAATTTCTCCAGCCCACCTTGTTTGCACATTTTCCAAGGAATCGGGTGAGTCTATAGAGAAACATAACATAATACAGTGTGTATCTGAGTACGACAATGATCTCAATCTGTCGAATTCTTCTTGCCCTGCAGTATCCCAAAGGGATAACTGAACAGATTGGCCATCAATAAAGATATCGTGAACATAATTCTCGAAGACAGTTGGTTCATAAACCTGGGGGAAGTAACCCCTTGTGAAAACATTCAAAAGTGACGTCTTACCACACGCACCATCGCCTAGAATAACGATCTTACGTTGTACTGAATTGTTAGTATATGAGGAAGGGGGAAGTGAAACAGAAATCTGAGGGAGCAGGAAGAAACTGAAACAAGTCTGCTACAGGAGCGAGAACGACAACGAGAACGGGAAAGGGAACAGGAACAAACGGTGAACGCAATGAACAAACCCCGAGTGGAGTACCACTCATGCAGCCAATCCGTGTTTCCTCTCTTCCATCAGCACAGCATCTGATGAAAACTGGCTCCATTTTTCCAATTTCGACACGGTGCAATGAGGTCAGCGAGTGCTGTCGAGACCATAGTTACCAATCATAATATATCCCATGCCTCACACAATAACACAGGGCCGCTCTCGCCGCCATCAGGGCCAAACCTTCCATTCTTTTTCTCTGAGTATTCTCCTACATACTAGTCTTGGGACCTCCACCACAAAGAGGCATTGTATATGTGAATAATTAGGGTAATGAAGAGGGATTATCAAACAACCTTGTCCTGCCTTGTTATTATTGTTTTTTGTTTTTCTGTTAAGTTTGTATGAAGGCTGAATTGAAAAAGGAAAAAAAAAAAAAAAAAAAATACAGAAAAAAGAAATGTAGCTGAAAAATTCGCGGCTAAACTTTAGTGAAGATCTTCACAAGCTTAATCATAAGGAAGAATGAACATGATACCTGAGTCGAAATCACATGAGTGGGATAGTCAAGGTTTTAAGATGTCGAGACATACATGATAAAAAGAAATGAAATTCAGAATAGCAGAAAAGAAATAGAAATGAAGGAGGAAGCATGCATCAGCTGTGGTACTATCTCACCACACTTTCGCTCTTAGTGGTTCATTTGATTTTCCAGGAATGATGTTCAGCTGCTCACTTTCTGATTTGAGGCGGAAAGACGAGTAAGGGAAGCAAAAAATAATGAAGGAGTACAATGCAATGAAGTAGAGGAACACTGGAAGTGCGGAACTGCATCGTTTATGAAAATGTATATCTCGTTTAGCCCGTGGTAAATATGTGCTTGTAATTGAAGTCATTGGTCTTATCTTTGGAGCTTCAAATTTCGCTGCTGGTGAGGCTGAGAGTTTTAGTGATCTTCTCAATGTAGACAGAAGCAGCATTAGTTCTTACATTTACAGTATATTAGTATCTATTGGAGATTTGCATAGTTTAATGACATCCTGCAAATTTAAACCATACGCAGCGTTCTTGAAAAGAAAATGGGAATCAGACATGAAGATCAGACATGAAGATCAGACATGAAGATCAGATACGTAGATCAGATATTAAGGTCAAATATGTAGATGAAAGACTCATCAAGTTATCACCATAGCAGCTTCTTGTTGTATGGGGCTTATCGTGTTGCGAAGGTGAAAACTGGTGCTAAGATTCCATTCATGATCTTTCATGAGCAGCAAGAGTACGTTGGTCTTGTACAAGCTGAACTACCCATTCAGCGCAAATTGTGGCCAGAATAATGGAACATACTCGTATATATGTATCCATGTGGCATATCCTTTGGGAGCTTATCGTATTGCCATCTCTCGATCAAAATTCATGCAAGTAAAGCTATTTACCAAAATGCTGATAAATAAATAACATGTATAATCCATTGTATAGAATGCAAATACTCAGATAGACTCCAAAGATGTGTAAACAGAAAGAAGTCGGAATACTTTTCTTCAATAGCTCTTGTGCGTCATCATAAATTGTTCCATGCATATATCTGAAATTTGGTGACTCTGGCGAGAGGCATGGTGCGATCAGAAACCAAGAGAGGAGAAGAAAGTAGAAAGTATATTAAGCTATCTTTTTCCATATCTATGTATCTCGATTAGCCTGTGGTCAACATGCAATTACAATTGACGAATTTGGCCCTGCTTTTGGCTGCTTTAACTTTCGTTGCTGCTAATGCTGTGGGTGTAAGTGAGAGTTTTAGTGACCTTCGCTGCGTATTGAAATATGAGTACAGACCAAAGTTTTGGTTCTCCCACTTGAAATATATTAACTACTATGGAAGAGGTCATATTGACGATTGGGATAGTATAGTGATAACCTATATAGATGAAGAGCATAGAGATTTTTTAAGGAAGGAAATGGAGGGCGCATTGGAAGGTTTCAATGAGATGAGATTCCTCTTACTGAAAGATGTAAAAGTGGGTGATACCTTGGGCAAAAGTTTTGGAAAACCCCACAATTATTTTCCTAATGTGAAGCAGGATAGCGTATATTATGATCCCGGGATACTTGGTGTAATTAAGACCCTAGCTAAAACTATGGTAGCGGCGTTAGAGCTAGTTAAGAAGTTGGTGTATAGCGCTCCCACTGCTATTAGAAGTTTAGTGCTATTCAAAGTAGCAATAAGTCGTAATGCAGGTTTAATCTATGAAGGTGGAATATATACCATCTCGCTCAGAGGAAAAATCTGGCGAGTCGCTGCATTACCTGCTGAATTTGACAAAAGCTATGATTCGACTGCAGCTCTTAACTTAACGGATAGAATTGGTTTCTGTATAGATGATAAGTTCAAGCAGAATCCAGGCGATTCATTAAGTGGTTGGGAGTGCCTCACTGATCAAGACAATAATTGGATGCCTGCCATATATTTTATGAGAGGAGACTCTACTCAAGAAGTGTGGGGTTTTAGAAAGGTTAGGGGATTCTTTTCTAGGTAAGCACTGATTTAATACTATTTGCATATTTGGTTCCTCCCGCTGTTATAAGTACATTTCCATGGAATGTACTTCTCCCATCCTTAGCCATTCTCGTGCTCACCTGAGACGGTTTATGTAATTACGTATGAATGAAGTAGAATCTTATCAAAATACAAGACTGGAAAAGACTAGCGTGTATTTAGCATATAGATATATTGAAAGATAAAGTTCTATGGTAGAATTTGCATGCCGATTATTCTCTGAGAGATGAACTCTCAAATAGATAGCACCCTTCATGTGTCACTTTTCTCCTTCACCCATGTCTGAGCAGTACATTATTGTCACTGAAAAGCATCTTCCATGTATATAGCGCTCATGAAGGAAGATTTACGCCAAGGTACTGCAATCAACTACTTGCTTACGCACACTTGAGCTGTTTTCTCTGTGCCTAAAGTGCTCATCAGTAGAGATGTACCCAAAGGTAATTGCAATAACCTGCTTAAGCTACAATGTCTCCTTTAGAATCCTCTATTTTAAATCTTCTACTTAGTTCAAACTTCTGATATTCCCCTACTGATCTATCAAATCATCAAGGTACATACTTGGAATGGTAGATCTACCCTGTCTACCAGGCTCGGCCCTTCTTTGTGGACTGCTGATGCTGCTAGCAGGTGCACCACCTACCAAGGAATCGGAATAGTCGGTCTCCGAATTCATGTAAATGTTAGGTACACCATGTTGAGAATATCTATGCTGTGGAGAACTAATATGACTTTGTGAGCCGCCTGCACCTCCTGCAACTGAAAGGTTGGCGGTTGAGCCCGAAAAGGTGTTCGACTTATTTCTCCTGTGGCCCATAACTTCAGCAGTTGGGGAAATGAATAACTTAGACAAGTCGTTCTTGGACGTCAAGGTTCCCACTTCTGATGCCTGGTAGAAGGAAGTCTCATTACCATAGATTCCTCCGACTTGTGAACCTCCTCCTATGGATCTGCTTGCATTGTGGTGAGACAAGAGGGGCAATTTGGCAACCAGAGGCTGGTATTCCGAGTTGACGTTGAATAATGTGGAGCCAGTTGGTGTAAGTCCATTATGATTGCCGCCACCGTTGTACTTCTCCATAAATCTGTAGTCTGCAGCGGTTGACTTCTTGGCTAATCTGGAAGCGCTGAATGATATGATCAAGTGGTAGAAAATGAAGATCAACAAAATAGCACCAACTATTGCCCCAACGGCTATGAAAACAGTTCCTGCCAAGTTGCTTTCCCTGAGGATATAAGGGTTGTTATTATTGGCAGGCACGGTTATCGAGGGAGTGGTATAAGTGATTGACGTTGATGTTGAAGATGACGAAGTCGTTGTAGTAGAGTACGTGGGTAAGTCCCTTGCTTCGAGAGCGGTAATAAACTCCATTTTTAAAGGTTTTTTTCCTGAGTTCCGAAGTCCTGGTATTTCTTACAAGATATATATGCGCAGGTATATATATAGATATATCTAAATGCCTTGTAGTGTTCCTGCTTATAGCCCGTTGTACCTTTCGCTTCGCTTCTGTTTACCTTCGATTTTTTTTGATCTACCGACCCAAAAAAGAAAAACACAAAAAAAAAAAAATAATAATGCTAAAAAAAGAATCGAAATCTCGGTGGCATGCAGGACTGTGAAGCTCGAAGCCCCAGAGAACGTGTGGCATAAGCTGAAGAGGTATCTGAAACATGGCCAATTCCCAATAAAAACACCTGAATTGGTATTAAAATCCACATGAGCGGCAGAAATGATGAAAGTTCAGACTTGATGACAACGGCCCTCGAAAACTAGTAGTACTGGTTTGCTTGTATGGGGACTTTCTCTGCAGATCAGCGCTGTGCTCAAAAGTGAAAAAAAAAAAAAAAAAAAAAAGGTTGCAAAATGTCACCAGCACTAAGAAGGTTAAAAATGGTTAAGAATGGTCAAGAAGTGTTCTATTCGATGCATGGTATATTTGTTCTATTGAAATCTCTCTATTATACACTAAGATGGTCTGTTCATAGGTATTGCTTTACTTTACTTTGCTCTTCTTGTCATCTCCACTTCCCAGTTTCCCTCTCTTCTTCTCTCGAACTCTTTCCGTAACCATTCCCAAACAAGTACACTATCACAGTCCAGCGTTAATCTAGGCTGGTACATATGATTCGGGAACTCTGTATTGAATTTCGCTATATCGAGATCTTTTTCGCAATAGATTCTCACAGCGTTGTAATACTCAGCATTGTCCAATTTAAACTCCCATGGCTTCGGAATTGGTGCGTCAGAGAAATGAACAAGCCTAGCGTTCGTAATGACATCAATGGCATCCCACTCTTCGCGAAGTTCATCGTTTCTAACGAAAGGTAAATCTTGAGGTTCCGCAACAAATGAGGAGTGCTTCTTTTCTTTAAACTCTCCAGTTAAAACTCCGTAAACCTTGTGCGATATTATTCCAAACTTTTTCAAATCGGAACCCAGTTTTCCCTTAACTTGGCCTCTCAAGGTATCATCAAAGTACTTATTCAAGACTTCCATATCATATTCAGATGCCTTGTACAAGCTGTCGCGCTTGAAAAAATTCCAACTAAGTGGATTGTAGATGTAGTCAATAAGGTCTCTAAATACTTTGGCATCGGGCTTTATCACCATAACATGATTTGCAAAAAATCTTAGCCTATTATCGAATTTATGGCTAGCTAGGTGGAGTGAGTTACCTCCGCGACTTTGTGTCTTCTTACTCCCGTATTTCTTCTCAGTATCATGTAACCAGTAGGCCTGAGGAAGCGCAAAATCTATATCCTCGTGTATTGAAAACAATTCGTCGAAATGCGAAGGCCCCAAATTTACTAATTGGCCATCATTCAGCTCTACATTCACAAGCATAGAATCCGCATCAAAGTACACTATTCTCTTGTACTCTAGTTGATTGAAAACATGGAATTTGGTAAACGAAAATTGCCAATCCGAGTCTTTACTTCCTGGGTTAGTGATAAGAGGTACTGGCTTTAATTTAATTCCGTATTCACTAGCCAATTTTTTAAGTTTTTCAAGTTGCGCCCAAGAACCATCATTTTCGTTCTCTCCCAAGGTATCAGCATGCACAATCACCAAGTTACCTACTTTTGAACTGGATTCTCTAATGTTTATGAAGTTCAAGATTGCCAAGTTTAAAAATACAAGACTAGTGGCATATTGGACGTATGCAAACTTGGAGTAATCCAAACTTGGATTTATATATCTATTGTGTGGTAATACTGTCAAATATTCTTTGAGTTTCGCCAGATCAATCGATTCTTGATCAAAAAACTGAATAAGAAAGAAGTACGCAATTATAAAGACTGCAAGGATAAACTCCCAGTTCTTTGGGGCCTTGAAGTTACTCATAAGTGATGAGAGAGTGTTAACTTAAAGAACCTGATCAACAACTCAAGCTGGAGGGCAAAGAAAAAAAAAAGAAAGCTTGATCTTCACTTCAAACAGGCCATTAGGTAAACGTGAAGGTCTTAAATTGCAAAAAAATGCGCAAACCCGGAATCGAACCGGGGGCCCAACGATGGCAACGTTGGATTTTACCACTAAACCATTTGCGCAGTAAGAAAGAAGCTCCGCGACGGGGAATTGAACCCCGGTCTACCACGCGACAAGCGGTAATTCTAGCCACTAAACTATCACGGATGTTTCTTGAAAAATTTGTATCTGGGACTTTCATACTGTATGTCATTACTGGAGTTTCGTCCAGGTAAGTACACAAGTTATGTGATCTCTTTATTGTATGTTACAATTTCGGCTGGTTCATTGTGTAGTTATGTAGTTATTCTTTTCTTACCTCTTTTTTAGTCATGTTTAGCAGATTTTTCATTTATAATAGTCTCAGTCAATGAGGGCAAAACCAAAAAAGTATTTATTCTCACCATTCTAACAGTTTGGGTAGAATATTTATCTAAAAGTCTCTCGAAATTTGCTCAACTATGGTCTTTATGGCTCATTTACACCAACTAGAAACTGTTAGCTGCACTATATTGAACTTGACTCCAGAGTACAGTCCTGGGGGTCTGGTTTACGTAAACCAAGTGCTTAGCTTGGGTGCAAATTTGCATTGCAGCCAAAACTGCATATAGTGCAATATGATTTTCTCGTTTTCTTCCAAAATTTCAACATACTCCAGTTATGAATTGTACTATTCAGAGAAAGCACAAGGAGGAGCACAGTAAAGAGGTAGAAAGGAGATATGCCTGAATCAATATATTCTTACTTCATTGATGAGGTGGTGTCAGACTTTGATTCAACTGGAATCCAATCTTTGATCCAGCTATTTGAGTCAGCACCTGCATCCGACTCGTTGGTGACTGAAAGAGAAGATTTAATAAGTAACATTTTCACTGAATTGATATTTGTTTACGAGGAAGGGAAACTCTCTCTTGATCAAGTTGCTGCATTTCTTTCTGAGTCTATTAAGGATGATATCTCCGCAGAAATATTCTGTCAAGTGTTTGATGTGTTTCCCTTAACCCCAACGCTAAACACGTTGATTGTAGAGTTGTATATCAAAAAGTCAGTTATAAAGACAAAGACATTGGCGTCTTGCGTCAGTTCAGAAACCTTGCTGAAGTTGACTCCTGATGTTGTCCCTACGTCTGCGGCATTGACTAGGCAACTTAATATTCATAAGCGTGACGAATTCTATACCCAGAAGAAGTTTAACTTACTCCATGAGGTTTCGGAAGGCTACTCTAAATTAATTGTAGAATTTTATTCAATAATGAGAGGTCGTGAACCTCTGAAATACCAAATAGATTATGCCTTAAATGTTGTCAGTCTGTTAATTGGTCATTATAATTTAGATCCTAATAGAGTGTTGGACCTTATTATTGAAATATTCACCAATCAAATTGTATCGAATTACGAGTTTAGTATAGGATTCTTGAAGAAATCTCAATGGTGGCCAGCTGTACAAGGCGATTGTAACAACTCAGGAATCAGTTCTTTATCCAAGGGAGGTAATGACACAGCTGCTAAACTTCTTGGTTTAAGATACTTGAAGACTCCCGCAGATAAGGATTTGCCTGAAACCTTCAAAATTCTCGTTGCTATATTAATCAAAGAAGGATTTATAAGTTTCGGGTCCGTCTACAAGTATATTGCTGATGATCCAGAAGCATTGGAGAAAGAGTTCAAGAAAGACTTGGAGGATAAGGTTTTCAGGGCATCTGCAAGCGCATTGGCACTTGCCGCACCATTATTGGACGAAGACGACGAAATGGATATTGACTCGAATGACAATGGTATCACCGCTAATGCTAATGGTAGCAGTAATAAGAGAAATGGGAATTCTAAAAGCAATGATTCGTCACTATCAAAGTTAGATCAGTTGACCCAATCGTCACTGCTTTATCAATACCTTCGTATTTTCCTTGGTAATGGTCTTTATTTCCCATCCATATATATCTTAACTCAGCATCCATTTCTTGCACAGGTTGGGGAAATTCCTGCTCTTATGAATAGATTGACGGATGCAATTATTAGTCCGCTTTATCAGTCTCCATTTACTGAAGAAGATCTCACTTCATTGCAAACTCCAAAAAAGTTGGCATTTTCCAGAGGTCAAAACAATAATCTTCTGTATGAAGATTTTCCTGTATCGCACTTACTTACTTTTAAACCAACTACATTAAGCCATAGTTTGAAGAAGTTCACTTATTTTTATTCAAATTGGCTGCAAAACTTACCACAAGTAAATCTGATGGGAGATTTGTGGCATTTCTCCAAGGAGTTCCTTAAATTCAGCCCATTGAATTTAGCTCAAGATTTGCAGTTATATACAAAATTGTGTGATATTATTATTAGAGAAATGGAGGTCGTGGATAACGATTTCTTTGTATACTTCAGGAACTTTTTATTCCCTCCAATACCTTTAATTGAAGAGAATGCATTTGCAGTGGATAAAGCTTACATGATTCTTTCCAAATTCTCAATTGAAGAACGCTTCAACTTGTACGGTGAAATGTATAACGTGCTGGCGAAGAACAATTCTTACATCAAAATAGCTTATGGAAAAGCCGAAAAATCCACCAAGGATGTACTTAAGAGACTCTCAAAAGAAAACGTTCGCCCTATGATGAGAAGGTTAGCAAAAATTAGTTTCTCGAACCCATTGCCCTGCTTTTTGACCATTTTACAACAAATTGAAAGCTACGATAATTTAAATACCTTAGTTGTCGAAACAGCTAGGTACTTCAATGACTATGGATGGGACAATTTGACGTTGGCATTGCTAATGAGACTAACGGCATCTGGAAGATCAGTCATTCAAGAAGATGGATTGAATGATCGTCAATGGATTCAATCTTTATCTTCATTTATTGGAAAAATTTGCCAAAGGTATCCCAATTTTATTAATTTGAAAATGATCTTGACTTTCTTACTCAAATCGTTCCATCTGGGAGAAACAATTGGATTGATTGTATTAAAAGATCTTTTAATATCTATGGGCGGAATCCAATCAATAAACAATTTAACACTTCATCAGATTGACATGATTAATTGTGGAGGTTCATTACAAAAATCAGTTTATAGAACAATTGGTGACGTAAGATTTGAGAGAATTAGATCAGGAAAGCTTTTAGTGAAATCATTAAGTGAATTGGGATTAATCAATGAATTATTTGTGATATTATGTCAATTGGGAGATAAATTGATCTTTAACGAGGATTCTTCAAGACATTTGAAGGTTTTAGCAAACAAAGATGATGATTTGAAGAATGTTTTGCACTTATTTACTGAATTAATTGGATTTTTTGGACAGGATATTGAAACTGATTTGGTGAGCGTCGACGAATTATGCTCAAAATATGACCTTGAACCTGAGTGGGCATTCGAGATTTGGAGAAACGCTACGGCTGATTTTGTTGATGAGAAGAATCCTCAATTCAATCCATGCACAGCACTTACATCCACACTTTATGAGACTTTTTGGAAGCTTTCACTTTATGATATCAACTACTCTGAGACTCTTTACTCAAGTGAACTTCATAAGCTCAAATCTAGTATTTCGTCACTCAAAGATTCGATTTCCATCAATTCGAGATCAAAGGATGTCAGACAGAAACTGTTAATTGACAAATTAGGAAAGGATCTTATTCAAAATGAAGCATTCATTTCCAAAATCCCAAGCGACGAAGAAAAACACAAAATTCACAATGAAAAAATTCAAGGTTTGTTAAATTCTGAAAAGGATGTTTGGTTTAAAAAGGGAGGACAAGAGTTAATTGACCTTGTCCAATACTGTATTTTACCAAGAGCTATACACTCATCCTTTGATGCAGCGTTTTGTGGTAAGTTTTTGTTTAAAATTCAAAGTTTGAATACGGAGAATTTTTCACTTGACTTCGTTTTGAATCAACTCTTTTTAAATAAAATTTTGTTTGGAACATTATTTACCTTGACTCCTACTGAAGCGGAGAACTTAGGATTATTCTACGCCAGTATTTTTAAGAAATTAAATGAGAAAAATGTCTGTGATGCTAAAACCATCTACTCTTATCACCAAAGCATTTTAATTGATTTGGAACAGTCGTTGGCAACAAAGGAGTATATGTCTCGAAGAAATGCTATAACATTCCTCAAGAATCTTTTAGGGGTTTATCCAATTATTGAAGATCATTGTGAGAAGGTCTTAGAATTAATTTCCAACATCTCCAAGAATGACGAAAGAGGAGATTTAATTTTGTCTTCAAGTGCATTAACTGGCCATATTAAATCAAGATCTAAAGAGTGGATTCACTTGTGGGATTTTGTAGAGTTGTCTGATGAAGAAAAAGAAAAGCATATGAAAAAGAGAGAAGAGATCAAGAAGAAAGAACAAGAAAAGATAAATAGAATAAAAGCTGAACAAGAGTTGAAGAGGAAAAAAGAAGAGGAAGAATTGAGGATTAGAAGAGAGAAGTTACAAGAACAACATAGAAAGGAGCAGGAAGCAAATGCAGAAGCAAATGCCAGTGCAATAAAGGAAACGCAAAAAGTTCTTAGTTATGATGATTCTTCTTCGTCTACTTCAAGAACTACCTCTAGTAGAGGTGGAGGAGGTGATTCAAGATCTAGATACGATTACTACTCTAAATTTGGTGAAGTTCAGAAAGGAATTTCCGCTGCCAAGAGTGATAATTCTACTGCAAATGCTTCAACCTCGAAGGAGCCTTCTTCTCATACATCTAGTGGGAGCGTCCCAAACAAACCTAAACCAACACAAGCCAAAGATTTCATTAAAAAAGAGTCAGATAAATCTACAAATCTGGTGGATATTAAGGACAAGATAAAAGAGGCAAAATTAGAATACTTAAACAAATCAAGGGGCGTAACTCCATCGAATGAGCATGATGGCAAAGCGTTACCTAAGGGCCCTTCAAGGCCATCGGGGCCCTCATCCAAATCTGGTCAAAGTTCCCATTCTTCATCGCCTGCACCAAATAGTAAGCAACTGGAAAAACCAAGTGCTTCTAAAAGAGCACCTTTACCACCTCAAGAATCTGTTGCTAAGAAGGATTCATCTACTAGATCCTACCAAACTAAACCAGGACATGATTCTGAGTATAGGCTGGACTATAGATCCAATGATTACAATAGGTACAATCAAAGAACATCGTATAACAATCCATCAAAAGGTGTACCACCACCACCACCTGCTTCAACCAGACTGCTTCCATCAGACAAAAAATCTGGGACGCCGACATCCACTACACCAAGCAATAGAAGTGCTCTTCCCCCTCCACCTCCCCCACCTCCTATAGCTTTAAAACATGGTCAGCAACTGCAATCCTCTAGACCTCAAGCTGCTCACCAATCTCGATCTAGTAGTTTCGAAAGTCGTGCTTCCAACCGTACTGCAACTTACGACAACCGTGCAAACCGTGGACAAACATATGATAATCGTCGTGATGACCGTCGTGATGACCGCCGTGATGACCGTCGTGTTGATCGCCGTGACGATCAGTACGACAATAAGCGAAAGTTCGATTCTTATCAAAATGGCAGACCAGAAAAGAAGCAAAGATATTAGAGTCGACTAAATATATGTTTGAAAACTTATCAATATATTAATATCTTATTATATTATTGTAGCAATATAACTACCTATGCTATTCTATTATTATACATATTCAGGTCAACACCAGATCTTGACTGTGCCTTTCACTGATTTTCTTTATTTCTTCATCAATTAAATTGTTGAAGTCCTCGTCATCATCTTCATCGTCATTTTGCTGGCCATTAGAATACCCTCTTTCATCATGGTATTCATCATTGTCTTTACGCCTTTTGTAGTCACTCGACAAATCTACAATTTGTCGTTTTCTATTTTCTTCTTCTGGTTCCTGTTCCTGTTCATCTTCAAGAGAGCTCAAGAAAGACTCAATCTTTTCCATATGCGATTCATGCCAAACTAAATGTCTCTTTAAGTCATAATCTCTTGCAAACTTTCTATCACAATTTTTCTTAGGGCACTGAATCTTTCTTTGTTGAAAATTGGACAGAATAAGCTCAATAATAGATGATTTTCCAGACTTTAATGTTGAGTTTAGTGATTCTATAGACCTAGAACCATCATCCCCTTGGAAGTGTTCAACGTCAACCCCATTCTCATCTTCGTCATCAGAATTCATAAGTACGAACTTACCACCTTCCTTTTCTTGCAATAACTTTTCTAATTCCTCCTTTTCAGCAGACTTCAATAAGTCATCTGGTACATTACCATCATGCAACTTATTATAATGCTCAATAAGATCGAATTTCCTAGCAAACTGACCAACTTCACAATATCTACAGTGCCAGAGCTTAACCATTCTATCTTGGTCGTGAATCATCATATGAGATTCCAAACCCTTTTTACCAACACACCCTTTACCACACTCAGGACATTTCAACTTTGGATGCTCGGTCTTAATGTGGAACTGTAAGGCAGACCATGTCTTGAAGTTTGCATAACAGCCCGAATGCTGGTCACACTGATATACAGGTGTTTCACTGTGGTATTTTAAGTTATGCTGTGCTAGCCTATATGGCCTGCTAAACGTTTTGTTACATAATTTACAAGTTAATGATCTTTCGTGTACAGAAAGCTGATGATGGCGCAAAGATTGATGCTTGTAAAATGATTCCTCACAGCCTGGTTCTGGACATCTGAAAGACTTAGTATGAGTAATTTCATGTCTCTTGAGATGTTGTTTTGTATTTACCCCCTTCCCACATATAGAACATACAAATGGTTTATGAGATTCTTCCTCATGGGAAAGAGAATGAGCTTGTAAATGTGATTTCCTTAGGAACGATTTGTCACAGTCCAGAAAGGAACATTTAAATGGTCTTTCATTAGTGTGTGATCGTATATGCTGGTTCAAAAGGGAAGGTTTAGAATACAGCTTTCCACACTGATCACATATATATGGTTTGGTTGAACTGTTTGACGAAGTATCCGACATATATGAGGTATTGACGTTGTTCACAGTGTAAGTTGGTTTATAGATTAGATTAGCTTATATACTGATTTGTAATGTGCAGTAGCGAGATGGTTGTGACGTTTTTTTTATTTACTTTTTCTTTTGCGGAGACCTCGTAACCAAATAGGATATGAATTGGTCCCTAGAATTATTGCAAGCAACGGGTCAACAAAACCTCTGAGTTATAGCACTTCGTGATTTGCTGATTGTATGTTTATGAAAATTTTCCATCACCTTTTCACTGCTAAGTGGTTGTTTCCAGCTGCGCGATGAGACAAGATTTTGCAACCAACATAGTTGGAGACCATAGGAATTGAGTAAAAAGAAAGCTGGAATAATGAAAGAGACCACAAGCGATTTCTTTTTGGAAATTTCTACCTATTTTCCACTTTTCAGTATTCAACTTAGTTCTTTTTCAGTTCATTGACGTATACCTGCGGAAAGAAAGGTTTGGCCGGATAAAATAGATCGATATGGAAATCTCTTGTGCGTCTCAGAAGCGCAAAATCGTACGCACTTCGAGCAAGCAACGGGAGCAGGAAATAAAAAAAAAAAGAACTACTTCATCCTGGACATACCAATGAAATAGGCATAGATAGAGACTTGCCTTTTTAGCTACTGTGAGACTTTCAGATTGTGATTCAGCGGAAACGGAGAAGATATGTCATGCACTATAAATAGAGCATGTTATTTCTGTATAGAGAATTTATTTTTTGCACATTAAAAAATTGCAGCATTTTAAATGTTCTTACTTTGTGTGGGGCCGAAATGCATGGAAGGTGGGGAGTGCCGACAAAGCTCTCGACTGAGGAAAAATAGCGCCAGAGAGAATGAGTGCCCCAATTGATGTCGAGCACATGGCCGGTCCAAAAGAGAATTAGGGGATGATGAAATAAATTGTATAACCTGAAATAGCATTGTATTTGTACAGGTACAGGGTACGTGCTAGCAACCAAAGTAATAAAATAACAAGGTATTAAGGTATTAAAGTATAAACGAGGGCAAGTTCCACAGGTGAAGACTCTCTTATGCCCAAAAGAGTGGGGTGGAATTCCGCCAACGCAATAGCCAACGTAATTATTAGTAAAAAAAAATAATTAAAACTAATGTACAACAAACCAATTAAAGGCAGAGAACAAGAAACAAATCGTGGGCAATACACCAATAAACTGGGAGTATTTGTATTTATGATAACAGTCTCAAGGATCGACCCGAGTCCGTTCACGCATCATCTGACTAATGATCCGATGCTACTATCCACCGGAGTGCAATGTGTAAATTTGTTAAGTATCCAATTCTTTTTTTTTTTCCGTGCTGCACTCGTAAATTCAACTTTATCGGGCGGCAGCCTGATTTTCTTCTCTTGCTGTGCCTTATAATTTTTGTTGAGGGGGCATACTTAAATTAGAGTAGGTGAAACCTTTGGTGGATTATATAGCTTGAACAATATTCCGATTTTGGATTTGCTCTTTTCTCTTTTCTCTTTTTCTTTTTCTTTTCCATTTTCCTTGCCCCGTTTTTCAGATTTAGATTACATATTACCATAATTAGTCCTTCACTCTTGCATAATGCTGTTTCCCCCTCGTTCAATTCTCCTCAGATTATCAAACGAAGGCTCCCCGTTGAATAAAGAATCAGTTCACAACGGAGTTCTCATATTACCTTCGGTCCCACTACCAAAGAATTTCAAGCAAGATGAAACCCCAATTTTCCAGCTCGTGTTCCAATTGAATTCGTCTTCAGCTGTAACTCGTAAGGCCACCCTTTACACCAACTTACACAAGGAGGGAAAGGACGACTTTGATAGGAAAAAGTTCCAATCTCACGACATCGAGTCTACTTTTGATAAGGACATCACAATAACTATCCCAATATACAAGCCAGGTTCATACTGCTATTACATAGAATATGAAAATGGAGATAAGAAGACAGAGGAATTCTACTTTAATGTTCCACCCAATCTTGCCATAAACAATGAATACTTGCCATTTAATGCAATCAACGTCTTATCGGTAATCTCGAAGTGGATCGGCTCCTCCACCGATGAATGGGATCCATTTTTTGCCAATGCGTCTAAGAAAGGTTATAACATGATCCACTTCACACCTTTACAAGAAAGAGGAGTATCCAACTCACCTTACTCCATTTACGATCAATTGAGCTTTGACCCAAACCTCTTTCCATCAAACGATGCCGCAATCAAGACGTTAAATACTGTTTTGACGAAAAACAATCTTCTTGCATTGACTGATGTAGTTTGGAATCACACTGCTGATAACTCAAGCTGGCTTAGAGACCACCCGGAATCTGGTTACAATGCAGAAACTGCACCACATTTGCGCTCCGCAATTGAATTGGATGCAAAATTATTAGAATTCTCTGGTAATTTGGAGAAGTTGGGCCTTCCCACAGATATTAAATCAACAGATGATATCGCCAAGATCAATGATTCCCTTTCTGAACATGTCATTAACCCTTTAAATCTTTGGCAGTACTATGTCTTCAATAGACAAGAAACACTTGAAAACTTGCAAGCGGCATACAATGAACTGGATTCAAACCTTAACCCAGTGGAAATTCCTGATGAAATTGATACTTCGGATATCAAACAAGTTGCTGACTTTACAGTTGAAACTTGTTCAATAGCCAAAAAAATTATACTTGAAGACAGATACTCTAATAAGTTCGATGCCTTTAAGTTCCTCTCTGTTCTTGCTGCTCTCGTCAGCCCATCTTCGACTACTTCCATCTCCCTTGATGACATTGAGGCTAAAGCTGGATCTATAATAGATGCCATCAATGTGGACTTATACAGGGCCTATGACGATGATGTTAAGACAATAAAGCAGCAGGTTTCGGATAGAATCAAGTTTCAACGCCTTGAACAAAAATTGGGACCTATTACTGACAAGTTGCCATTAACAGAGCCATATTTCACTAGGTTCAAAGACAATAAGGAAGGTAAAGACTGGGCACTTGCTAATAACGGTTGGATATGGGGCGGAAATCCACTTGTAGACTTTGCCTCATCTTCCTCCAAAGCATACCTCAGAAGAGAAGTTATTATCTGGGGTGATTGTGTGAAATTGAGATATGGTTCTAAGGAAGAAGATTCACCTTATGTTTGGTCGAGAATGATTGAATACACTCAGCTTTGTGCTAAAGTATTTCAAGGTTTCAGAATCGATAACTGTCATTCCACACCTTTGCACGTTGGAGAAAGATTACTTGATGAGGCTAGGAAAGTGAACCCAAATCTTTACGTCGTTGCAGAATTATTCAGTGGTTCTGAGGCTATGGATAAAATTTTCGTTGAAAGATTGAGTATAAACAGTTTAATCAGAGAAGCAATGCAAGCTTGGAGTGTTAGTGAGTTGTCTACTTTGATTCATAAACACGGCGGTAGACCAATCGGTTCCTTAACATGGATGCCATTAGACGACTTTACTTACCCAGCTGGAAGTGAACCAGACATCAAGGAATCTTCAGATGGAAACATTCAAACTACTTCAGAAGTCAAAATTCCCAAAAACCTTGCTAGTCAAGCTCCCCACGCTTTGTTTATGGATTGTACTCATGATAATGAAGTTCCTAATCAGAAGAGGACTGTAGAAGATACTTTACCTAATGCGGCTTTAGTTGCATTTTGTTCTGCTGCAATCGGATCAGTTTTGGGTTTCGACGAGTGTTATCCTGAGTTGCTTGATGTTGTCGGTGAGACAAGAAAGTACACATATGGTGAAGACGTCGGTATTAGTCCTGTTAAGGCAAAGTTACATGAGATCAGAAAGCAATTGGCAGAAGAGAGTGTTGATGCAGTCCAAGATAATGAAATGTACATCCACCATGAAGATCAATACATCACCATTCAAAGACACAACGCCAGAACAGGTACTGGCTGGTTTTTGATTGCAAGAACTAAGTTTAATGAAGGATTAGCAAACCAAACTTTAACACCACCTATTTTAGGCGGAACAAACGTCAAGGGAGAATTTGCATATTCGTTAAAGAAAACTGGCGACTACGTACGAGACGATAAAAAATTGACGGGAGTTCCAGTAAAGTTGGAGGAAATTGAAATTCCGTATATCGAAGGTAATCTGGATTCAGAATCAAAGATTTATGTTGACGTTAACAAATTCCCACCAGGTTCCATCGCCGTCTTTTCAACAACTATTCCTAAGGTAGATTTATCGTTGGATCAGTCTCTCAAGGTTGGTGCCATTGAGGCTTCATTAAACCTTGACTTATATGATTTAAATGCAATTTTATATAGATGCGAAGCCGAAGAAAGAGATGCCAGTGGAGGCAAAGAGGGTACTTATTACATTCCAGGGGTGGGAAATCTAGTGTATGCTGGTTTGGAAGGTTGGATCTTGGCTCTCAAAAATGTTATCTGGGAAAATAACTTGGGAAGTTCTGTTTGCAACCATTTAAGAGAAGGTGAATGGGCTTTTGATTATGTTGTAAACAGATTGGACCAATATGCTGATAATTCTAAAGGTATTAAAGAATTCCAAGATTGGTTACGTTCTAGATTTGATTCCATCAGAGGAGTTCCATACTTCTTAAGACCTCATTATTTCGCCCTTGTTATCGGTATCGCTTACGAAGCGGCCAGATTTAGAGCATTGAGACTTATGGATCCAAAGATACAGAACGGTAATAATTTTATTCAAAGATTGGCATTGACTTCAGTTCAAATGTGTGGTAGGATGAACAATACTTCCTTAAAGGCCAAAGAGCAAGTTCCTTGTGTCGCTGCTGGTTTACCACATTTCAGTAATGACTACATGAGGTGTTGGGGTAGAGATGTCTTCATTTCATTCAGAGGTTTATTTTTAGTAACCGGCAGAGACGAAGATGCTAGACAACATATTTTAGGGTTTGCACAGACTTTGAAGCATGGGTTAATTCCAAATTTATTAGATGCTGGAAGAAATCCTCGTTATAACGCAAGAGATGCTGCCTGGTTCTTTGCACAGGCCGTGCAGGAGTATGTCATTAACGTCAAAGATGGTATTAAGATTTTAGACGAAAAAGTCAAAAGAAGATTCCCCTTGGATGACACCTATATTCCTTATGATGATCCAAAGTCATTCAGCTATGAAACTTCCATTAGAGACATTCTTTATGAAATATTATCGAGACACGCCAAGGGTATCAAATACCGCGAAGCCAATGCTGGTCCTAATTTGGATCTGCAAATGAAGGATGAAGGGTTCAATGTTGAAGTTAATGTTGATTGGTCAACTGGATTAATACACGGTGGATCACAATTTAATTGTGGAACATGGATGGATAAGATGGGAGAAAGTGAAAAGGCTCATAATAAGGGAGTACCAGGTACGCCAAGAGATGGTGCTGCTATCGAATTGCAAGGTTTATTAAAGAGTACCTTGAGATTTGTCAATCAATTACGCAAGGAAGGTCAATTTTCATATGAAAGTGTATCAAAGAGCGATGGATCAGAAATTTCATTGAAAGAATGGGAATCACTTATTCAAGATAACTTTGAAAAATGCTTTTATATCCCCGAAGATGCTAGCGAAGACTCCAAATATAATGTCGATCCTTCGATCATCAATAGAAGGGGTATCTATAAGGATTTGTACAAATCTGGTAAGCCATATGAAGATTATCAATTAAGACCAAATTTTGCAATTGCTATGAGAGTAGCACCAGAGCTTTTCGAAGTTGATAAGGCTGTTGGGGCAATTGAAATCGCTGATCAAAACATTAGAGGCCCAGTTGGAATGAGAACATTGGATCCTTCTGACTATGACTATAGACCTTACTATCTCAACAGTATAGATAATGACGACTACAAGACCTCCAAAGGGCGTAACTACCACCAGGGTCCTGAATGGGTATGGTGCATTGGTTACTTCTTCAGAGCGTACTTATACTTCCATCATAAGAAGAATGGAAGCAAAGATGTGGTCTCTCAAGATGTCTTGTGTGCACTTAACGATAGGTTACAGGGCCACATTAAATGGATTAGAGAGTCTCCTTGGGCTGGCTTAACCGAGTTGACGAATAAGGATGGAGATATTTGCCATGATTCCAGTCCAACTCAAGCATGGAGTACTTCGTGTCTTCTTGATTTGTACTACGATTTATGGAATGATAAGATATTCAGTTGAATAGATAGAATAGACCAGATTAGATCATATCAGGTAAGATTATTAGAGAAAAAATGGAAAGAAATTAGAGTTATTTATGAAGTTTTCAAATTAAAAAAAGATATATAAATGAAATAAAGGAATAGAAAATATAAATCATAAAAGGAACTCATACCTAAAAAGGTGTCGTAACTCTTCTATATGTCTCCAGTGACCAGTGTAAAACAATGCTGCTGTTATATAGTGTACCTGCATAAAGTTCTTTGGAAGAAGGAAACCCTGCCTCAATTTTTTTTAACTCTGCAGGGTATCAACACTTCTTATATGCACACCTTGGATTCCTTTTCTTTTTTTTTTTGGTTCCACTATTTTTTTTTTTTTTTATCATGGTTACCTCTTCACCTTCAAGTCCCCCCCAGTATCTAGACCCAATTCATCTAACCATATCGTGTGAATCAATCCATCGCCTCATTAATCCATCACCGATTCCCATCCAGAAATCACCCACTCATTTCCCCATCTCTCATGTCCAAAACAAGATCACAACAAGTAATCACATTAGAAAACTTACTCCCACTCAAGAACAATTCATCGTCGAACAGTAATTCAACAGGAAGTCCTAAAAAGTCAATAATTTGGAAAGACTTTGGTGTTTATCTCGACAAAAAAATTGATTCACATCTTAATCGCGATACGGATCAAATTTCAAGTATCACATACAACAGTTCACTAAACTCATCTTACTTATCACTGGTTAATAAGTATCGGATCTGTAGTTCTTGTAGTAGACCCATTGGTGTAGATAGCTTAGAGACACATTACAGTCGGTGTATTGAAATGAAACAGAAAAAGAAAGATTTGGAAGCTGCTGCGGCTGCTTCTGGCACTTCCACCTCTGCTGCTGGCAGCCAAGGGAAACGTAAAAGAGGTAGAAATGCGTTGTTAGACGTTGATCAGTCGAGTGTAGAGTCTTCGAGAAACACAACTCCACTCCCTAGTACACCAGCACAGCCACAAACAGCTGCAAATGCTGGTACTGTTGGCCCCGATGGTGTTGTGAAGCCAAAGAAGAAGTACAAGAAATCAAAAACTCAAAGAGAGAAGGAAGCAGCAAATGCAGCCGCTGCTGCGGCAGCAGCAGCTCTAGCTGCTAATAATAAGTTGTCATCCTCTAAGAAAGATAGAGGCAGCGACGGCGGTAGCACAGGCGGCAATAGTCAGTCTCATTCGTCCAATGTTGACGCTAACTATGGGGCTTCTGGGCTAGAATCCTCGTCTGGAACTTCGAAGAAAACAAAAGTGAAGTCACAGGCCAAATTAAAGGGCCCAGTAGATGTAGAGAAGCAGTGTGGTGTTCCCTTACCGTCTGGTGGATTCTGTGCTCGTTCACTCACCTGTAAGACCCATTCTATGGGAGCAAAAAGAGCAGTGTTGGGTAGATCTGCCCCATATGATGTACTTCTTCAGCAGTACCAAAAGCGCAATCAAGCCAAGTTGGCCGCAAACAACGCTTTAGCTGCGCAAAGACGTGAAAACGCTGCGTTTACCGGGGGAGTCCACGGACTCAACTCCAGAGGCGAAGGGTTTGATCTGGATGCCATGTCGAATCAAATGGTCAATAAAGTGTTGGATCCAGACGAAGAGACTCACTTAGTGCTTGAAGGGTTGTCGAAAAATAACCCTGCTCCACTTGAGCGTAAAGTTATAATGCCTGTCAGAAATAGACACAGGTTTTTGTATATGAGGGAAGCATACGCGAATGCACTTATAACCCTGGGTGGTTCTTCCGCCAGTGCTTCAGGTCTGGGTAACGACCAAACTTTAGCCAACCAAGCCATATCTGGTTCCATTGGTGGGCTCCAGGGCCGTTGTACTTTGGTCAACGTAGATCAATCTCTTGGATACGTGGCACCAGACCCAAATGTACCATATTCTACACAAGCACTTGCTTCTATATCTGGTGAGCTTTATCAAGTCAGAGCACCACTGAAGGCTATCTTGTTAACTTCACAGCACAACACCATGCAACAGCAAGCCTTCCAACAGCAATTAATGAAGCACCAACAACAGATGCTACTTTTGAAGCAACGCCAGGCCCAACAACAACAACAACAGCAGCAACAACAAAAACAACAACAACAACAACAACAACAACAACAACAGCAGCAAGTGCAGCCACAACTACTGCAATATGCAAATGCTCAGCTGGTCCAAAGGTAAGTATATCTATACGGGGGAAACTGTAACGTTGTTCAAGTAATAATGTTGACTTTATAGATTTGTATGTTTGTATTAATAATATGTATTTTTTATTCCTACGTGGGTTCATCTTGCAGTATTAGTTGCATTTATGAATTACGCTCTTACAAGCCTATATAGATGTATAATAAATTTCGTGTATTAAGAATTTGAGGTACTACCTGTAATACTTTCAATGCCCCTTCTACTTGCTTTCGCCTTCATCTACGGGCCAATACTTCATGTTTTTCAATATCCAAGGATGGTTTGGGATCTCTTTCAATGGTAATCTCTTCTTAGGGTTGTGTTGAAGCAAACTTTGAATTAAATCAGTAGCTTCAGCGCAAACAAAGCTTGGGATTTTTAAGTCTACCTTGGCTATTCTTTTATAGGTTGCATTCTTATCGATTTCTTCAAACGGAGGCTTTCCCACGAGGAATTCATAGCAGAGAATTCCTAATGCCCATATATCCACAAAAACGTCATGCTCTTTCAGTTCAATCATTTCAGGGGGTAGATAGTCTAGAGTCCCACACATGGTTAGCCGTCTATTGGAAGAAGAAGAGGAAGAAGAGCCCGAATTAGCAGCTGTAATGGCCGAGCTATTCGAAGGATTGTGTCTTACAGACCATCCAAAATCACTAATCTTAATGATATTGTTGAAGGAAAGTAAAATGTTTTCAGGTTTGATATCTCTGTGGATAATATGTTTAGAATGCAAGTATGATAATGCTAAGGACATCTGATAGATGTAGTACGATGCAGTGACGTCATTAAAACGTCTTTGAGTTTTAAGATGCTGGTAGAGTTCACCGTATATGGCGTATTCTAGGATAAGATAGACATTCTCCTGGTCATAAAAGTACCCGTAAAGCCTTGAGATTTGGCGGTGACGAAGCTTCAGTTGGATCTCCACTTCCCTACGGAAATTCTTTTCGATTTTGAAGTTGATGATATCCTTTTTCGACATTACTTTAAGAGCACAAATGAAGCCAGTGTGACGCTCCTTGGCACAGTAGACTTTACCCAATTTACCCTTTCCTAATGACTTACCAATTTCAAAGTCTGAAAGAGAGTACTTTAGATTGGGTGTTCCTAATGGAAGATAAGAAGAAGCAGATCCTCCCATGCCCACTACAGATCCCACAGAGCCCGAAGGGCCCGTAGCCGCGGTGTTTGTACTACTACTAGCAGCATAAGCGAGAGCTTCAAATGAACTTTTCTTGGTGGAAGCACTGGACGGGGAGGAGTCTGTCAAGGGTGGTGCTTGCCCTAACGATTTCTTTGAATAGTTAGAAAATGGTCTAAATTGCCTGGAATCCGACATAGACTCATTTTCTTTCAATTTATTCGACTTCCTCGTCAACTTTGTACTTTTTCTAGATGGGAGTAAACTGATCCTCTTGATTTCAAACCTCGTAGGAGGGCGCTTGCCACTCTTCCGGCGTATGGGCAGTACTCTGTCGTTGGCACTCGATGATGACCTATACAGCTTAATTGGGACGGGCACAGCAATAGAAGAAGACATTGATGACGACGTTGTTGATGCTGGCTTCGATATGTTCCCAGCCTCGAGGTTATTGATCTGAAGCTTCGAAAGCGGATACCTTTTTGTTCCCGATCCCCCTCCTAAAGTCTCGTTGAGAGACAGGATTCGATTCTCTATAAGTCGAAGCTGATTAGATGTGACATTAGACATGATCTAAGAAGAATAAAGGTCCGTACGGCTTGCAATGGTTATCCTAATCAAACCTTGTGCAAAAATCAACTGGTTATGTTTTTGTTTACAACCGCATTGTTTACATTTCCTGCACATAGCCATTTTTTTCACTGTAAAGAGCATAGGGGAGGAGAGTGCAACTCACGATCTATGGCAATAGGTATAGTATCTGGTTAACGAAGGATGTAATATAAGGACTCGAGAAGGCTGGTGCTCATTCATGTTTAGAGACATGACTAAGCTACTACTATTTAGGTAGAGAGTGCTTAGCTTCGTTGTAGAAATGGAAATGAAAAGAAGGGCCCCAGTAAAAATTTTGTGCAGGAATCCACAACTCTCATTACATGAAATGGAAACAGCTAAAGCGCTTGCACAGATCTTTCCCAAATGAAGCAAAAGGGCATAGAGATCGCTCATATTAGCTACATTGCAGGTGATGCAAAAAAATAAATCATGAAGAAGAGAAGCGCTTTCGGAAATTATGACATCATATTATCATGTACATTTATGATACAAGACATAGATGGCAAGAGTAATTCTTAAAATAGCATACCACCTCATTACATACTCTTCCTTTCCGCGGCACCAAGTTAGATTATTATAGTGCTACTCCCAACAAACAATACTCTACGTCTTTCCTTTTCGTTAGGCTAATGCTTAACACTAAATCTAGAACCAACACAATGCAAGATGCATCTGAAAAGCTAGAAATTTTTCAAGAGGCACTTCCTCATGACGTCATACATTCCATCCCGATGGCATTACAAAAGCCTAATGTGAAAAATGGACCGATTGTCTTGTAGTTCCAATCCAAGTTGCCATAGAAACAATAATAAAACCCAAAATCATAATAGAGAAGATAAAAAGGAACAATAAAATGTGCAAAAGTTTATTTGAATCACGAAATAAGGTTATAAGAAACAAGGTTAAAACGAAAGTGTCAATAACTTTATTTGAATGTTTCAGTTGCTTGAAAAGCTCGCTCCGAAGCAAAAAGAAGGGACAATTCCATCTATTCATAGCTAAGCACCTTCTCGTAAGGTTGTTATTGTTGAATACTCGTACATATAAGGCAGAAGTGAAACCAGTTTTATGTTATCTAATAGGGTGGCTCGTTTAATTAGGCATGTATCTCACATAGATATGCAAAAAAGCGTAAAACTCTGTCCCTGTTTAGAAATCTGTTCTCTATTCCGTGTATTGCATACTTTATGTGTATCCACCAATACTAGTTTACAAAATTACTTGCTGGATATCGATTCTTGTGTCATACCACTCAATAATAATGCTTTCCTCTAACCGCAAAATATCTCCTTTCACCCATTCACCCATTCACCCATTCACCTCTACCCTCTTCAGCTTCCAAGAATATTTTTTTCTTTCCTTCAACCACAATTAGAGTAGGGACTCACCCCACCGCAGCCCCACAAAAGCTATAAGTCCGTTGAGCGAGCTATTTTGCGAGATCGATCCACATCAATGATCATTAGGGAGATTTATTAGCGAAAAGTGCAATACCCACTGCTGGATATTTACTTGTGAAGCCATAGGCTTGACTTCTTTATGAAGATAGATTCAGCAATACACATATTGGCGAGTATGGTACCATGAACTTATTCAACTTGCCCAATTGAACCACTTAGTATTGCGCTTTTCGTAAACTCGTAAACTCGTAAATATTCATTTAATGGTTACACTCCTCTGCCATTTGTTGGATTTACATTTATTTTTTAACCTCGACACCGGAATAACTGTAGTCCAAGAAATTCTTCCAGCACTCGAGCACCTTTACACTTCTACCCCACTCTAGTATACATAGAGTATACATAGAGGATAAATTCCTACTTTTTTGTTTAGCTTTTATAGATCTTAGTTTTCATATAGTTTTCAGATAAAGACTAATTAGTATGACACCTATTGAATGAAGAATTATTGATATGGGGCTTGTAAAATGAACTCGTAACCTAGTGTAGCTAGTCTAAATACTTACCATGAGAAAATAAGGAACAATTTTCATGTCACCATAATAAAATCATTCGCCATTTCAACTGTACAATAAGTGGAATTTTATTATTTTTCAACCATCTTTAGTATTCAATATATTTTAAAAGGGTATAAGCAATGGCTCTATGGAAAGTATCGCTAGAGTGCACCGGGCAAGGTAAGAAACGTGATTCAAGTGCTATGTTTATCGCTGAAATACCTTTAATTAGACATCTCTAAGATCTTAAATTCAGTAATTTTTTTTGACGTATCCAACCTACTTAAAGAGCCTGAATTAGACGACATACTTTCCTCAATAAAGTTGTAATGCCTACCACGTACTGTTAACTTAATACTCCACTAGATATGCCCCTAAGGGGTTTCCAGTTTGCTGCATGTCTGGGGTCATCCTAAAAACAAGCTCAATTAGTGTCCCCGACGCCGCAGTGTCAATTATGCTACAGACTAAAATTTAGTCTTTAGGGCTTTGCTTCAATTCAAATAAGTAGAGAATGAATTACAGCAACTGCTAAATTTGGATTTTTTATCGAGAGAGGCAAATTCCTAGATAAGAAGTGTGTCCAGGGCGACTGTTCATGGAGACTATTTCGTTGAATTGAGCCCAGGAGTTTGTATGTAATGTAAGGACTATTATGGGGCATACATTAATTTGTGGGGTTACATCAGCCACTTTACTAGTAGACACAAGTGCATAAAGGTGAATTGCATAGAGGTGAAGTAACACACTTTCTGACTATATTATAGAAGACGCGTCGCTTCCGCGTTCACCCTTCATGGTCACTTTAAAACTACTAATCGGAGTATCGTCGTAGATCGAGTTACTCCATTGGTTCGACGCATGAAAAGCTGGAGATAAACAGCCACGAATTGTACATATTCACACATGAAGTGGGGCGTTATACGCAAGAGGCAATCTTAAATAATATCCATATAATTTTTGCCTTTTTACCCAGAGAGAAGTCAAGCGATGATGTTAACTTAGGCGTCCCTACTGTGCAAGTACTTCGATGTGGGGTGTACATTGGGAGTATTAGAAGTTGCTTTTCTAGAACCTTATTTCACGTTCTGCCGAGAGCTATAGAAAATAAAATTTTGGAACTTATACCTTAAAAATAAACCTAACATCATCGGGCAATCCTTTCTGTAAAGCCAATAGAAAGACAACCTAGAACATGATAGAATTACTAATGTCTGATGTTGGTATTGATATCCCCGCAATTCGGATGGTAATACTACTCAATATAGTATTTCGAGGTTACAGGTTCCGGAGTACGGTTTGTAAGTAGTTACCATGCAACTCTGCCCAACGCTAGAATTTCAAGAAAAGTGAAACAATGAATCATACGAGAAAGGTACTCTCCGATCAGCATTATTAGTTAATCAGGAAATTTTTACTTTTAAGCTACCTTGAGTAAAGGGATTCGGTCCCGATGGCTACTTAAATCCCACTGAGAGCGCACTGAAAGTGCACTAAGAGTGGGGTACATGATACTTCAAAGAATGTATCTACAACAATTGAATTTTATGAGCACTGAATTTGACGCACGTATTTTTTGTACGTAATTTCAAGTCTGGAGTCGCGTGGAATCTGGGGCACATTACGTGAATATGTATTTGTCAAGAGTGTTTCAATTTGTTAGACAATTCAAAAGCTAAGTATACCGTCACACAAAGTATAACTATTCCCTTGGCGCTACAATGATAGTATCTGAGAGCAAAGCTAACTCAAGCAATGAACAAATAAAGTATTGAGAGAATTTGAAGATTGCTACTCTATATACGTTAGCTTTTCACACCAGGCAAGCTCGGAACGCCTCCACTGACTCCATCCTCAATAGAAGTAGAAAAAGAAAAAAAAAAAATTACATAAAACTTGTGAAACAAGAAAATAATACACTCCCTCCATCGGAAATAAGATGGTGGGGAAATAAACATCTGGCAGCTCTTCAGAAGTTGTGAATAAAGTCGTACATTATAGGCCAGAAAATGAATGGTGATATGTGACAGTATTCTCCATGTCGCAAAACTTCATGTTCATAACCCATTTACCGAATTTTCTTGAGTGTTACCACCCCAAAATAATCAAATACTTGGGACACTCTTTTCTAATCAACCCCACCATTCACAAAAATTTTTGCGCATTTTCTCGACAGCAAGCAAGCGCAATGAGATGTGCGTTAACACATTATGCATAATTCTGATGTTCCATTCTTTTTTGGTGTGCGTACTATTTTTATTTTTTTTCCCAGCTTATACTTCTCGGAACCAATACCAATTTTCCCATATAAATAAGATTTGGAGTAAATTTCTTTTTTTCATTGGAGTTATGATACGTCAATTTTTTGGGCGGGTTGAAGGTTTGCATTGACAGAAATAGAACCACCAATCACAGAAAAGTAGTCTTGAAGGTACATATCGACAGACGATATAGACGAGCCCATGTTGCATCTTGTAATACTTTTTTTTTTCTGTAGTGGAATGCTATTGCTGGACGTACCACTACGCCAGGTGTAAACGCCTTACGGGTATTTTTAAATTGTACTTGACTAACTCATTATTAATGCAGGATTCAAAATACGCACCAACACAAATTTGGCTTAATTGGGAGCTCTGGCAATGAAAAGTTCTCCTGAGGCTCAGTTTCTGCGCTGTTACACTCGGCAAATAGCTTTACCAAAACGGCTGGAAGGTAAATTTACGTCATAGCTAAGAAATTTTTTTTGTTTCTTTTTGTGTCATGCAGCTTGCAGGCTGCTTAATGTTTCTCCCGATAGATGAAATTGCAGCCTTTGTTATGCCGAACTGCATTAGTCTACCTTAGGAAGGCTAACATTCAGATATATATAAGACGGAATGGTCCCGCTGTTGAAACATGCCAAAAGAGGTTTTTTTTTCTTCTTCCCTTTTCCAATATATTGAATTCAAATCAAAAAAATAATATGGGTTTTTTCGATTTTGTTAGTAGAACCAGTACTATGGGTTTGAGGGGTCGTCCTCTTAGACTTACCATTACTGCAGTTGCTACTATTGGTTTCTCGCTTTTCGGTTACGATCAAGGTTTAATGTCCGGTATTATTACTGGTGTAAAGTTTAATGAAGAATTTCCTGCTACTGGTGGATCTTCCCACCACGCCGTTGTTGTACAAGGTGCTGTTGTTTCCTGTTACGAGTTAGGTTGTTTCTTTGGTGCTATTTTTGCTCTTTTCCAAGGTGAAAAAATTGGTAGACTTCCAATGCTTCTCATGGGTTCCCTTATTATTATCATTGGTACTATAATTTCCGTCACTGCATTCAAGGACTCTTGGGGTCTTGGTCACTTTGTTATCGGAAGAGTTATCACTGGTGTTGGTAACGGTTTGAACACCGCTACTATCCCAGTTTGGCAATCTGAATTGTCCAGGGCTGAAAACAGAGGTAGATTGGTTACTTTGGAAGGTGCTGTCGTTGCAGTTGGTACTTTCATTGCTTACTGGTTAGATTTTGGATTAACCTATGTTGATTCCTCTATTCAATGGAGATTACCAGTTGCTGTTCAAATCATCTTCGCCTTGATTTTATTCGTCGGTGCCCTCAGTTTACCTGAATCTCCAAGATGGTTAATTGCCCATGACAGAAAGGAAGAAGCTTACTATGTTTTAGCAGCTGTTAAGGACTTGGATCCAGCTGACGATGAAATTTATGCGGAAGCCACTGCCATTTCTGATGCTGTCAAGAGATTCTCCAAATCTCAAGTTGGTATGAAGGATTTATTGACCGGTGGTAAGACTCAACATTTCACCAGAATGGTCATTGGTTCTTCTACTCAATTTTTCCAACAATTTACTGGTTGTAACGCTGCTATTTACTACTCCACTGTCTTATTCGAAAAGATGAACTTAGGAAGAACCATGTCTTTGATTATGGGTGGTGTTTTCGCTACCGTTTACGCCTTATCTACTATTCCATCATTTTTCTTAATCGATAGAGTGGGTAGAAGAAACTTGTTCCTTGTTGGTGCTGCTGGTCAAGGTATTTCCTTTATCATCACCATGGCTTGTTTAGCTCACGAAAACGTCAATACTCAAAAGGGTGCCGCTGTTGGTATCTACTTGTTTATTTTCTTCTTTGCTTTCACCATCTTGCCATTACCATGGGTATACCCACCAGAAATCAACCCAATGAGAACCAGAACTTCCGCTGCATCCGTTTCCACTTGTACTAACTGGCTCTGTAATTTCGCGGTTGTTATGTTTACTCCACTTTTTGCTGCTCAGTCACAATGGGGTCTTTATTTGTTCTTCGCCCTTGTTAACTTTTCTTTCATCCCAGTTATCTTCTTTTTCTACCCAGAAACTGCCGGAAGAAGTTTGGAAGAAATTGATATTATCTTTGCAAAGGCTTACACTGATGGTAGACCACCTTGGAGAGTTGCCGCCACTATGCCATACTTATCTGTCCAAGAAGTTGAAGATGAAGGTACCGCTTTGGGTCTTTACGATGATGACTTTGAAAAGGATAACGTTGAATTTAAGGAAGACATTAACTCTTCCAGTAGTGGTCCACTCGCCTCCGGTGTCTTAGAAAAGCCAGATCCAGTTGAAGAACCAACTGACTCGTCTTCTAGACAAGCTCAAGTTTAATGTATAAATATGCCCCATCTCCTAGAATAAGATCTATAGAGAACAATAATATAATATAATACCAATATCAAGACGTAGAAAACTATCCGAGAGGAAAAAAGAAACTCAATTTCTAATATATATATACAGATATATTGCATAAAATATTTTAAATATAAACAATCTTAAAAGATGAATCTCTAACGACGTTTCAACCGGTGGCACTATCGATTAGCTTACATTTCCATTTCGTTTGATAGTTTTATTGTTGGTTATATTTCCCATATGCTAAAAAATCTAATTTACACAGAATCTATTCGTCTTTAATACCTTCCCATTCGCCATCCTTTGCTTCACCTACAATTGGAGTCTCTTCAGCAACGGCATTGTTTAACTTGCCCTCTCTTTCAGCTCTCTTTCTCTTTACTTCAGCTCTCTTATCTTCACCAGTCTTTTTATCGCTGTCTTCATCCTTAGGAGGAGCAGTAAACCAAGGGATCTTCCCTCTATTAAAATCATTCAAGATTTGCTTAGAAACACCACTTTCATCTGGTTCTCCACCTTTTAAAAGTCTACCTTGCTTTCTAGCAATTAATTCAATGAATTCAATACTTGCCTTTTCCAATAAACTAATATCTTCTTCAAATTTACTCCACCCACTGATTTCGTAAGTTCTTTCCAAATGCTTCCTTTCACACTTTTGCAACATATCCGGTATGTATTGTTCAGGGTTGGAAACATGTTCCACTCTTACAACACCTCTAAATAAAATATCTGATTCGGTATCTCTTGAAGAAGGTGGCACAATACCAGGACAATCAATTAAGAATATTTTCTTCATTAACGTGATATATTGCCAGACCTTAGTTTCACCAGGAACTGGAGCAACAGTACAAACCTTCTTACGACGTAAGGTGTTAATAATTGATGACTTACCAGTGTTTGGGTATCCGATGAATCCAACAGATATTTGTTTACGATCGGAATGCAATGATGAAAATTGACGAAGTAATTGAATGAGGGAACCCTTACCGAAAGAGTTGGTAATAGAAGCATGGAATGCTAATGTTGGATAATCTTTGGATAAATGCTTAACCCATGCAGCCTGTTTAAATGTTAGTATAAATTTTCATTAAGTATTTTCAAATCTTGCTCAGAGTTGGTCTGGAACATAAACAGAAGGAAAGAGATAATTGGTGTGGTGTCAGGTTCTTTACTACGAATCATTTCATATTTCAAAGGGCAAAAACTCTTTGGAAAGGCTTCAACTCATAAGATCCCGTACGATCCCTTGATGTTTGATAATAACTATCGAACGATGTATACAAATCCAAAACCAAAACGGTAGCGGAACCCAATCGAAACAGGGGTACACGAGCGGGATGTATTCTTTTTCCAACGGCATAACAGGCAACATTTTTGTTTGATTGTGTAAAACAACCGAGTATCACCCTGACTAAGGCCCTTGGGTCCTCTATTGAACGAGGTCAAAAACAATAGAAGAGAAGTTAGTGTAAAAAAATAAAAAGTTCATTGACCAGAACTTTTGGTAAATCAATAAAATGGAAAAACAAAATAGAGATTAAAAATCATGAAGATGAAGGTTCTCTAAACCTCCTCTGAGCTTGAATAGGCACCTAGCCCTCATTATACATACTGCAACCCAAGTGGGTACCAAGTCACACTTGTTCAACACATAAATCAAATGCTTATGTGGACATTCTTCCCTGATGAATTTTTCAACGGTTTCACAACGAGTTCCAATTGGATCTCTAGCATCCAAAACATGAATAACAACATCGGAAGAATCAATAACCTTATATAATTCGTTCCAAATTCTCTTAGATTGACCCTTGTGGAAAATGGCTTCCTTGGCCTCTTGCGTATAGTCCTCTTTATCTAAGAATGAGCCACCCATGAGTCCCAAAGTAGAATCCAATTCTTGCTTTTCCAGGTACTTAGTAGAATCAGAGGCAGATAACTCAGCCAATTCTTCCAAATTGGAAGCAGCAACTCTAGGCTTCTTTCTTTGTTGCTTTGGGCCGAATGCATGTTGGTACGATTCAGTTTCCAAAATGTTCAGGGTTGGACTGTCGGTCTTGTCCTTCTCATCCAACAAAGACATTGGCAATTTGTTTCTTCTAAGTAAAACTTGGTACGAATCTTTTTTCCTTTCACCCATAGCTTGTCTGAAGTGAGACAAAGCATCTTGTGCAATGACTCTGGTATTTCCGAACCAACGACGGTTTGGGTCAACTCTAGCAGTAGGAGCGTCAGTCAGTTGCAAAGCAGCAGCTTGAACAATGTCACCTTGTGCATTACGTACTGCTCTTCCACTCTTATACATTTGCAAGTGCTTAACCTTTTTGGCATCACGGTAAAAATTTTCTCCTTTCACACGGAGATTCCCATCCTTGGTATCATTTTGTCTAGCTCTTCTAGACTTTTCTTTCTTTTGAGTCCCCATAGCGTGTTAGTTGTATATGTATTTGAAAACTAGAAGAAGAATTAAAGCTCTACTAACGGAATAGCACTTTCTCTGAAATATTTTTTTTTTATCTCATCGCTGCTTGGAATTTTTCTGAGGGTGAAGTGTCGTGCACCGCACAATTACAGAGCCTGTGTTTGTTGAAGCACCAGACAATCTGTTGTATCTATAGAGCACAAGAGGCCAACTACAGCACTTCAATCCCAGCAAATGCTTCCATTGAACATTTTATGCATTACACGGTGCTCGAAAATTTAGGTCCGCTACGGTTTCTATTTTCTTATCTTTCATGTGGAACAATTGCTGCTACTGCCTTCCCTTCTCGAAGTTGTGGTGCCAGTAAATTCTTTTGTTTCGTTTCTCGATCTTCTGAGTTCGCAGTTGATCTGGCACGGTTGAATGCAGGAAAAGGTGTCAGGTATCTCGTGCGATTAGATTGCTGCAAAAATCTAGGGCTGACTAGAGCCAGTAGGTTCTGTGCAAGATACTTGAGCAGAGTAGCCTAGAAAGCTTTTACTGTGTTATACGTATGAAGTGGTGACTAGGGTATATAAAATTGATTAACTCTGTAGCTTATTTTGAAAATAATTTCTAGCATTTGTTTTTCTGAAAAGGGGGCACGGCTATGGCAACAACAGAGGCTTTTCGATTAAGTAAAGTATGTAGATTTAACAGACAGAAGCTTGAAATGTAGAAGGATCTAACATGCAAAACTGCACCACTGAGAGCAGATTGATTCATCTTGCATGCCCGGGGTATATACTGATACAAAGTCGATGTTTTATTTTTCTCATGAAGGCCTAATTCGGTGGGTATCATCGAGCACCTCATCCCCACTGGTCGCAACTGTATGCATGATAATAAGATAACCGCTGTGGGATATGATGGCGAACTATCTTCTAGATGTACCACTATTATTCAAGTATTGGAAAATGATTTCCTCCACAAGGCCTTCTTTAGTTGCATGCATGAATTAAAATTTGTAGAGCAACTTTGAGATGATTGGGTTGGTCAAGCTTGTTTGCTCCACAGCGTGGCCCTCGTTGCTCCCTTTTTTTTCAAGCTTTAAATTTTCGCAGTCATTTTTGTTATCACCTATCAAATACTTTTGGTGTATTATAAACATTGCCCCCGAGCTCACTTCTTTACCAGTTACCATAAACCAAGTTGAAAACCCATCACAATGTCTCTCGTAGAAGGATTATCACCTTCCGAAGAACATTTCTTCAAGAAATACTTGCTCAAAAATCGGTTATCTCATGAGCTTCATCTGCTTGGAAATGAGGACTGCTGTGAAAAATTTGGAGCTCCTTTCAAAAGTGCTGCTCCTCAACCAGATGAATTTCCCTTGCTCAAGTTCTTCTTTAATAATTTCACAGAGACATTTCCTTTCATTGCGAGCAATTCTCAAGAGGAACAAAGATCTATTTGGCAAGATACAGTTCAACCGTTCTTGGAAAACTTCAACCTGAAGGGTATATCAGAGTCCCATGAGAGAAAGGAGAACACCACAAAACGTAGACAGGTGAACTCAAAAATTCTACTGGGACTCTTGTTATTTTTCAATTCAATGATCATCAGTAAGCAGGAATTGGTGTACTTGAAGGAAAATCAATTGAAACCTTCTGCAGCTGGGAAATTGGAAAAAATTATGCCCAAGGATGAGCCTCAGGCTAGTGCTGAACAACCACCTTCGAAGCTGTCTGAAGATGATGGTCAAAGGTTGACGTTTCACAATAACATTTCGCTTAACATTGTGTGTGTTAGAAAGATAGCTGCTCCTCAACCACAGCCAGTGGAGCAGGAAGCATTTTACTGGAGATCTTTGAAAAAATTAACTCATGCTTCAGTTCCAATTGGAAAACATCATTATGAGTTTATAATAGAAGTAGTTCGAAGAACAAAGAAAAAAGATCTTCAAGGTGACAAAAAGGGGAGATCGTATTCCTATACAAAGCATTATATTAATAGAGCATATCATGAGTTCAAAAGCTTGGAGACTACTATGAAGAAAATTTACCCTGGATTGATGCTGACTGAAGTAAGCAAATTGCCCAAGAAATTAAAAAATGACAGCGGTATCTCAAAGGATGGAGAAAGAATTAGTGAGAGCAAAGACTCTGATGAAGATGTGGGAGGTGAGACCAAGTCCATTAATTCTTCTTCTTCCTCCTTCCAAGAGACTTCACTTCACCGTGAGAAGCTTCGAATTTCTTTAAGGGGCTACCTCGTTTCTCTCCTCAAGTTTCCAGAGATTGCCCTACTGGATGCATTCCAGCGATTCATTTCTGAAGAACTGAAGACATTCACGCAATTGACCCCCGCAGACGAAGCTGATCGCTTGGAAAGATTTAACCATGAGCGCCAAATGCTTGAAATCCAACTTGAATTCCATCAACAGACATCCAACCTTATTATCGGCTTAGCTAAGGATTTCGATGAATTCAAAACAAAATTAGTAATGAACCCAAACACTATTACTGAGATATTTATGGAAATCGGGGAACTGCAGTCGGTTCAAGACCTTTCTCCCCTTTTGAGAACATTTTTTGAATGGAGTAAACTTGAAATAGCAGCTACCCTATATCAGGTATTTCTTAGTCAGGATAATTCAAGTGAATGGTTGTCAAAATGTAAAAAATTTCATGGTCTTTTTCCTTATGGGATCGTATATGGTATTTTAAGGTTTACTAATCCAGTTAAAATTGTTTCCAAAGTGGTCGATTTATTATTAGTAAATATTCCCAGTATGAACCCATGGCTGTCACAGTCAGAGCACCCGACAGCCAGAAACTTATTGTCTATGATATTTGTGATGTTGCTAGATGAAGACTTGAGTGATTTTGAAAAGGAATTAACCATTTTGGAGAATGAGAAATTGAACTTACCTGGATTTGAGGTCTTTTTGGAAAGAATAAGGAGCTATGTGTATGCTGATGAAGATACCGTTGAAGGTATTAGGATTGAAAGCTTTGAAAAGAACAAGGACATTGTTCTTACTATTTTGTCCACCAACTTGATAGAGCCAACTTTGCAGGCAAAGGATCAACAGACATTGCAATTGGTCGAGGCGTCTTTCGCCGAATACGAAAAGATTAATTCGAAGAAATTTCAAGATAATTCAACACTTGAAAAGGGTGGAAAAGCATTAGATAACTCTTCAGCATATCTTAACATCAAGCAATATTGGCAAATTCAGATTAGAAAACGTGACAAGGCAATAATGAAACAACTTTGGCAGGAACCCGAGTTGACCATGGTTATAAAGAAGTTTTTGACTATTTTCTATCAACCGCTAATGAAAGTGTTTGGAAAGAGTGATATTCACTTAGTATTTAGGGATTTTCAAAAATTCATGGATGACTTAATGGTTACGTTAACAAAGTTGAGCGATGGTGAATTTTTCATCAAATCATCTTTCGAGATATTTGAAATGCTCAAAGATTTGCTTGATCGTCATGAGATTGTCTTCTGGAGATTTTTGCACAATTTATATCGTAAAGATGACGATCAATTATTTATTTCACTTATTAAATGGGTGGAGAGGTTTTTGGTTATCTTGAGATACAAATTTACTAATCCTGATTTGGTTACGGTTGATCTAGATAGACTATCGCTATTTATCGATGATACGATTGATCACCGATTGTTTCATGAACAATTGACTGCGTTAACTAACCAGACATTGGAGAAGAGGAAATTATTCAAAGAATTCCTTGAACAAAAGAGTAAGATCAGTAACAGAAAAATCATACCTGGTACTCAGGGCGATATTGACAAGAAGTGGGATGATGTCAATGAAAAATTGTTTGGAGAAGATAAGAGTGGTGAGTTTGGCATTAATACTGATGATCTAGAAGACTTTAATATGGAGGAGATTGCCTTGCATGGTGGAACCGACACGAGCGACGACTATAGTGATGCGGAAGGTGATGAAGTAAAGGAAAAGACTGATAGGGAACTTCATTTAAAATTACAGGAATTGAATGCTAGGCAGGCAAAAATTGGAACTAGCGAACTAGATAAATTTGATGAGATTTTCAAGTCTGAATTGAATGGGCTATTACCAAAAATTAAAAAGGAAACCTTTAAGGAGGACATAAAATAGTTTAGATGTTAATTTTAATAGACAGCATGAACTGAGAAAAATATAGATCAGAATAGAAGAAATGGAACTAGGAGTATCTCATGGTTGGTTTAAGGAAGGGGAGGTTTATCCTCTGCAGCCTATTGCCGAAATCGAATCTACTGTAAAATTATCGGGAATTGAATCTACGCAGAGAGTAATGCAATGGAACCAACCATCAGAATCACGACTACGGATATTAGCACGGTGAAGCGATCATACTGTGAATATTCTGCTAATAGTGTAAGTCTTCTCCCTTAGTGTGATCATCATAGTGTGACCATCTTCATACCTTTGACTACTACCGACATTTCCTCAAGCAATAGCCATGTATGACATCAGTGATCACATGATTTGGGACTCTCGTACTTTTAAGTTGCAACCTCTTCCGTTTCCATCCTAAAGTCAAACCAGTCTAAGAAGCAACTGCTACTGAGCAATTACCATGTGAGCCATGCTCAGCAACTAGAGGCTATTTTTATTAACTTCCTCGCCTTTATATTAAGCAAATAATATTAAACTTCCTATCTATTGCTTGATTGTTGCTGTGCACGTTCTTATCCTTTCCTTTTTAAGTATTCCTTTTTCTTGTGATCAACTTTAAAAATTAATAGGGGTGTCCGGGAGGGAATATAATGCAAAAAAGAAAAGAGGCTCATTACACAAAATCTTAGATTTTTCCGGAGCACATGTTTAGTAGAACTCCCGTATATAATCGGACAGAGCAAATATTTTAACTTCTTCACAGATATTTTGTTGCTAAAGGTATATTTTCCTCCATAGCTTCGTAAGAATATGTCTGGGATAGCAACAGCACTTAGACTTAATAACGGAAATGACGATGAAGGTGTAAGACAAAGAAAGGATGCAAATGATACAGTTGAAGATCGTCCTGCATCTTCGTTACTTGATGATGAAGATATATCCACGACTGAAGAACTATTGATAGAGCATTTAGACAAGTTTTTATCCTCTGTAGAATCTAAATTAGAAAGTTTTGAACAGTATTTTAAGGCAGCATCAAAGGGAGAAGTCCTTGAGCAAAAGGTGGGATCTGATTACGAGTCCAGTCCTAGCTCTAGTCCTAGTCCTAGTCCAAGCCGTTCACTACAACATAGAAGGAGAGATCTGACAGCATCCTTGAGAGAAATCACTAGTTATTCAATTGCAAATTTAAAATCAATGTACCAAAGAATGACTATGATTAGAGGATCGGTCTTAAAGACCTCTGTTACCAACTTAGAAAACCTCTACGTAGCCTTGGAAGAGCATTATCAATACTTCACCAAACGTGAAGATATCAAGAGCAGTGATGCTGAATCTTATAATGACTTCAGACAACCAGTTGAGTCATCGACTCCAAGTGCCGTCTTTGACAGTGCAGATTCTGTACGTCAAAAAATATTGACCACCCTAGAATACTTGGATGAAAAGTTTACCAAGGTCGATAACTTGATCCAAGCTCAGAAAACTCCAAGAGCTCAAGATGATTACAAGTCTTCAGTCTTCCGCCATTTCAAATATTTTAATTTCAATAAGGCCTTGAAATCTGCGGAAGATCGTCACTTACATTACTATGAGTTGCCCTTGAACTGGAGAGAAAACCGTTATATAATTAACGGGTACAGATTCCTGATGAAGCATGGAAACACCCTCAAATCCATGTTCAAGTTCAACCATAACGAATCTGCTAACATTTGGACTCATGGAATTGGAATATTCGTTGTATTTTATTTGGCATTCTACCATTTTCCCTCGACAGTTGCATATCAGAAGAATAGTTTTGTTGATAACTTACCCATGTACTTCTTCTTCTTTGCCGCATTGGAATGCTTTGTCAGTTCGGTGGTGTGGCACACATATTCTTCATTCGCTAATTATAAAATTAGATCAACCTGTGCATGTATAGATTATACTGGTATAACTGTATTAATTACAGCTTCTGTCATTGCAGCTGAGTATTGTTCGCTCTATGCCCATCCCAAGTTCTTAAGGATATATATTGGGTTTTCATCCTTATGTGGAGGAGCTGGGTTTATTTTCAACTGGAGCCCATACTTTGACAAGCCAGAATGCAAGAGTCTTAGAATATGGTTTTTCATGGGGTTAGCCTTCTTGGGAGCTTCCACTGCAATTGTTTTCTGTTTTTATGAGGGATTTATGAAATCCTTTTTACACTTCAGTCCCTTGTTTTACAAGAGTTTTGTATGGTATTGGATTGGTGTAGTATTTTATGGAGGTTTGATCCCTGAACGTTGGAGATACGACGTTATTATCAATGAAGACGAAAGTAGCTGTAAGCACAATAGAAGTGTAACAGAAGTTATCGAGGGGGATATTGAACATAGTGGTATAGAGGAAATGAAGGAGATTGAGGAAGAGATAGGAAGACTGACCTCAAGAGATAATGCTGATGACGGTGAGGAGGAGGAGGAGGAGGAGGAAGAGGAAGAGGTAGACCCTAACAGTGAACAAAATGATGACGTTATAGATGATGAGTACCAAAACATTATTGAGAAGCATTTCCCCACGAATCCAACCCTCACCCCCTACCATAATGATTTCTTATCGTTATGGTGGGTAGATTATTTTTTAGCGAGTCATAACATATGGCATGTGTGTGTTATGTTTGGAGTAGTTGGGCATTACGCATGCATAGTTGATATGTACGAGCAAATGAGTAGATAGGAACGTTCGAATGAATATTATGCACCATGCATTGCTTTTGAAAAATGTGTGACATTTATGTATGAGTAGTTGTAGGTTTCTGTTATCTTATGCCTTCTGCCACTTTTCCAGGTTGTTTTTTCGTTCCTGCTTACATTTGTCTATACTTTGTTTTTTCTTTGGCTCTTCAGTCTATTTACCTCTAGACGAACTTTGGTAAGATCAGGGTTTACGCTGAAGATCAATACAGTCTTAGCGAATTACACTTTATTTTTTGCATAGAAATCTTTTTTTTCTTGTTTTCCTTTATTGAGCCCCCCTGCATTCGCTTATTTAGGAGGCTAGTCAAACAAGTTCCACTATCGAATAGTCCTCGTTGAACGATTTCAATTGCAATTGAGCTTTGATTCTGCGAGCTTGGTGTTCATTCTTTTCTCCCTTTGTATATTCTGCCAAACTGCAGAAAAGCATACACCCATTGTACCACTATTGCATCTGTTTCAACACGCGTTGTTGGAGAATGTACAGGAAGAGATTGACAAAAATATCTATTCTAAAAATACATACTTAGTATTTGTTCGAATTCAACATCACTTTTCCCTTGTAATAACCTGTCCATTCCTTAACTAATATACAAAAGTACCAACCATGTCATTTGCAGACTCTTTCTGGTCCCAGGAGTACGATAAGGGATTCAAGGCGCTTTTCGAACAGCTTTACGAGGGAGTCTACGAAGACGATGATTTTGTCAACTTGTTCACAGCTAGAATGGAACTGGAGTTACTTTATGGAACACAATTGGAATCCATTGAATCCAATCGAAAGTCCGCCACTAAACGTCAATCCAATGATGACTATGTATCACTGATCAAAAATTCATATCAAAAGATGAATGAAAATTTTCTGAAACAAGGTGAACTTCACGTCCAAATAGCTGCAAGTATAAAGCAGTTGGTTTTGGATCCATTTGCCAATTGGTGCAAAGATCACAAGCAACGGGTGGAGTACAGTGAAGACTTCTTATTAGAGAAACATAAGAGATTCCGCAATGCAAAGAACCAGTTGGAAAAGTTGCAGAAGAAGTATTTTAACAAGTGTAGAATGTTGGAGGAATTCAAGAGTCATTACACCGAAGAGGAATTGGAGGAAGAATTAGTCGAAGAGGCTGCTGCGGCAAAGGCAGCTCTCGCCACTGCTAAATCAGCCACCCCAGAACCTACTTCTAGCACGGATCCTGATACTAGTGGTAAGATTGAAGTTGATGAATCCGACACTTACGCAATTGGCCATCTAAAGTTCGACTCTATCTCCATTAAGGCTTTCCTTTCTTCCCTCTTAACCACCGTGCCTATAAGCTCACATAAGGTTGCCATATTGGGGACCTATCATAATGTTTCCACTGGGAGCGGCATCACCCAATGGCTCTTAGACAATTACAAATCTGAATTTAATATCGAAAAGGCAGAGGATTTCGGCCAAGATCTCATAAACCAAGGGTTCATCAGATTAATTGGTTCAATGAATAAAAATTTCATCAATTCGTCTCAATTTTATTACCAATGGAAACCCTTGGCCTTTGATTTGGCTGGTGTAGCAAGCGGTCAAGGTACTGCCGATAGTCTCAAACAGGAAGGAAGTGCTGGATCTTCAGAAGGCGCCAATGGACTCTCAAACTATCTTGAAGATATGAAATTAGCTATTGGTGTTAATACCGTGGATTTCAATGACCGTTCGCAGCTTTCTAAGTTGATTAAAGAAGTAAACTTGCTCGATTCCCAGTATTTTCAATCCACGCTTGATCTTGACCAGCTCCGTTGTAAATATGAAGAGGATATCATGGACCATTTAGCGTTCATGCAGAAGTGTGAACTTGACAGAATGAAAGCAGTTAAGAAAGCCACTTTTGACTTTTTAGGATGCTTTTCCAATAAAGTTGTCAGCATGAAACTGACATGTGATGAATTAATGATCATAGAAGAAACTATTCAACCAATGAACGATTTAAAGTTTTTAATTGAAAACTATCAGACTGGTAAATTCAAGCCTCAAGTAGTATTATATGATAATTATTACAACTCAAATATTAGACAAACTTTTGGAGTGGACTTGGCAACTAAGTCAAGATTGGATCGGAAGGTTGTGCCAATAATTTTACAGTGTTTGCTTTCATATTTAGATAAGACCTATCCTGAGTTGAGCAACGATGAGGAAAGAGTAAATTTATGGACTAAGGCAGTTCATTTAAATCAGGTACATCAATTGAGATTTAAGTTGAATGAATTGACAGACCCGCAACAAATCAATGCTATTTTGAATGGAAATCCAGAGAATGGAACTAAACCCGTTCATCCGTTAGTAGTAACGAATTTATTTAAATTGTACTTTATGGAATTACCTGATTCAGTGGTGCCTCATAATGTTTACGATTTAATCAAATCATTATATTTGAATTATCCTTTTGGTAGCAGTGACAATTCTATTAACGATTCAAGAATCAACGGTCTTCAAAATCTATTGGTAGACTTACCAAAATGTAATATTGCTACATTGGATGCAATCTTGACTCATTTGTCTAGATTGATACAGATTATTGGTACCAAAAATCAAGGGCTTTCCAGAGATTTGAAGAATAAGCTTTCTAAAGAATTTGGCTCATTGATCTTGAGACCAAAATTAAATGCAGACTTTCTGTCGTCAGACAGTTATATCCATGACAAACATCAAGTACATTTCATGAATGATCTTTTTGGAAATAAGGAGGCGATCTTTAAGGAATTGAGAAGAAGAGCATCTTCACGAGTCACTAGCAGTAGTAGTACGAACGGAGCAGCATCAGTGTCAGCTGCAGCCGCGGCATCACTTTCCGCAGCGGCATCTGCAGCTAGTGGTCCTGCTGTTCCTCCTAAGAGAGCAGCAACTCTTTCCAAGAGCAGACTTGAATCGAGACTACAGAACGTTGTGCACAAAAAATTGGATCCCAAGGAATCGTCTGAATCAAAAGGAACGAAAGACACTGAATCTAAAGAGAAGAACGGAGACACCACTTCATCAGCATCAAATTCAAATTCTCTTAAAAGATCTACCTCTCCACTCAAAAAGAAGAGCTCTAATCTGCTCCTGAGACTGGGCCTGCCTTCTGTTGTTTCCTCAAAGCCATCAAAGAAGGATATTGTGTTTGAGCAGGGCAATAACTCATCAAGTGACTCATTGAAGGAATTCGGACAACCAAAGTTTACCGGTTCCTTGGGTAGAAAAACATCTGTGAAAGATCTTGCATCACAATTTGATTCTGATTCATGATTTACTCGAGGTATAAATAACCATAATAAAAAATAAGAAGATAATGCAAATAACGAAATTCATAAAATAAAAGTAAAATACCAGTATTCTATACATTCTATATATTATACAACAGCAATTGGTGATTGTTTGTACTCTTATCTCTTTATCTTACAACAACTTTGCATGCTTTATTTCACTTCTTAACCTGTAAAGAAAACCCGTTATTAACATGAATCCAATGCATAATGGAATCAAAATCCATTTAATTTTTGATATGAATTTATCCAAAAAATCTTCTCCTTCTTGTCCACCCTTTAATCCTTGTTGATATTGGTATGCAACTTCCTTGTGATTTGCCATGAGTAGGTCAACTTTCTTCGACAATTCCTCCATGCCGTATTGTTGTTCCCTGACTTCTCCAATAACCCTTTCATTGAGCTTCTGGAGGGCAGAGAGTAATTGCGAGAGCTGCTGAGTCAAAGTAGACTTGAAATCCACAATATCGTCTCTCACTGACTGAAGCGCATGTCCCTGTTGGGATTGGGTCGTTTTAATTTCTTCCAAGTGAGCGTGAATAACTTTAGAGTCATATGTAGAAGATGTGGACGAAATTACAGTCGGTTGCTGCTTTCCTACACCATCTATCTTGTTGATAATTGCATCAATCTGTGAACTGAGCAGGTTAAGGGTTTCTTCGAACCTCCCTCCATTTTGAAGTCTTGACTCATATGCTTGTTTTTCTTCCATTTCTTGCTTTGCTTTTCTAGTTTTCTGCATTAGACTTTCTCTGATCTGGGATGGACGAATATGGTCTACTTCTTCTTTCTGTGGAGCAACTTCAGCCAATGCACCATCTCCCAAAAATCCATGATCATCTATAGCGTCTTCTGTTAAATGAGTCCAAACGTTTAACTTTAAGATTTCATATTCTTCTTCAGAAGCAGTTGCAATTTTACCAGTAACTCCAAATCTGAGGTCGTCTGGACCATTTGGAATAGTCATGGTATAGGTCTTGAAACAAACATTGTTATCCACTTGCACTTTAAACCAATTACCGCGGGTTTTCGAGTAACTTACTCTTATGGTAAAAGGGATAGAAGAATCCAAGAATGGAAAATCACAGCTACCAACGGATTGAGCAACAGATCCATCAATGAACTTAGAATTATCATTCAGGAAAACTTTCAACCCTTGAGTGTTCTTATTGGAGAGTGCAATTTGAAAACCATCGAAATTCCCCCCACCGAATGCATTGTTCGTTACTTTATCCGTGGTCAACCAAAGCGCCAAGTGGTTTTGGTCTCTAAATTTCAAATCTCTCTTTGCAGTTCCTGACAGCCTAACCACTAACTCTATTGTCCATTCGTTGCCAGAATTTTCCAATCCAGGTATCAGCCAGATCGAACCACCTCCAGTTCCAATTAAAAGCCTACCAGTATCTAATCTGATGTTATCATACAACTCCCAATTTGAATCCAAATCGCTTTGCGAACTGATGGTCAACAAGTTTGGTAGCGACAAGTGTGAAGGTACTTCATCGTTCGGGTTGTAACCATATGCAAATAATGAAAGGCATGACAATATAGTCAATTGAATAAATGAAAGCATACTGCAAAAAGTGAATATTTGATGCCTCAACTTATCTAATACAAGAATAGAAATGAAGCTGGTTCTTCTCTAGATCTGCTTCTGTAATTTTCAACTTTTCATGCAACGTCATAATTTTTTTCAGCTTGTTCACCTGATCTGATCTCGTTTATATGCAGTTGGTCAAGTTAATAGCGTGTAGGTCTTTGGTTGAAGAATTGACCAGAGGGGCTACATGGTCTATTAAGTTGGCCAGACGAGTGAGAACGCGCTCACTTCCAAAATAAGCGAGTGCATTTTGAGATGAAAAGGAATTGAAGAGGAAGATAATAAACTGTGAAAGACAAGTGTGGTAGTAGCCTTACCTAAATCAGTCTGATGGTGCGGCCCTCACCTTGCACATATGTTATTTTGGTGCAGCTCACACAATCTCGACTACCTCATTTACAATTTACAAGTTTACACTATTGGCAGGTAAGTGAGAGTTAATGAGTTTGGGCAATAGCTGAGCGTGGTTGAATTCCTCAGTAGATACTAGAGAGTAGGCTTTATGTATGCCCACCAGGAAAAGGAATACTTCTTAGTTTAGAGTATGATATAATTATACATCACCAGGCAATAAAGCCATGCGCGACTTTGTTGCTAATGAAAAACGTATAAAATATAATAGAAAAGGTTGCCGTTATCAAAAAAACAAAGCCGATGTGACTTGTTTGGTAAAGGCCAAACTACTACCACAGCTCAAGCATTACCCCGACCGGTCCAAATTTAAAATGAGAATCAAAACGGTTTACATTTGGTTCAAGTTTTATTTGGTGGAACTTTGATTAAGCGAGAGTGACTCTGCAGGAGTGCGACCTCAATTTTAACTTCAGCGATCAAAATTATGATGTAAGGTAGAAGAGAAGCGGCCGCAACGGCCCGCCTAGCAACTCGCTTTATGTGAGGGGCCGCTAGATTACCGTTTATAGCCAAATGACATAAGACAGAAGCTGGAAAGAGAGCTACCAAAAATGGAGAGAGATCCTCCTTTCCACCGTTTCTTCTCTCTACTCTCTCTTCCCTAATCTCACTTCGCTTCCCTATTTCCTCTTCTCTCTCTCCTCTTCTTCTCTCACTGCTCTTCTCTCTCTCGCTTCCCTGTATCCCCTATCCGTCTCGCTCCCACGCTCCTCTCCTCTCCGTCTCACTTATCTTTGTCTACCTGTTCCACACTCTTCCACACTGCTACATGTGTGCAGGAAGCAACAATAATAGGGAATATGTTAAGAGCGTCTGAGCATATCCTCTTTTCTTTTTGCCGTCGTACGTTCTTCCATATAAACGGACTTACTTCCACACCATTCCGGATTGGAATAACTTTTCTGGGCCACTTCGAAAGGAAAACAGGGCAAGTACACAACAACACAAAAAAAAAAAAGAAAAACGTCCACGGAATCATCTGTCATTTCGTACATATTCGTTTCTCCATCAACATCCCCACCCAAACCTTATTTCGTGCATTAAGTTGTGGAGCTGTTATTAGTTTTCTCAACTCATCGAAACCTGCCCCACACTGAGAACACAACTTCTATAACGCGGGAATCTGCCTTGAATCTCAATACAAGCAGGGTCGCATCATCACCACAACCAAAGGAAACAAAAACAAGACAATCGCTGAGAAAGGGTCCGCCTTGAACTCATCTACTAATATTACTTGAAAATAACAAGAAAAAGGAAAAGAAACGAAAAAAAAATAAGCGAAACCGCTGACTTAAAATTAGAATTATTTTCAATTGGAGCGATCTTTGGGCCGATAAGTGACTTACTCCAACCTTGACCCCAAAACATATAAAAAATAACACAACGAACCCCAATTTTTCTTCAAATATTGTAAAAGTTGACTAGATATTGAAAAGAGGTATTAGAAAGATTATTTGTGATAATGGAAAAGACTCATAAAGGAAGGCAACCTTCCAACTCATCCCTTGACTACAACCCATTTGACCTTCCGGAAAATTACTATGGACCAAGAACCAACCCCGCAGCCGTGCCTAAGAACTCCAGGCTCGGTAGGGTTAGAACTCTTTCTCTTGTTGAAACAAACCTGTTGAGACACCTTAAGGGATTCTCGGACGATGAAGACGAGTCAGCTGCTGGTGAATCTTCCGATGGGTATGAGGAGCATGATCCCAATGAAGCTCCAACCCAGTTTAAGAACGTCTTCCCATTTAGACAACCTTTCGCCGAAAATAGTCACAGTTTGGGAGATCTCAGTGAAAGAAGCTCCGATACTGGTTCCGGTACGGCTTCACCAGAGACAGCCTCGACTGTTGACTTTCTGTATGATGAAAAACGTCCATCCATTTTACCTATATACGGTGATTTGTCGAATGAATCGTTAAATGACCAATCGGCACCTAAAGCGGACAAGGAAGTCCAGAAGTCTGTGGAAAGGCACTTGAAGAAGTATAAGCAAATAAAGCAAAAGTTTCATCGTTACAGAAGAGCATCTGCCGATGATTCTTACTTTACCGAACCGAAGAAGTTCTTCATTAGTGACATTGATTTAACTTTAAAAGAATTACTTGAGAATGAAGATACAGACCACAACTGTCAAATCACCATTGAGGACACAGGCCCAAAGGTATTGAAGTTGGGAACTGCCAACTCCAATGGTTATAAGCAGCATGACATCAGAGGTACTTATATGCTTTCTAACTTGTTGCAAGAATTGACTATTGCTAAGAAATTTGGCAGAAAGCAAATGATATTAGATGAAGCTAGATTAAATGAAAATCCTGTTGACAGATTAAACAGATTAATCACCACTCAATTTTGGAAAGCCTTAACTAGACAAGTTAGTGATAAGAATATTGCAGAGATGGCTAGAGACTCAAAGATTCAGGAGGAAGTTATAGACCCAAAAACTGGAGAAATTCTCAAGTCGCAAGTCAGTCATAGATTGTATATCCCTTACGATAGGGAAGATCAGTACAAGTATTATATCCATCTCAGAGACTCTAACCCAGATGTGAACTTAGATGTTCAATATTTGCCAAAGGTTATAGATGGAGAGTTTGTTAAATCCATCAACAAGAAACCAGGGTTGTTAGCATTGGCTTCTAAGCATGATCCAGCTGATCCAACAAAACTTATTAGTCAACCATATGTTGTCCCTGGTGGCAGATTCAATGAATTGTATGGTTGGGATTCATACATGGAAACAGTGGGTCTTTTAGTTAGTGCAACATCTCAAGCAAATGCTGAATACCTTAGACTTTCAAGAGGAATGGCTGAAAACCATATATTCGAAATCGATCATTATGGTAAGATTTTAAATGCCAACAGATCATATTACTTAGGTAGATCTCAACCTCCATTTTTAACTGATATGTCTCTTCGAATCTATAACAAGACCATTGAATTATACGAAGGTGATGCAGACGTTGAGGAAGATGCAAAGAATTTCCTTGCTAGGGCAACAAGATCTGCAATCAAAGAATATGAAACTATCTGGTGTCATGAACCAAGATTGGATAAGGAGTCTGGCTTGTCGTGTTATCATCCAGAAGGTAAGGGTATTCCCCCAGAAACCGAAGCAACACATTTCGACTCTATTTTAGAACCATATGCTCAGAAGTATAAGGTCACCAAGCCAGAATTTATTGAAATGTACAATAATGAACTTGTATCTGAACCAGATCTTGATATCTACTTCTTACATGATAGAGCTGTTAGAGAATCAGGTCATGATACCAGCTATAGACTTGAAGGGAAAGCAGCATATTTGGCTACTGTTGACTTAAATTCTTTGTTGTACAAGTATGAAACTGACATTGCCTCTGCGCTTGAGAAACACTTCCTCAACGATGACAAATATAAGGAATTATTTGCTAATGAATCTGTTGCTAAGTGGACCAAGAGAGCTGAAGATAGGAAGCACAATATTACCAAATATATGTGGAATGAAGAAGAAGGTATCTTCTATGATTACGATGTCAAGAAACGTAAGATGACAAATTACGAATCAGCTACCACATTCTGGCCAATGTGGTCCAAGGTGGCTTCAAAGGAACAAGCTGCAAAGTTAGTGAACCAAAGTGTATCAAAATTCGAGGAGTATGGTGGATTGGTTTCAGGAACTTTGAAATCGAGAGGTCCCATTGGGTTGGATCGTCCATCTAGACAATGGGATTTCCCATACGGGTGGGCACCTCAACAAATCTTGGCTTGGATTGGCTTCCAAAACTATGGCTATGAGGGTGTGACTAGAAGATTGAGTTACCGTTGGTTATACTTAATGACACAAGCTTTCGTTGATTTCAACGGAGTTGTTGTCGAAAAGTACGATGTTACCCAAAGAATTGCACCCCATAAAGTTACTGCTGAATATGGTAATCAAGGGTCTGATTTCAAGGGTGTTGCTACTGAAGGTTTTGGCTGGGTTAATGCAAGTTATATATTTGGATTAACCTTTGCTAACTTACATGCAAAGAGATGTCTCGGGACTTTGACAGACCCAGAAGTCTTTTTGAAACATTTGAACTCTGAGCAAGCTCGGTTGTATGACGACAGATTGACAGAATGAATAAATTAAACAAAAATTGGAAAAAAAAAAAAAAAAAAAAAAAATGAATAGAGTTTAAGAGAATAACAAATGATTGTGTTTTATAGAGATAATGGTTAATAAACAGACTAAAAAATATAAATGACTGAAAGTAAAAGCAAGTAATTTTTTCTTTTGATCAGCTCAAAATAATCTGAAACGAGGAGGAACCTGAACCTACCTTCTTTTTCAGTTCACCACAGCATAGTAGTATTATTATTTACCATAACCTTAGTTATGATGTAGTATGACGTTCTGTTTCGTGGTTTATATCAATTCCTGTATATTAATTTTTTACTGGGTGTCTCAGTTTTTTTTTTGTGCTCGCTCTCTGGTAATTTAGCAACCACATGATCATCCAGACAAGAGAGAGTCGACTCCAATATAGTTCATCGTCTTAGGGTAGTCTCTGTTACTAGTAAATCTTTTTTAGTATTGGTTGGCATGTCATCAGAATTAAGGAACGCTTCGAAGACATTGCTAAAGCTTCTGAAGAAAAGAATAATATGTACCCTAAACCATCGCCGATGTCACTCATCTTTCCCTACAGCAGTTGAAACTGCTGAAAAATTGGTTCAGCCAAGGTCCAAAGCTACATTCAATGACCCCTTTTCCATTGTAAGTCATGAGATGTCAAATTTGGCGAAGAATATTGCTAGTCTTATTGGTTCTGGACACCCTACGTTAAACCGAGTCTCATCGTACTATTTCGAAGCCGAGGGAAAGAACGTTCGTCCATTGATTGTGTTATTGCTATCCAAAGCATTGCTGAAGATTCCAATAGAAGAAAGAAATCGGATCCCAATCGACAAGCTGGACGTATCAGACCAGCCTCAGTACAAGGGCACTCCACAGGCTACATCTATCGCTGGGAATTCCGTTGATGACTCGATCTCTCCATTGCAGATCTTACATGGAATCAACCCAAGGGTCATCTTAGACCCGTTATCTAAGCCAATGGATAAATTACCACAATTTGACTCAGTGAACGGTATTTTGCCCAAGCAGCGTCGTTTGGCGGAAATTGTCGAGATGATCCACACTGCATCCTTGTTACACGACGACGTTATCGATCTCTCTGACTCCAGAAGAGGCAGACCAACGGGGAATATTGCTTTTACCAATAAGATGGCCGTCTTAGCGGGTGATTTCCTTTTGGGTAGAGCATCTGTTGCAATCGCTAGATTGAGAAACCCAGAAGTTATTGAATTACTCTCAACTACAATTGCTAATTTGGTAGAAGGAGAATTTATGCAATTGAAGAACACAGTCTTAAGCAACAATGAGTCCACCATATCAAACGATGGAGAAACCAAAACTATTCCACTGGCAACCGGTAAGGTTCCAATACAAGATGATGGGTTCTCAGTGGATGTAGACCATCAAACTAATGTAGACGCAGCATTCGAGTACTATTTACATAAAACTTACTTGAAAACCGCCTCGTTGATGTCTAAACTGTCGAGGGCAGCGGCTGTCTTAAGTGGGAGTCAAGATGTAGTTATCGAAAACTGCTATGAATTTGGAAGAAATTTAGGACTTTGTTTTCAAATCGTAGATGATATGTTGGACTACACTTCCAGTGATTTAGCAATTGGAAAGCCAAGTCAAGCAGACTTGAAATTGGGATTAGCCACGGCTCCAATTTTGTTTGCCTGGAAGGAGAAGCCAGAGTTGGGAGAATTGATTGGAAGAAAGTTTAAGAATCCTGGAGACATTGAGGTTGCAAGATCTGCAGTAGATGAATTCCAGGGTGTAGAAAAGACTAGATTAATGGCCGAAGGGTACTGCTTAAAGGCCTTAGAGAATTTACGAGTATTGCCAGAAAGTGATGCCAGAAGTGCCTTAGAATTGTTAACCAATTCCGTGTTAACCAGAACTAAGTAGTGGCACTCGAGACTAACCCAGAAGCAAGAAAGTACTGACAGATAAATTTGAAAAATAAAAAAAAAAATTAAGAAAATACCACAAGAACCAAAAAGGCATCCATTTGATTAGAACAAATAATAATTTGTGATCGCCATTTGATAAATACAAATATATTTATTTACTGCTTTATATAGATAGATATAGATAACTGTACATATTGATCAAACTATATAAAGATTTCGAAACCAATCACTGTAAGTGCTACTTGTTTCAAATCCCATGATGCATGTTCCTTGTTCTATGTTCCAACTTCCTGCATGCCCAATGCGGAAGTCGACCATCTCTAAAACAACTTTGAAACCTGCTTCCTTGTTACCCGGACACTCAGTGCAATACATAAGAACCCACTGAAGAATTTTGCAAATCACAATTTATGGTCTTGTTCTTTATCGCCAGAAGATCGATTTCTATCGTACATGGTTCTTGCCTTTTACCAGAACCATCCGGGAATCGTCTTTGCTAATGGTGTATCGTTAGTTTTTGGAATCCAATTTGATCGTAAAGATTTATCTTATGGTCACTTTTCTGGGTGATGGATTGTGGACAGTCCATGATTTTGAAATGTGAGCAAAAGGTGAAAGGTTAAGGGTAGGATGATGTCTATGTTTTTTGAAAGTAAATTAGGGTATCATTTTTGATGTAGATGATCTTTTTTTTTTGGTTTCTATTCTCGTTCCTTCTATTAGCTAGAAGTAAGGTCTGAACTTTTCTGCACCAAGAGGTGATATTGCACAAGCTACTCAGTAGTGCTAATGTACGCAGCATCTATATCTATGTTTCTCTATTCCCTACTACATCTTAGCTATTCCTACTAAATCCACACCCGTTCTTGCTTGTGTCTATGTATCATTTAACCTATTTACAATTAGATGTGTTTCGATGTATCTACCTACTTCCATCCTTACTCTTTCCATAAATTCTCTTTGCATCTGCAATTTTCACGAAACAACCATTTGGTCCAGCAATTTGTCCCTTAATCACTAAGATTCCAGCTTCTCCGTCCACATGTAATACTTCGTTATTCAATATGGTACGACTTTCCACTCCCATGTGACCCGCCATCTTCTTACCAGGCAAAATTCTACCTGGATCTTGAGTGGCACCCATTGAACCAGCAGATCTATGGGCCTTGGACACACCGTGAGTGGCTCTTAAACCTCCGAAGTTATGTCTCTTCATCACACCAGCAAATCCCTTACCCTTACTAATGGATTGGCAGTCCACCTTTTGGCCAACAGCAAAGTAATTTGCAGTTATTTCAACTCCTGGTGGGATCAACCCTGATTCGTCACGTACCCTGAATTCAGCAATATGCTTCTTAGGAGAAACTCCGGCCTTTTCACAATGTTTTAATATCTGCGCAGTAACGTTTTTCAACTTGGTTCCTTGTCCCAACTGCACTGCAAAGTATCCATCGGTGTCCACTGTCTTGTTTTGGAGCACCTCGCACAGATCAATTTCGACTACGGTAGCTGCTAGCTGTTTACCTTCATCTGTGTACCATGAAATCATACCTCTCTTGACACCCAAGATACCAGGTCTGGTTAAAAGTTGTTTCCTTAAATTAGCAGATTCCAACGAGTGAAAACGCTTAGGCTCTTCTGTTTTGGCTGATGTAACTGTGTGTATAGAAGTGATACGAGCAGCCCCACGGCTGAACACAAGTGGCTTGACTGTATTGCCCACTATTCTAAGACTATTAGCCCACATAATGTACTAGTAAACTTATAAGATATACGTATATAGGCTGGGTCTAGCGTCGCTGAAGGTCAAGTCGATCTCGTGTGGAGCTTTTTCTTTTCGCTCTCCTCAAATTTTTCAATTTTTCAATTTTTCAGTTGGTCGTGCATCAGTGAAGTTCTGGTTGGGTATGGGAGTAGGACTATTGAGTATGCTAATTACAAAAGTGCCTCTTGTGCTACTAAGCTTGAGTAATATGCTTGTTCCATCGACCTTAAACGGTCTGGGTATCTAGTTGTTTTCTTTCTTACGTCGTTACAGGTGCTTGTTTCCTTGTATTCTTTGTATTTATATATATGTTTATGTACAGGACAGGACAAGACAGAACTACCTATTTGATCTTCTTTTCCTTCAACTTGATGGTTTCATTATCAACGTAAATACCCTTACCCTTGTATGGCTCTGGCTTCTTGTGTTCTCTAATCTTCGCAGCAAATTGCTTAACTTGTTGCTTGTTCACACCTTCTATAATAAGTCTAGTAGGATTTGGTGAAGAAACAGTAAGCTCTTCTGGGATCTCCAATGTGGGTAAGTATGGGTAACCGATCTTGAGTACAACTTGCTTCTTACCAGCCTTACCTGGGATATCTTCTATAGATGCTCTGTAACCGGTACCTACAAACTTAACAATGGCCAAGTGACCTTCTGTAACACCAATAACGTTATTGTTGAGCAAAGCTCTGGTTGTTCCCCACATGGTTCTCTGGATTCTCTCAGAAGCGTCTGGGACAGACACAGTAATTAATCCGTCATTATTTGCTACTTCTACAAAGTCTGGGACCAAGGTCTTCATGACACCCTTAGGTCCTTTTACTACAATTTGCTTGTCTAAGGTTATAACCTGGGATCCCTTGGAGAATCTCTTCGAAAACTCAAAGGGTATGCTTTCGGTAAAACATTCGATACCTTCACCCAATTTAATTGGCTGTTTTCCAATGTTGGACAGTGCTACGAATGAAGTGCTGAAACATCTTGACAAAAAAGATGAAGATGATGGTTTTATTCTGAGCATGTTTCTGCAAGACTCCAATTATTACAAAACCAAACCAAGACTGAAATAGTAACAACCTACCTTCTCTTGACGGATGTTCATCAAGTTGAACACTGAAAAATACTGTACACAAAATCGAGAGTGAAAAATTGAGCATGAAAAAAAAAAAAAAAAAAAATTGCTCTACCTGCAGTCTCATCTCAGAAATACATCACTACCCATCTGAGAGTCTTTAGAGAGCTCTTTTTCTTCCAGTTGGTATCTAAAAACCATTGTAGATCTTTATTGTTACTCCTCTTCTGTTAAGGCACAAAGAATGGTTAGAAACTTGAAGCATCATGAGCAAAAGCTCTTAAAAAAAGTCGATTTTCTTGATTGGAAACAGGACCAGGGTCACAGGGATACTCAAGTGATGAGAACCTACCACATCCAAAATAGAGAAGACTATCATAAATACAATAAAATATGTGGAGAGATCAGAAAGTTGGCTCATAAGCTCTCCTTATTGCAACCCACAGACCCCTACAGAATAAAACACGAGCAGTTACTTTTGGAAAAGTTGTATGCAATGGGTGTTCTTGCTACGAAGTCGAAGATCTCTGATTTGGAGAATAAAATTACTGTAAGTTCATTATGTCGTAGAAGAATCCCCGTGGTGATGTGCCGTTTAAAGATGGCCGAAACTGTGAAAGATGCAGTCACATTTGTCGAACAGGGACACGTGAGAGTGGGACCAAACGTCATAACTGATCCAGCGTACTTGGTAACAAGAAACTTAGAAGATTACTTGACCTGGGTAGACACCTCAAAGATAAAGAGAAATCTTCTCAAGTATAAAAACAAGATCGATGACTTTGATCTCGCCTAGTTTTTTTCAGTCTGCATTGTACAATACATATTACTTTTAAATATAAGAATAAAATAGATTAATAACTTAAAGCTGTAGTGTCTATACGATCTTTGTTGGGGTATACTTTTATTGGTGTATGTAGTTATACATTTGATTAGGAATCATTCTAAAATACATGATTGTTAACAATATCAACAGAAGGGAATCGGTTGCTTCCACAATTTCAAAGGGCTTGGCGGTGCAATGCTTTCAAAAGTTTTGGTTCATCATTCTTCTAACATCGTTTCTTCCATCAGGAATCAAGTCATTACTCTGAGGAGACAATGGAGATGGAGGTTGATGCCCTTGATGTTGGTAAGTTTGTTGATGCATGTTAACATACTGTTGGTTCCTTATTGATTGTGTAGTCAAAGAGGTAGCGCTTCCGTTCGGAGTGTTTCCACCGAGAGAACCAGCAGGTTTGAACTTCCTTTGCAGAGTGATCTCAGTTACCGGATTAAGCATGACAACTGAGGACCTAGATAATTGTGTTGCTGATGGAACTGAATTCTGTTTGCCCAATTGTGGAGATGTGGAGGCGTCGTTAGGGAATGCATGGGTACTGTTTACGGGAGACCCTGGTGAGTTTTTCCAAACATTTGCATTCTCAATAGGCACGAATGGTAGTTTGGAAATAGATGGTGAGTTCGTCAATTGGTTTTTAGGTCTAGGTTGAAAATCCGTAAATGACTGGATTGTAGACTTACGGAAATCTGATGGAGGTGGAAGTTGTTGAAGAGGAGGCAACTCATAGTGCTGAGCTGGTTGTTCCGGTTGTTGTTCATAATGGGGTTGATAATATTGCGGCTGTTGAACATACTGTTGTTCATAGCTGTATTGAGGATTCTCTGAATAGATCTGCTGTTGTTGAATAAACTGCTGTTCGTCCTTACTGAATAATGGGTTCTCAGTATAAATTGAAGAGGTGGTCGTGTTCCTCTTATCATAATTAGTATTGGAACTCAAATCTCTGTTAATCATTAAGTGATCCATTTTATGCGGTAATTCTGGGATAGGCTGCAGTTCATCATGAGTAAATGGAGTCTTTCCATCTGTTTCAGTTACTTCTCCATCTTCACCTACAATCTTCATCGATTTAGAACGGTCGAAGTAAACTTTGTAGACAGATTTCATTCTTTTCAACTCTTCTTCTTGCTCTTCAGTTAATGCCTTATCTCCCTCTTCTTCATCGTCACTGTCATTCTTTAACAAATTAAAATCTGAAATACGAACCGATTTATGATTGATTTTATTGTTTGAGGATGCAGTGGTTGTCAACAATTTATCATTTGATGTAGACAGCAAATTCTCATGATGGGCGTTTAAACTAGTAGGAGCAGTATCATTATTCCCGGAATCTTGCGAAAATTCAAACCCTTCTTCGTCTTCATCGTCACCCGTTCTTGCTGAATTTGAACCAGTTGAAGGAGCTGTTGCAATTTCTTTGAAAGGAGATGTATTTCTAATCTGTTCTTGGATAGTATTCAAATCATCTTCTTCGTTATCCACATTTGGATGTGGAATGAAACTGTCATCGTTTCCTGTAGCATCGTAGTCGCTGGAATCGCTGTCGCCAGTAGTATCACCAATGGTTTCGCCAACTGTACTTTCTGTAAATTCACGAGTAGTGTCATAAGAGTCCACAGTAGTCGAATCTTCATATTCGCTTTTGGACTTGTTTACTTGACTTGTATCATGAGCCTCTCCATCAGAATCGCTTACTGATTCTAAATCGGAATTAGTGTGGATTGACTCCTTAGCATTATGGAATTCGGCTTGGCTAAACGAAGTGGACGACTGGTTAGGGATAGAACTGTAGAAATTCGATTTGTTCTTGGTTGGGCTCGGTGGTGCCTCATCGGATTGCTTCGATATGTCGACAAAATTTCTATTCTTTTGGGGAGAGATGGAGTTTCCTCTTGTAGAAAAGCTGCCTCCTACTGCTGCTGAAGTTGCCTCAGCTCCTGCTCCTGTCAATGCTCCTGCTCCTACTCCGGTTCCTGCTCCTGCTCCCGACAACAACTCGGTTGATCTGTTTCCATGGCCAAACGAACCCAAGTTGCTGGAGTTGGTGAGAGTGGAAGTTCTGGTCTTACTGTTCATAAACGTGGAAGCTCTAGGGTTAAGGGCGTAGGCCAGATATTCACTGATGTTTTTAGCGTATTCGTCCAAACTTGCCTTCGATCCGGTTTCATGTTGATAAGGTAACACAATATTGTCGAGATAAGGATCTCCTCCATTGCTGTGATGGTAATGGCTCGTCTGACTGGCAGAAGATGACGAAGGGCGCTCCTTGTTGTATTGGGTAATCGGATACCTTATGGAGTTCCTGTTGTGGAACGGATCTTCGAACTCGTACTGCTTCTGGCTCCTTGGGAAGTCTGGAAGTGCAGTGGCCTCACCAGTTTCATCGAAATCTGGATCATGTTCCATCATTTCCTTCTTCTCCTTTCTCCAGTTCTTGAACAAGAAATAACTCAAGACCAAAACGATCAAGAGACCTGGAATACCAACACATAGTCCGATAGTTAACGAGTTGTCTGAGACACTGGAGGTACAGTTTGCTCCACTGCACTTTGTGGTTTTGGAAGACGTAGACGAAGACGACGAGGAAGAAGTAAGCAGTCTTTCCACGAATTCGACAATTGTCGGTGTTGGAATGGTCAGCAAATTTTCTACTCCTAGACTTCTTTTTATCGACCAGCTCATATTTCTTAGTTGTGTTAATCTATGAGCGAAAGTAGCTAGGGGGTGCTTCTATAATCTTGATGTATGTCAAAGTTGTTGTTTTTATGTCGATTGAGTATTGTTTTCTTATTCTCTCTTTTTTCAAGTGGTTTAAGACTTATCGATTTACCAATTGTCAATTTCACTTTTCAAGAAGAAGAAATATGTAAGCAAATGCAACAGGACACTAGAACTATGCAATGAGGACGAAAAATGCAACAGAATCGGTGCTTTGGTGTGGTCCTTTCGAGTAGTTTGTCACGTCTGATCCAGTCAACAGAGGAAAAAAATCAAATAGGAAAAACAAAAAAAAAAAAAAAAAAATTATTCAATAAAAAAAAAGTTAACGAACAAAAGTTTAACGAAAAAAAAGAAATCAAAAAATAAGCCTAAACCCAGAGCGGATCTATAAATAAGACTGTGGGACAGATCCACGACAGGTGCCCCATTCAGGCAGACTTGAGAGGTTAAGTAGGAAAAAGAATTGGATCTAAGCGATCCTGTTGGCGAAACGTGCTTGGTCTTTAGATGTTTTAGTCTAGTCTTAGAGAACAGATTATTGGTGTAGTGGCTTAAGTTGGGTATGTTATCATATCAAAAAAATTCACAATGATAAAAATAATAATAATAAGAATAAGCACAGAGTGAGCGTCCGTCAGTCGCATCTGGTTCACCACTCGGTGTGATATTTGTTAGGCTCGGGCAAGTAGCGCTGCCACATAAAACCACTTGGGTCTCAGGCGCTTACTTAGCCTCAGCGCTACAGGGATACGCTTAATTGCCAAACGCGTTCACCTTACTCCTGCAGATACTCACTCTGGTTAGAATACACCTGTAAGAACCCACGCATTGTAAGGTTAGAGGAAAGAGTAAATAGAGACTAGGGTGGTGGGATAGAAAAAGAGAAGTACGGGTGTATGTGATAGATCCAAATGGGGTTCAATTTACCTGTCAGGTTCTGTATTGGGGTCCTGTACTTTAAACTTAAAAGTCTTAAAAGTCTTGGTCATCTCTCTTCGGATCTACCTTCAACGCAAGACAGAACATCTTGACTATTTACATTTTTCTTTTCTTTTTTTTTTTTTTTTTTTGTTTCACCTTTTTTTTTTCCTTTGTTGATGTATTTACATTAGCGGAAACTTCCAGCATCCACTACCTCGCAACGGTTCTCGAGATTCAACATGTTACATGCAGGAGTACTGCGTTGGGATTGATGTGCGCTAGACTTTTCGCTACTATTGGAGTGACAGCTACAACTCATCGCATTTGCATGTCTTTACACTTGCCTTGCTTTGTAGTGGTTTAGGTAATTACGCTTTACACATTGTACTTTTGATGATCACTCCATCTATTTGAACCAGTACTCTAAGGTGTGCCTGGTTTTATCTCTATAAAATAAATTATTAAAAAACTCTATCTCTCTCTCTCTCTCTCTCTCTCTCTCTCTCTCTCTCTCTCTCTCTCTCTCTCTCTCTTTCTCTGCATAGTTGCCTACCAATTTTGAATCTGTTCGAAATATTCAATTCTATCCTTTGAGGAGTCAATGTTCTCAATAATTGAACTTCTGACAGAGTCTACCATGGAACCATGTGCACAAGTAACGATACCAGTCAAACCTTCGGATTCAGCAATATCTTGTTGAACAAGTTCCTTGATATGAGGTCTTCCTTCACGGAATTCAATGAATGATAAGTCTTGCTTCAATTTTTCAACATTAGAAACAGACTTGAAATCAAGAGAAATCTTTCCTCCCTTCTCCAATGTAAATTCCTTTTCGTTGTTGTCCTTATCAACATCATCATCTGAACCAGTACCTTCAGAAGAATGCACCTCATCCATTGCTAAACCGGATCCAGGTTGAGTAACATAAATAACTGACTCGATTCTGGTATTCTCAATCTTCTTTAACTCTTCATAGAACCATTCAATAGACTTCCAATGACGAATAACCCAGTAAAGTTTAATTCTTTGAGTGGATTTATCACTTTCTCTTCTAGCCAAACTAACAGCTTCAGAATATAAACCTGGAATACCATTTCCTCCTGCAAAGAAGATAGCATTCTTAAATCTATCTAATGGCAATCTGTTACCATATGGACCTTCAACAGAGACCTTGATTTGCGCAGTGTGATTAGGTTGTCTTGCTAAGTATTGGTACAAGCCATGGGTCATACCACCTTTAACCTTAAGATAAAAGGTGATAGAATGGTTGTCATTCTCATCTACAACAGAATCAACAATGGTAAATGGATGCGATTGCCAGAAACATGTAGGTCTCATAAAGTGAATGAAAGCATGGCAACCAGGGAAAGGCTTCCAGTATTTTGGCCTTGGAATGGTGACTCTAACTGTCTCATTTGCTTTCAATTCGACTGATGCAGTTCTAACTCCAAAGACACATAATCTTGCCAATCTCATGGCTCTGTCAAACGCCCAAACAGCAGCAGCAGCATAATAGAAATGTTGGTAACCGAGCTCTCCTGTGTGTTTCCAAGCACCACAAACGGCAAAGACTGCAAGAATGATGTGGATACCAACGAAAACTTCGTAGTTACGGGATCTGAAGAAATAAATTGACTGGATTACCATAATAGTCATAGCAATAAGTGCAACATAACCCCATCTAACATACGGTTGGGTATTACGACTTTCAAACTTATCCAATGCAATACCAGAACATGTCATTGAGATACCATGAACTGCTGCAAAGAGAAACAAGCATCTTGCTGTCCATTTATGGAAAATAACCATTCTAGAGTATGTCCAACCTGAGATCCACTGCAAAAAGTTGTTTCTACCAGCAAACAAAATAACAGCAGGACAAAGGAAGTTAGCAATGATTCCCGTTCTATCAGCAACTTTTCTTCCCATTTCAGCTTCCTCTGATGCCCAAACAAAGTTATTAGGTGTATGAGAGACATGGGCAATACTAAATGCAAGTGCCATCACGTACCAACCAGCAATTAAAATAGATTCTAATCTAGTTGGAATAATCCATGTAAGGAATTTGAAGTTGAAAGGGTTAGCGTGGCTCTTAGATACTAAGGCAGGAAGAGAAACGTACTTTCTGAAACTCTTGGAAATGGTACCATTGAATGTGGAGTTGATAAATCCAGGGAACAAAAAGTACAGAAGATTGACGATACCCGCTGCAATAATCACGGCAAACCAATAAGCGACTAGGGCGGTACCGAACCAAGTGGACCAGTTATAGTTGAAAAATCTTGTATAGTCAGACCAGTATGCAGCCTGAATTTTTTTAGTCTTCAATTTAACTGGGGAGCTGAATAAGTTGGTTTTATTAAAACTTGAATCAGTTGTGGTATCTACCAAGTACGAAGTTGCATTCTTATAAGATGCTTCAAATTCAGCTTCAGTTAACTTGTACTTTGAACAGCTTTCAATAAAATAAGTAATGGTTTTTTGTTCTAATGAAGTGCCATTAAACCCTTGCACTATACAATGGGCCATTGTACCCAAGGCAGGCTGATTGTCGATGTTACAGAATCCCTTTTTATCTTTCTTTGCATATAATGTAGCAGTCTTCGCGATTAATGCTTCACAAGCACTAACCGCGAGCGCATCTTCATGGTAGACAAGTTCCGGAAGCTCAGCTACTGCTGCACCTAAAAAGAAAGAAGTTGCAAGCACGGAGAATTTCATATTATGGGCAGCTTTTCAATTACTGCAAAAAGAGATTACGAAGAAAAGGTTAAACAATACAAAGAAAAGATAAAACTTCTTGGCACTTTCCCTAATTTTATTCACGGACTTTCTTCATATGGGCCAGAGAAGTATCACCCAATTTATATAGGTTTTCTATTTTGCCCGGTAATCATTGGAAGATATCATTTCCCACCGAATCCGTTTCATTCAAGGTAACCAAGTTGCAGCTGATTGATCAGATAATTTTTTGTGCAGAATGCTGCATGCGCATAACCCTGTATTCGAGATTCCTATTGGATATTTTTTTCAGCATGCATAATTTCCTGCAGATATTCCCCTGATGGAATTGATAATATTTTACAGCCCCCACTTTGCGAGGGTTTTATTGGAAGGTTTTCTTGGCATTTGCAAAACTCGGTGCAACTTACTCACTTTCTAAACTTTAGAGTGTAAAATTTTTATGTGAAAATTTTTGACAGTTCTCCTGACATGTAAATAATCCGAACTAGCCTCTCTGCGCCATTAATTTGTGCATAAAGTTAATTACAGGGTGGTGCCAAGAGTATTTTTGTTGGCTTTTACAAAGTATTTGACGTATTACTACCATGAACAAAATGTCGATGGGTAACCGACTGTATTGCGAAAAAAAAAAAAGAACAGATATTAGCATTAATATTAATAAAAAAAGACTAATTTAAATCGGTTTAGGCATATCAGGTAAAAGGGAAATCAAATGAAATTGTGCAAATCATTCTATCAATCCCGTATATCGGCCTTTTAGCCCTAAAATTCTAATTTTCTATTTTATTGGGTATATATCCGCAGCCATATGTCCCATTCGTGGCTCATCTTCTATTGTTTTCCATAGTCAGCCTTCCCCCTTAACACTTCCACATATTTTTTAGGAATTTCAAGAATCATGCCCACTGATTGCTTATTACTTATTGCCTGATGCTAATCAAGTTATCTTCGAGATAACTATCTTTGCTGGCTAAAGTTCTAAGCTTGCTACCAACCCCTCCAATTCTTCCTGCTCAGCTCTTAAGAATTCCTCTAACTCTAATTGGAGCTTCTTCTCTTCTTCAATTTTTTCCTGTCTTTCTCTCTCCTCCATCTCAATTAATTCATTTTCGTCAAATAGATCGTTCCCTTGCTCTTCTAGATTTCGCAGATAATCAATAGTCGCCTGTTTATTGGCTACCCTTTCCCTGTTGCTAACCAACTTTTCTTGGATATGTCTCTCTCGGATCTCTTTGAGTTTGTCATGCTTATTTCTTCTATTTATTACGTTACTACGGCTAGTGCCATGATGTGTAGATTGTCGCTTGATAGGTGACGAAAGTGGATGGTAAAGCGCGTTATGTCTTTCTTTTTGTCTCTCGTTTATTATTTCTACATTATCAGAATAATCACTATGTCGTATAGGCGAACTTAAACTTCTAAATTTATCTTGCTCGTGTTCATTTTCGCTATTGTAACTATTGTTCATATGAAATTACTAAATTCGATACATCTACAGAGATAAACTACGTCTGTATTTCACACTTCTGCCGTATATTCTTCTAGGCTGTCTTCGTATTATTCGAAAAAGAAAAGCATCGAGGTCGTGCACCTTTACAAACAGTAAAGAAGTATCGTATATGCTAAACATGTGTAGAAGTAATGGTCAATCAGTTCAGTGACAGCAGCACCAGATGCCTATGGATTTGACAGAATTTGATGTTTTCGATGAATCGAATGTAGAATTTATGGATGCTGTTGCTGAAACTTTATCAAGTACTGTAATTTCAGAAATATTCCAGGATCAATTAGTTGTAGTCAATTCTAATGCCAAATCGTGCACCCTAAATCTATCCATTAAGCCTGTTCATAAACTAAATTCTAAATTATTAAACTCATGTCTAACTCTTGTAGATCAAAATCTATCAGCTCACTACAGTCGCCAAAATGGTAAGGAATGGAAACTCGAAAAACGAGAAGAAATGCTACAGGATGGTTTGATATATATCTTTTACAAGGACGAAGATAGTGGTAACATCGTTGCTTTTCTTCTGTTCATGTTGACATACTATGAACCGGAGGAGAAAATAAACAAGGTGTTGTATTTGTTCGAAATTCATGTAAGTAAGAGTTATCAATCACTAAGGATTGGAGCCGAATTAATAGAGCGATTCCATTTGGTTGCGAAGAGGTTACATGAGCTCAAAGACGATGATTTGCTTCTGGTGGATGCAACTTGTTTAACTGTGTTTAGCAATAATACGAAAGCTCTCAAATGGTACGAGGCATTGAACTACAAGGTCACAGAAGACTCCCCTAAAGACAAGGTTTTGAGGAATAAGAAAGTTATCAAACCTCCCTACTACATCTTAACTCGAACGTTATAATTTTTACTTTATATAGTAATGCATGTATATTTTATTTCAACTTTTACTTTTATTTCTACTGTGGCACAAGGTGAAACTCGTCCTCTTTGTAACTCTCAATGTGATGCTTTGGGTTTATTTGTCTTGGTTAAGAACGTTAACATACCCTCTCTTCGGTCCCCTTTTACCTTTTCTTGGTGCACCTCCAGCAGGTGGAGTTCCAATGGATAGTAAATCATCGAGCCCCGCCGTTGCTAGACTAGGCGCCTTTGAGCCTGCAGAAGAAAGTGACGGAGTAGAGGTATTTCCAAGTGGAGGTTTGGGCCCATCAGTGCTTGGTGTGCCATGACCTCCAAGCGGTACTTCAGGTGTGGCATTTGAACCAATTGACTGAGTTGGGTGGCTAGGAGGTCCATCCCCTGGCGAAGGGGAACTTCTTTGTGGTGCATTCGACATTTTCATCTTAGGTGGGGGAGGGGGGCCAGATGGCTTGATTTGATCCTCGAGAGGGAGATCTTTATTGATCCACTTCTTTAATTTCTCATCATAATAAAACTTATTCTTCTCACCTAATTTAGCTCTAATTGCCTTTGGCTTACCGTCGTCTTTACCGCCACCTAACCAGCCACCGAACCAACCATTTCCACCTGCTTGGCCAGAGTGCTTCTTATTTTCCTCTTCTTTTTCCTTTGATTTCCGTTTCTCCTCAGACTCTCTTCTTTTTTGTTCCTCTTCTGCAACTTTTGCTCTAGCTTTGGCTTCTTCTTCAAGTTTTTTCAATTTCAATTCTCTTTCCTTTTTAGTTTCAAGATCTTCTTCTTCATCTTCTTCTTCAACTACAGGAATATATTCTTGAACAGTATCATCTTCAACTTCATATTGTTGATACATTGCAGATTGATGTGATTGCGATAATCTAGATGAAAAGTACCCACCATTTCCTCCGATAACCGAGTTAGCTCTCGTGGTGTAATCGGGTGTTCCAGGGACTGGGAATTCCCCGAAGTTATTAAAGTTAGAACCTCTAGGTAAACTATCAACATCACTTTGAAAAGAATTATACATTGACTGATGTTTTACAGATGGAGAGACTCCTCCTAAAGTATCCGTAACTAGAAGTTTGGCTGGATTTGGTATCCTAAGCTTTTCGTTGTCAAAATCTCCATCGAAGCTATCATCAATGTTAATTTGATTGGATTCTGATCCCTTTTGCGTTGCAATTGGTTCCACTTGTTGTTGAGTCACAAATGGCTCTCCAGAATGTGGAGGAGCTGATTGATTATCGACTTCCTTGTTTTCGTCCTTGGAAGCTTCAATATCCTCTTTAGTTGTAGTATGGTAGCCACCAAAGCTATACATATTGCCTTCTATTGTGGGGGGTGGCACTATTTGAGAATCATTCTGCACACTTCCAGGAGGAGGTCCATATTTAGATTTTCTAGAAATGGACTTAGTGCTGCCTCCTGGGGCATATGGGTTGACTCTCTCTCTCTGTGAGCTTGGGGGTGGTTTAACCGGTGGGGGAGGAATAGATTGTGATTCATCTTGTTTGAAATCAGGTTTGACCTTTTTCAAGTCAGGAGAATTTGCGATCGGCACCGGCACATCCCGTTTCTTTTCGGGTGATTCAGTTGGAGAAGAAATAGAATTAAAGCCAAACTTCCTGGATGGAGGTTTGAAATCTGATGGGTAATCCATACTAATGTCACTTTGTGCAGAAGGTGAGTGTGTGTGTTCACGGATTGCCTCAGGGTTTCCAAAGTTTTCTGTGGTGATGCTTTCCACAGATTGTCTTTTACCCATTGAAGGATGGAATGCCTTTGGGGTAGATTGTATTAAAGAATTTCGGCCCTCAGAAAGCTCATGATTTGCCTGGTGCTGTTGCTGCTGGAAGTTGGGTGGACTAAGATCATTACTCAATTGATTGTGATGGTGACTCAGAGAATGATGGGCTGCTTGTTGATAATGATCAGACTTGAACGACTTGAACTCTCCACTAGCAGCATTTACAGTTGGATCAATGGAGGCTTGATGCGATAAATTAGACAGATTCGAATATTGGCCAGCAGGATTCATATATGAGAATGGACGATCTGTTAAAGAATTTTCAAGGGCAACTTGTGAGGATTGCCTTTCTCTTTGAATTTTCTTAGCCTGGTTATCGGAGTTTACATTATTCAAATGTAAACTCAGAGACGACATATTAGAAGGAGCATATCTCGATGTGTTCTCTAAATAGTGCAGAAGAGGGGGTTGTGGTAAAGTATATCCCTCTGCTGGTTGAGAATGCTGCTGAAGCTGTTGAATTGACATCGGGGCGTATTTCGATCCACCAGATGTATTATTTCTTACTAGTGGTGGTGGCTGTTGAATGACTCTACCGTCATAAAATTCATTAGTTCTATGAGAATTGTAAGCAAAGGTAGAATTGTCTGATGCAGTTACCGGAGCTGAAGGGTATGATGAAGTCACATTTTCTTGATAAGTTGATCTACCATGTTGAGGGGTATTATGGTTATGAAGCGTGCTACTATTGGAGTTGATTGGGTTAGTAGCATTAAGAGCTGTAAAGTCTAAAGTTGAAGCCGTCCTCGAAACCGAAGGACTAAATTTGCTAAACACACCATTCTCCCCATTACTCTTTGGTTCTTCCCCTCCAATAAATTTGTCCAAGTGTCCCCACATTTTGTCAAGGTTAACTTTGCTAATTTTATTTCCAAACCAACCAGAATCTTGATAATTTGTAGATGAAAGTCTCATTGCCAAGTCCTTGAACTCACGCCAAATTAAACTATTCTGCGCACTAGTCCCTGAACTTGTCTTTAAAACTGGGCCCAAGAAATCACAGTATCTCTGGGACTCAGTAAATAGACCGTAGTCAGCTAAGAGCAGTGCGTATCTCAACTTGAGTGGATATAAATGTGGTAATCCACTAAGTGGCATAGCCTGAACAGATGGATTCAATTGTAAGGAAAATTCAAAAATTTCTGAATATATAGAAGTTGAAACCGTCTCAGCACCAATTATAGAAAACAATACTCCATTCAATGGAGAGACTATAGGAGAAAGTGAAGCACCTCCCAAAATGAAACAAATGTCACTTACAATGGCAAACCCTGGGCAGCCACTTAAGTACTTACCAAACTCAATACAAAAGTCGGCAGAATTCTTACCTCCATTTATAAATATCAGAGAAATAATATCTCTCCAATGCTGTAATGCCCATTCTGCTTCCGAAGGTACGCTTAAAAATTCTTGAATTACACTAGATGATGATCCATTTACTGCCTTTAATAATATTGGCATTAAATGATGAACTTTACTTTGCGATTTTTGAAATGGGAATGTCACTCTAGCATAGTCAGAAGCAATTTTTTGGAACTTTTCTTGACCTTCAATATTCGCAATCATGAGTGCCATGGTCCAGTCACCCTTAGAAATACAGAAAGAAATTCCCTCTTCAACTTTACCCACTTGCAAGAAGCTCAATACAACATTCAAGCCGGAGTTGTCTAACTTATATCCAGTGGGCGCTCCAAGACTGATGGTTGAAGACGATGCCAATTCCAGCGGTGGGGAATCTGACTTAAAATTAATTTGTGGACTTAATATTGGGCAAATAATTTCAGCAAACTGTTTGGATCTAATGTCCCCATTGGTCTGGATCAACGCTAACAAAATTTGATTCAATACTATCTCATTTGATCTTTCCAATGTTAACTCATCTTTGCTCATTCTTTCAATATTGTATTCTAGCCATTTTTCTAAGTCTTTCTTTTTAGTTTTTGATGAGGACTTTCCTAGAGGACCCGGAAACGTAGCTAGAGTTTCATTAAATCTCAACAATTTAGTGACTCCACTTATAGTAAGTTCTTCGCTAGGAGCGTTTCCATATGTGTTTGTTGTCCTTTTCGGAATTAAATATGCAACATTTCCGGAATTACTCCAGCTGAAAATTGGAAACTGTCTTGAAAGTAATGCCTGTGGGTTTTGAACCTTAGGCGCTGGCTGACTTTGCAGTAAAACTTGACCTCTACTATAAAAGCTTGACTTGGGATTCGACATACCCCGTACTCTATTTCCACCAGGTGGAGGATGCAACTGCAATTGTTGTTGGGGTTGTTGGGGTTGTTGTGAGAATTGATGTTGCTGTGATGCAATACCAACAGGCGGCAAATTAGATTTAGGAATGGGGCCAACTTGTGGAGAACTTACTGGATTAGTTGGAGGTACAACACCTGTAGAAGGCAACAAATTGTTACCACCAGAGTTGATAAATTGAGGTGGTCCATTAGCTTGATTTACGACAGGCAAAGCAGGAGCATAAGGATTTATTTCCTTACCTTTACCTCCGACTAATGAGCTAGCTCTAGAATGAGTCCTCCTATGTCCATTTGGTGCGTATGGGCCAGCATTGGGCACATATGGACTAGTAGCAGATCCCGAACTAGGAGCTTTGCTGACATTTGTATTTATCGTATTAGAAGGTTGTGGATTTGATAACTTACGTTGACTATTTCCAAACTGAAGGGGGAAGTTCTGCTGTTGTGGACTTACCAAGGGAAATTGCTCTGGATGTTGTGGAAAAGGTTGAATTTGGCCGGGATGTAAAATCGATGGAGGAGGTACTGCTTGAGAAGGTATATTACCTCCATTGAAATTCTGATTTCCTTGATTGAAATTGTTATTAGGTGGAAGAGCAGGAGGTGGTACAACGCCAGATCTAACATTGGTAGGAGTTGGGGGAGCATTGCTAATCTTAGGAGCATATGGGTTTGGTTTAACATTTACTTGAGCCTGAAAATTTACATTTGGAGATACATGTGGTGGTTGTTGAACATGAGCCTGAGGTTGCAAATTATTCGGAGACTGTATTGGATTGTTGGTGGCCCTTGGTGCTCTTGGTGGCCTAGGAGCTGGCTTAGGCATAGAAATCGGGAGTTCCTCAAAAAATGATTTTGGAGGACCTGCAGGAGTAACGCTTGGCGAAATTGAAGTAGAACTTGAAGCTGTACCTGGCACACTTATACTTTGTTGCTTTGCTGGACCTGGATTAATGCTAGAAACGTTTGTTGACGAAGAGGGGCCGTACTTGTTCGATTGTTGCCTGCGTGGAGCAGGTTTAACCTTGTCAGAAACAATAGGCATTGGGAAATCGTAAGCATCATTTCTCTTCTTTACTTCATTAAGCTTAGATGAGAAATCTGAAGAGTGGATAATAGGTTGACTACCTTCCGAAGTATATCTGTTTGAAGGAGGATTACCAGCTGGTATGTATGAATGTTGCCTAACAGGAACAGGCTTTTGCTGACTTTGAAAATTGGATTGAGGCTGACTCTGCACCGGGGCATCACTCACCTCTTCCTCAAAGAGTAAATCATCATCATCAAGAAATGAGAGAGAGCGAGCTTTGTCTGTATTTTGGTTACTTCCAGCCTCTTTCTCCTTTTTCACTTCTCCTAGCTTCAGGAAAAAACCATCATCCAATTCTTCTTCATCAATATCGTCAAAAATATTTTCTAACTTAGAACTTGATTTCCCTTCTGATGGCGCCTTTGCAAAATCAGAGGAATGATCAACCAGGTCATCATAGACGGCATTCGATACTTCAGCTTCTTTTCCTGCAAATTCTTCAGTGCTTTTTGGAAGGTCGAATTTTGCAAGATCATGGATGAGTTTTGCAGTTTGATTCGGCTCAGGTTCAATAGAAGGCTCATTGTTGTCGCCGTTAAATTCATTGGATTCAATTTGAGATGATTCAATTTGTCCCTGGGGTACTCCCGCTTCCCAGGGAAGTGGGTCGGCTTTTCCTTGTTCTATATTTTCGCCTTCATTGTTATAGAATTTATCTTCATTAAACTTATCCTCTGTAGCATTTGAATTCCAAGGAAGATCCTCGTCGTCAATTATAGCTTGATTCTCCTCCCATGGAAGTGGTTCGTTTACTCTACCCGATGCTTCTGTAACCCATGGAAGAGTTGCTTCTGTAGTAGCACCTTCCTTAGCATCCCAAGGGAGCTCGCTACCTTGGTCCTTTTCGCCCTCGACTCCATACTGTTGCACAACTTCCTTCGCGTCAACGTTGTTAGATTTTGAAGTATCTTGTTCATGTTGCAGTTCGGGCTCTTTGACTTCTGTGGGGGCCTCCCAGAGTCTTTGAACCTCCTTTTCCTCATGTTGAGTTTCCCATGGAAGTGGCTCTGTCTGTTTCTCATCAGCAGCAGAGTCCCAAGGCAATCCTCCAGATTGGTTCAAGTCGGTCGCAAATTCCGGGGTAGCAGTGTTGCTCGTTTCCTTATTTGCTTGTATCTCCTCTTCGCCTTCTTCCTCTGTTGGGATGGCAGGATGATCGATGAGTGTTGGTACCTTTGTTACATTTTCCCAAGGAATTGGATCCGAGGATTTCAGTTCTGATTCAGCTTTCTTAGGGTCAGCATCCGCTTCTACTGTGAGTTCTTCCTTTTCAGCTACTTGGGGTTCATTTTGGTCTTCATGTTCTTCTTCGAGTTCTTTATGGGAGGAAACAATGCTGGGTTTTCTGGAACTATTTTCCTCTACTAATTGTTCAGCAGTAGGCTCAAATTCTATAACTGCTACTTCTTTGTCTTCGGGGATGTATTCTTTCAACTCGCTAGTAGGCAAATCTGAAACCAAGGTCATTGGGTCATCAGCCTCTGGATCCTCAGCCTGTGGTTCAGCAGAACTATTCAATTCGGTGGTACGAGGTTCTTCCTCCAATGCTTTTGCTGGAGCTGAGAATTTCCCCACTTCTCTTGCGGTCCCTTCAGCATCAGCGATCAGACTCCTCCTTATGGTTTCCCTGGTAGCAATTGCACTTTCTTGGGCAATTCCACTTATTGCATCACCAATTTCCTTATTGTTGGTAGGAATGCTAGAAACAGGCATATGGTTTTCGGGTGCCAATAAACTAGTTCTTCGATCAGTTGGCGCCTGTGCAATAGGGTCCTCCGGTACTGTAAGCGCCTCCTCAACTGGTGATTGAGGTTGGGACTCCGTTTGCAATTGAGCTTTCTTGGCCTTTGCCTTGGCCTTCTTGGCTTTATTCTTCTTACTGTTTTTGCCTGTGTTTTGTCCTGATGGCAATGGTGGCAGTTGGCCATGCGACGTGTTAGGATCAGCCATTTTTTCTGATCTTAGTTAATTTACACTAACGAGTAAATGGAGGATCAGAAACTCAAGAGTAAAAAAACAAATAAAAAAAAAGATAAAGACAGGGAATGCTCTTGGGAATCAAGCACTGAGTGTATATTCTCTGTTCCTTACTTCAATTTATAAATCTAGTTGGCTATAAAATGAATAAACTGAACACGATCAGTTCGTAACCTTCGTGTTTTCTTGACTTTGTTCAACCACTTGCTAGCGTGAGTGAAAAATTGAGGGAAGCACGACTATATATTTTAGTGGGTCGCGCCTGGGTATGGTTGGCTGCAAACGATGAACAACTGGGAGAGAAGAAGCGGTACATAAAGGGTGTGTGGTTGTTTGGTATATATGTGCTGTTTAAGACATATTTGGCTTGGTAGCTTATGGTTGTGATGGTATGAATGAAAAGTGAACAGGGAACTCGAAAACTGCTCATTATATTCATATGCTCGTACTGTATATTTTACTCGACACTCACAGAAACCTCCACATTTAATATATAGATTCGGTACATCATTCTGTCATCGAAGTTCAGAATGAAGTTTCTTGGACCCAGAAAAAATTTCCGATCGATCTTAATAGCTCCAAAAGGTGACCCTTTTGTTTTATGCCGTCATCGAGAAGCGGAATAACTGCTAGAGCACCAGAGAGCTAGAGCCTTGTTATCTATTTTCCACTGCATGTCTTACTAGTGCTACTAGTTTCGGCTCTGCACCACATGTGCAACGTTACATCCGGCCTTATCTTTCCTTCCTTGCAATCTACACATTTCACTCATGCCTACATGTCAGAAGGGCCTTATATATGCACGATTCAACGGCATTACATATCACAATGGTAAGGAAGTCCAAGATCCAAAAAAATAAAAAAAATCGAGGGCAGCGTTCTGGCAAAAATAAATAAAATGCCGTTTTGACTAGCCATCTTAGTGAAAGGCTGCAAATTTCATGAGCATCACCTAGAGACCCTTTACCGAATAGCATACATAATAGTTTTGATAGATGATCGACGGTGCTTAGCGAGCACATGGAGTGAAATACCCCGTTGTCGTTGTTTGGTACACTTGTCAGCTAAGCTTCCCTGTACACTGGATGCTTCCCCTGCTGTAGTTGCAATTTGCAATTGGCTATCGAATTCACGATCTGAAAGTAAGTTTGTATGTTGCGGCTCAATCATATGCACTTACATATTTCGCCTCGCTCAATTCGATTGAGACGCTTGCTGTGTGACCCTATACATTTATAAAACCAATAGTGTACCCTTTTAAGCGAAAAAAAAAAGAAAAGAAAAGAAGGTAGTAGTAGTGAGTATACATAGGTTCTAATATGTGTTCTGAAACTACATCGCCATACTACGAAGCGTTACCAAAAAACCTCAAGCCATATCATTATGACCTTTCCATTTCGAATGTCGAGGTAGACAAGGAAACATTTAAAGGTAATGTGAAGATTCTGTTAACTATCCAAAAAGAAACTGACGAATTACATTTGAACTATAGAGACTTAGCTATAACCAAAGATAGAATCTCTGTTGAAATTGGAGCCGAAAGACAAGCCATTGCTGTGAAGGAAGTGATCGAATTCAAATCAAAAGAATACTTTATCATTAAGCTTGAAAAATCAATTACTCCAGAGAGTAAAGAAGCATTTGTTACTTTACTTTATGATGGTATCATCCAAACCAATATGGCTGGTTTCTATAAGTCCACTTATACTGAGAAAAATGAAGAGAAAAGTATGTTGTCTACACAATTCGAAGCTACAGACGCCAGGAGAGCATTCCCATGTTTAGATGAACCGGAATTGAAGGCTACTTTCACTGTTGACCTTACATTACGCGAAGATTGGGTTGCCCTTGGTAATATGCCAATCATAATGGAGCAGCAACAGAGTAATAACTTGAAGCGAATTGTCTTCGAGAAGACTCCAATCATGTCAACATATTTACTAGCTTGGGCATGTGGTGACTTTGAATATATTGAAAACTTTACCGAGGAATTGTACAACAATGATGAGCCATTACCTGTTCGTATTTACACTACAAAGGGCTATATTGAAGAAGCACAGTTTGCTGTGGAAATTGCTCCAAAAATCGTGGACTATTTCAGTAAGATCTTTGAATTGAAATACCCTCTTCCTAAATTGGACCTTTTGGCTGTCCATTCATTTTCACATAACGCTATGGAAAATTGGGGGTTAATCACTTATCGTAGTACTGCTTTGCTTTATTCTGATTCGAAATCAGATCCTTCGTATAAACAAAAAGTTTGCTATGTCATAGCACACGAAATTGCTCACCAATGGTTTGGTAATTTGGTAACTATGAAATGGTGGGACGAATTGTGGTTGAATGAAGGTTTTGCAACGTGGGTTGGATTTGCTGCTGTTGACTTCTTATTCCCTGAATGGGATATTTTCAGTGGATTTGTGTCCGATTCGCTTCAAGAAGCATTAAATTTGGATGGATTAAGGAATTCTCATCCAATCGAAGTCCCTGTAGTTGATGCCTTAGATATCGATCAAGTGTTTGATGTCATATCATACTTAAAGGGAGCTTCAACTATATTGATGCTTTCAAATTATTTGGGTCAAGATACATTCTTAAAAGGAGTTGCTAAGTACCTCAATGAGAACAAATATGACAATGCAACTTCTCATGATTTATTCCGTTCTATTGGTGATGTTTCTGGGGAACCAGTCGACCAATTGATGGAATCTTGGATTAAGAAAATTGGATTCCCTGTTGTTAGCATCGAAAAAGATGGTGCGGGAAGCACCTTCAATGTAAGTCAATCTAGATTCTTAAATGGTGGTGACATAAAGCCTGAGGAGAATGAAACTAAATGGTGGATTCCTTTAAATATATCACTTGGAAAGGACGCTCAGGTACAAACTAGCTCACTTTCTTCTGAAAATGATGTTATTTCACTTTCAAAAGCAGATGCTTTCTTTAAGCTTAACAAAAATACAACTGGGGTATTTAGAGTGAACTATTCACCAAGTATCCTTGCAGAGAATATATTTCCATATTTCAATCAACTTTCAGCTACCGATAAAGTTGGCTTAATCGCAGATGTCTCATCTATTGCCGTATCTGGAATAAATAGCAAGACAACCACATCTACTTTATTGACTCTCATTAAGTCTTTGGTTGATTCCAACGAACTAGCTGATCAATATGTAGTATGGCTAGAATTAGGTAAGAGATTAACGGACGTGTTAACGGCCTTTTCTGGGGTTGATAGTGAATTGACCCAAAAATTGAATACTTTCGCTCAGTATGTTTACAAGAAGAAAACCATTGAGTTATTGAATTCTAGTGAATCAGTGACCAATGGAAACTTTTTACTCGGTAAATTAAAGAGTGAAATTTTATTGAATGCTGGGCTTTTATCTATTCCAGAAGCAAAGGAATATGCTATCAAATTATTTGAAGAATGGAAAAAGAATGAAGGCATCGACCCATCGTTAAGAAGTTTTGTCTTTGCTACAATTTCATCCTCCCCTGACTTGATAAATGAATTAACATACGGCTTGATGATGCAAGAAGTCATAATTCCTTCTTCATTAGATTCGAGGGAAGTGACGTTAAAAGCTTTAGGACATGTTAACAATGAGGCGATTTTCCAGAGTTTAATAAGTAAAATTGTTGAACCCGAAGTTATCCCAACTATGGATGCTCATTTCCTTGGTAAGTCATTATCAACTAATATACATACTAGGGATGGATTCTGGCAATATTTTAAGAAAAATTATGATGCAATTTACAAGTCTATGTCAACAAATATGGTAGTCTTGGATAGGTTTGTTAAATTGACTCTTGCTAATTACCTGACAATGGAAATGCATGATGAAATATACAGTTTCTTTAAGGATAAAGATGTTCATGGATTTGAAAGATCATACAAACAAGTATTAGATAACATTAAAATCAGATCCGCTTGGGTACAAAGAGATCAAGAAAATGTTAAAGAATGGTTGAAGGCTAGCGGTTTTTGAATATTCTTTACATAGCATATCATGTACTTTTTAAATAATTTATTATATCTATAAACATAATGTAACAAATTCACAAGGTGTGTGTTCTTTAATCTTGATTTGCTTCTTATTCATGGTCAACCTTTTGTTCGTGAATGGTAGCATATCTTCCTGAAGGGTCAGCATGACAACCCCATTCAGCCTTTGGAATCCATCTCATAACAGTAGAAGCAGCGGCCTCAGAGTTTGGAAATTGTTGGTCAAACTTACATCTGTACCAGTAAGCTTCCTTGGTGGTAGGAATATCGTCACCCCAGTGTGGTTTAGGGTTGGCAAGTTCTTCGTCGGTGACAGCAGCTTCGGCAGCGTCCTTCAATCCATCGATCCATGAATAACCAACACCATCAGAGAATTGTTCCTTCTGTCTGTATAAGATTTCCTTTGGTAAGTATGGTTTGGCATCTGGATCATCAGAGGTGTCAAAGGCCTTTCTTAAAATGTATTTTTCAATTTTACCTTCGGATGGTTTAATTAATTTATCTTCTGGGTTGATGTTCATGCAAACTTCCAAAAAGTTCTTGTCCAAGAATGGGACTCTAGCTTCCAAACCCCAAGCCATGGTAGACTTGTTGGCTCTTAAACAATCAGCGTAATGCAAGTTCTTAACTCTCTGCACACATTCTTGGTGAAATTCTGAAGCAGATGGAGCGTTGGCGAAGTATAAGTAACCACCAAAGATTTCATCTGAACCTTCACCGGATAAGACCATCTTAACACCTTGAGCCTTGATCTTTCTAGATAACAAGTACATAGGAGTAGAAGCTCTAATAGTGGTAACATCGTATGTTTCCAAGTTGAAAATAACGTCATCCAAAGCATCCAAACCTTCTTCCAAAGTGAAAGTGTGGGAATGGTGGATGGTACCAATGAAGTGGGCAACCTTTTCAGCAGCAATCAAATCTGGAGCACCTGGTAAACCAATGGCAAAAGAATGCAATGCGTTGAACCCTGAAGAGTGTAAAGAACCCTTGTCATCAACACCGGATAATTCCTTGTTGGCGTCAACACCGTCCTTGGAGATGGAAGCAGCGGCCTTTTGGGACTCTCTTGCCGCGATGGAAGCAATTAAGGAAGAATCTAAACCTCCAGAAAGTAAAACACCGTATGGAACTTCAGCCATTAATCTTTTTCTCACAGCCAACTCAAGACTTTCTCTAACTTCCTTGTAGTCAACGTTCTTAGTTGGGACCTTAGAACCATCCCACCAGGTTGGTTGGAAGTATCTTGTTATTTCATCGGTGTTGGAATCGTAGACATGACCTGGAGGGAAGGCGAAGATTTCGTCACATTCGTCTATAAGACACTTTAATTCAGAAGCGAAATAACGGGTTTGCGGGTTCTTGGAGGACTTACCCATGTACAAAGTGGTAATCCCGATAGGATCTCTGGCAGCAACGATTCTGTCTTCATCTCTGTCATAAAGTACCCAGGCAAACATACCGTCCAAGTACTTTGGAGCATCAACACCGTACTTTTGGAACAATGGGATGATAGGCTCACAGTCAGATAAAGACTTGAAGTGGTAGTCCTTAAATTCGTTTCTCAAGTGGATGTGGTTGTAGATTTCACCGTTAACTGCCAATGAGAATCTGCCATCACTGGAAGTGATTGGTTGAGCACCGGAGTCCAAACCGACAATAGCTAATCTTTCATGACACAATATAGTAGAGTTTTGGATGATGTTACCTGACCAATCTGGACCACGGTGACGGATTCTCTTGGAGTTTTGAAGGGCCTTACCTTTGAAGGCTTCGACATCTTGTTGCCTATAGGCTGCGTAGATACCACACATACTGGTTCCTTATTCAAATATAAAAGAAGGTTTATTAAGTTTTAAAAGTTACAATAAAGTAGAAAAAGGAAAATTTTGTTCTACCCAGTATTACCTTAATATATTATCAAAACAGTGACTATCAGTTGTATTTAACTGCTTTCTTCCCCAAGATCGAAGCTGAAAATTGGAATTCTTCAGTATGACTAACCAACCTAACGGAATGAGCGACAGTCGAAGAAAAAAAAAAAAAAAAAAAAAAAAAAAAAAAGTAAAAAAAAAAATTTTTCAAGGCAAACAAAACCAACCAAAACGATTCGGCGGATTGGTTACAAGACAAAAAAAAAGAGAGAGATTCA